TATATACCGACGTTAACCCCGCACACGTCATTCCTCGAACTGACTCAAATATATATTTGGAAACATTACTCCCCCAACACAAGCACAACCTACCTCTACACATTACGGTTCAGTTTGCGAGACCCGAATATTGACGATGGCGCCCTCGAACAAGTTCAATGTCGGCATCATTGGCTACGGGTAAGACTAGTTGCAATGTCACAAGCGTTGCGTTGACGGGAAATGTCGATACTGACGTTTGCTTCCAGTCTCTCGGCCAAAGTCTTCCAGATTCCTTTCGTCGCCCTGACGGAATCTCTTGTCCTCCATTCCATTGTGCAACGGTCCCCTTCGCCTGGGAACTCCGCCCCCGAGGACCATCCCTCGGTGAAGCACTTCACCTCAATTGAGCCCATGCTCGCAGACCCCGACGTCCATGTCATCATCATTAGCACGCCTCCCAACACGCATTTTGAGACTGCGCGCGACGCCCTGCGCAATGGCAAGCACGTCCTTGTTGAGAAGCCATTCGTACCCACGTCTGCACAGGCGGAGGAGCTGGCCGCCCTGGCCGCAGAGAAGAAGCGTGTTCTGTGCGTGTACCAGAACCGCAGATGGGACTCGGACTTCCTGACTGTCCAGAAGCTCATCCGTGAGGGCACACTCGGTCGCATCGTCGAGTTTGAGACGCATTTTGATCGCTTCCGTCTGGAGAAGCCGACGACGTGGAAAGGTCAGCTCAGCATGGACCAGGCCGGCGGTGTTCTGTATGATCTCGGCACCCATCTGCTGGACCAGGTCTTCGTCCTTTTCGGCATGCCGAGTTCTGTCTCGGCCAAGTTCTTGGACCAGCGTGAGGGCAGAATTGTTACTGGTGGAAGCGATGAGTCACAGCAGCCGGACAGCATCGCGGCTGTCTTGACATATGCCGACACCGGCTTACTCGTACATGTCCGCATTAGCGTTGTCAGTGTCGAGACCAAGCAGCCGCGTTTCCGCATCCGCGGCACGAAGGGTAGCTACCAGAAGGCTTTCCTGGACCCACAGGAGGACCAGCTCAGGGGAGGCATGGCCGCGACTGACGCTCGGTTCGGCAAGGAGGACGAGTCCCGGTACGGCCGCCTCTGCTATGTCACCGAGGACGGCAAGATGGAGGAGAAGGTGTACCCGACCACGGAGCCGGAGACGTACATCAAGATCTTCGAGGGCTTTGCTAAGGCTCTCGAGACTGGAAACGAAGATGATATCCCCGTCCCCGCATCTCAGGCCGCCAAGGTGCTCAGGATTATCGAGGCCCTCCGGGAGAGTGCCAAGACGGGCCGGGATGTCGCGCCTTGAAGTCACTTCACAACTAAGAGGCTGGTGAGGGGCGGGCTAGGCGAGATGTGGCTCTGAGATAGGTCGACGACCCAGGGCAATATAGATGGCAATGGGAGAGTATGAGCGATAGACAAATCAATAGACGCTGAATGTGGAATTGGGCAAGCACATTATGATCAGGCACGCAGGTGCATGTGTTGGGGCAGATGTCATTGTTGGTTTCCTATAAACGCATAGACATAGACGGGTTCCAAAATTCTGTCCGCTTTGTTCTTTTCTCCCTCATCTATGTGACAGTAGGCTCGATGTGGCCGTGGAAAAAAAATGGGGAAATTGGCTCTCGTGTTGCCAACACCAGTCCACCTCGCCGGCTTACCTAGGCTGGCAGTGAGATTGTTTCGTAATAGCTTCGAGATCTGCGGGTATTTGATGACTGAGGACATGCTTCTCCACCATCGCTTAGGTATGATCCCAGTTCGGTTGGACAACTTTGCTTATCACAAGTTGCCGCTGTCACGGCCAACCTTTCTTACAAACATGAAGCCTGGATATGAAACTGCGAGATGATGGCGTTTCCGTACATGTGCTATCTGATAACACTGGTTGATAGTGGACTGGGTACCGCATTTAGGCTCTTCTGGCGATGCGCACGGCTCGTGCAGTTGAGTTTGAGTTTGGACCACCCTCCGAGTCATCGAGGCTGTGGGGCTTCTGGGTGGATGACAGCGAAGCTTTGTCATAGTCGGTTTCGTGTATGATGAGGGTGTTCAAGGTACTGGCTGCACGGTAGCTTGGAGATCGGCCAACCCAGTTTCTCCTCATCGGCTTAAGAAACCATTTTCAGCTTGGTGCAAAAACTAGATGCGCACGCCTGTGTTAAAGTGGACACATGGTTATCCTTTTCCATACGGAGAACGTCTGTGCAGAGCGGCGGTGGTGATGTTAGTCTCGGTAATAGGTTGTCCGAGGGCTGAGAAAACTGCGCAGTCACAAGAAACATCACCCGAAATATCGCATCACGTCCAAGGGTAGGTCGGCGGATTCTGCGCAAAACAGCGCAAATGAGTATGTCACGAGTGGGCAAAAAGGATTTTAAGTTGAGCTGCGCACATGCTGGGAAACGACGATATAAAAAGGGGAAAACTGAAAAAACGAAAAATATGGGGCCACCCGGGGATTGAACCCGGGACCTCTCGCAAGAATGCTCAGGATTGAACCCTAAGCGAGAATCATACCACTAGACCAGCGGCCCGTCGAATTGTTGAAAATTATTGTATACTCTGAAGCCTATGTAGTCGAAATCCTGGACAGGTAAGTACACCGGATTCATGTCGTGAACATATTATGTCGTGGATGCTTGGAAAGCATGTTGACTGCTTTCGGCAGACCCCTACAACTAGTTGCACGGCACATAGATTTGAAACTTGCAGTATGTATATGTTGGGCTGCACATCGGCCTGAGAATGACTGAGAAAAGTGTGTAAATAAAAGTCGCTAATTCGCTAGCTGGATGTGGCTACAGGAAAAAAACAAGCCCAACGTGAAACCAAATGTACGCTATGTAATCCCGCCTCGGGCTTGAAAGCATTGACACTCAGCCTTCATCCGTCCATCGTGGCCGGGCAATGCTAGTATGATGGTGACTGAGCAGGGAGAGAAGGCCAGCAACCCCGTTAAAAGAAAAAACCATGACGATGCCGGCTTGTTCCTCGTTACCGTATCCCTAACTCCTCGTTGCTGGGAAGATTATCGTCGAGATCGCCTTCATGTACGGTTTCCTCATCATCGGAATCGTAGCCATTGTAATCATCCCATATGTCTTCAACGACCTCTGGGGTATTTGGGCGCGACGTGCTGGATGAACGGGATGGAAGGAGTGGGAGCCCATTTGCAGGCGGTCTCGTATCTGGGACGTCGTCTTCGACGACCGGCTGGGACCAAGGCGGGATGGGTTCTTTGTTGATAAAACCAGCCAGGATCAATCTCCTACGACACTCCTCCACCTGTCGGAACATGTTGGCCATAAGAGGATGATAGAAGGGCGTGTTTTTTTTCAACGACTCGTAAACCAGCCCTTGGAGTATCGGGAGATGGGCCACAGCTCTTGTAGCTATTGAGTGTTCTGTGTCGAGCTCGGTACGCTGCATCTCGTTCATCTCTTGTGTCGCGAAGATAACCTTTCTTGTTTCGATGAGCTCGGCCCACGTGTCCATGAATATTCCTGCTATGACGTCGAGCCGTTTCCCGTGGTGTTTGTGGCAGCAGATAGATATATTCGTGGGTGTTGCAACGTGAAGAATGTCCGGACAAAAGTAGTGGATAGTGTATCTTTCTTTCTAGGCTTCGTCACACTCGACCACGATTGGGTCATGTTTGTTTTTGCATCTTCGGAGGCAAGGCCGGATCGGGTGGTCGAAACGGATACACATGATGCCAGGTGTTGACGTGTTGGTAGGAGGAAAACTATGTTGACTTATAGTATATCGAACCACGCAGCTTGACCGTGCCGATGCCTGGAGGTGGTAGGATGATATTTGTGAATTTGTTTGTAGGCAATGTAGCGAGTTGTAAAAAGAAAAGAGAAACCTTGTCCTGGATTTCCGCTGTCTGGTTAGGATGGCCTAGTTTGTGATACCTGCCTATCCTTTCCAGTGTCGTAGTCCACAATATGAATGTCTAAATTTGCCGGGTTGTTCTTAACACAAGGGATATGGAAACGTGGCAAGAGTAGAGAATTTGGTTTAGGTCGAAAACAGAAGAAGGATGGGAAGGAATGAGTTGCAGACATGAAGACCCTTTCCTAGGCATTGTGTCTGTGTGCAGCCTTACAAAACCAGTTGAGCATCACCTCGGTGAAGGATATCGTTTCTGTCCTCAACCAATCAAACTCGTGGTAGCCACTGGAGTGCTTCGTCTTCGTTCACTCCAGTCACTTCGATACTTCCATTCCTCCTCAAGCTCAGCAGCATCGTCACTTGCTCCTTGCGTCCCTATACTCTGGAGGAGTCATGACATACTTCGATGTCAACCCCGGTCCTTCAGTTGATTGAGACCATGCGCAACGTGCACGTCGATGGCTACCGTGATGGCCGCGCAGAAGCCCGTCATCATGGTATCAGGTCCTTCCGGTGTTCGTATTCCCCCAACAAACCTGTCGGGGCTAAGATGTCTGCCAATGCGGTCTTTGGATCATTATCGAACTTCGAAAGCGCGTTCCCACCCCCGTGCCGAATTGTGGCGGCTGCACTCGACCGGGATTTTGACTGGCTCCTTCATCGATGACATCTTGAAGATATTGTTCGGCTTTCTTTGCAAGTTCGCATTTGATGAAGGAAGGCCGGCACTTTCCCTCGCGTTCATGTACTTATTGCAAATGGTTCAGTACGAGCGACAGTGTTCCCCAAGTTGCTCAGTAGGTTGATAATGGTGGCGGCAGTCGCGATGATGGTTGTCACTTGTCGAAGTGGATTCAGCTCCGGCAATGTTATTTCGTGCGAAACCAACCATATCACACATCTAATGTTCCGGCCAAATCGACATATCGTTCTTCTTCTAATTCCCACATTTCGTCTCTCGGTTGGGACTTCCGTCGGCTGGAAGATGGTTGCGGATTGGCTGGTAACGGTATTGTATGCTTGTGGTGTGTCGCATGACAGATTTTCTGTCCGAAGGCTGCACCATGCCGAGATGTTAAGTGGACGGGTAACAGGACGACAAAACAAAATGTGGAAAACATATGATGAATCCCCTTCTTTCTGTTATGTGGTTTAAGGGGGGAGCTTTAAAGTGGACATTATCATATCGTACAATAGGCAAGGTATAGGAATCCACCCGTAGATGTGCTGGAAACGTAAATCTGGCAAATAAATCGGAATCGCTGGTTTGTATTACTTCCAAGAAAGATCTCGTTGGTCAACGGATCACGAGGAAGGTCTTGTACATTTTGTTCCAGTTGCGGGAGCCTTTGCACCCAACAGACATGACTCCTGTCAAAGACCGTTGCTCGCACACGAAAACACGCTCCTGACCGATCCTGTATCATACGCTTCCAAAATACCCAGCACACTCGCATAGCTCCCAAAGGAAAGAAAGAGGAAGCCAACGAGTATGATGATGATGTTGGTCCCATCCAATAGAATGGTGCCGATGCCTCTCTTTCTCGTAATGCCGGCTCTCGCATCGGCCTTGCGCATCCGGAAATAAGCAACACCCCAGAAGATGAAGCCGAAGAAACTGTCGAAGAGTGATGACATGAGGGAAAGGACTGGTGTTGGGATTAGTTGGGTGTGCATTGGTTTGGGGTATGGTGTCAAGAGACTCACGGGATGAGAAGAATGGAATAACTTCTGCAATGATCCAAGCGCAAATCCATGTTGTCACTGTATTTGGTGTCAGCACGGGATGAGAGCGAAATTTCTCGGAAGCGAGTGGATGACTCACGAAGAATACCCGCCCATGTTGACCATCCGGTAAGCGTATGCTCGGTCATGTGTTGCGAGTTCTTGAAGATGCGGAAGAAGATGAATCGCGTCGAAACCGAGGCATACAAGACGCCCAAGAAAATGATGGTCGGGATCATGAATGAGAAGGAAATCTTTTTGTAGGTTTCTTCGAGTGAACCGAATGCAGGTGCAGTCATGTACTGGTTTCCAGTGTACCCGTAAATAACTCCTCCGACAACACTGAACAGAATAACCTCGGCAATGGCACAAGCCCATAAGGCTTTCGGGAAATCCCTGGATGATCGTTAGTCATATAATGGATGGAGCTATGAAAAATGGCGGCACTCACTTTGGCTCTCTCATCTCTGCGATGAAGCTGGGGAGCGTGATTTGCCCGATAAAGGTATAGGATATGTTGAGAAAAGCATTGAAACAGGCAATGTAGGACGCTGACTTGACCGGAAGTGCGGTTACGATGGGGTTACCTCCGACCGATGCTACTCCGGAGTCTGACGTGAATGATGGGCGGGGATCATATCCAGCTGGGTGTTTCTGTGCGCCCGAGAAGGCGGCAGCAAGGACGACCGAAATAAAAGTAAAGAGAGCAGAAAACACTCCAAGCTTGGACAAGGTATTGAATGTCCGTGGAAGCGAGCAGAGCCAGCAGACGAGCGCAATGATAATGCCAAAGCTGACGGTCCGACAAGCGACACCCGGGTCTGTGCCGGTCATGGTATTGAGATACTCGGCGCCCACGACGACATGCAAGCCTTGGATGAACTGTTGGCTGTTAGCTCATGCAGTCCGTGTGGTGCATCGGTAGCCGGCTTACTGTGTTGTTGAGCAAGAACATGACGGCAGTGGCCCACCAAGCCCAATTTTTGTTCCAGAAGAGCATTTGGCCGATATCACAGACATCCCGGACTTCGGGGTGCCGTAGACAAAACTCCCACAGCACCAGTGAGCTATTGATGGGTTAGGATGCGCAGCCAGGAGGGGCGAGGAATCGTGTGAAGGACTTACGTGTAAAGTACGACCAAACAAACAACCAACGTCAAGATTAGCCTGTAAATTGTGAGCGGCTGCGTCTCTGGGTGCTGGGTTGCCTATTTCGGGGTCTCAACTCACCCGGGAACAAGACCCAAAACGCTGTATGACCAGGGAAAGCTCATGATGGCCAAACATATGTATTCAGAAAAGAGCAGGGCGGCAGTCTTGGGATTGATGGTCAGTTTCTAGGTCGAGAAGATTGCGCTGGGTGCTTGGGATGCTACGGACCTTTTGCCAGCTGCATGTGCGGTACTGGATAGCATTTCCCTTTTCAAGTTCGCGCTGGCGTCCTGGCGAGGCAATGCTGTCGTCGCTGTCCGAACTCGCGGTGGCGACACTTTGTAGGACTGGGCCTATGCGAGGACCGATGGCGGTGGTATCGTCGAGCTTGGTCCAGGACCAGAGGCTGGGTCGAGCATCTTCCTTACAGGCTGTACTCGCAGTGGCATCGTCGATTCGAGACTTTTCTCTCCCATTATCCCGAGGCGGATCTGGCGTGGGGGCCGACATGGCTTAGGTGGAGGTATATCTCAAGCAAACGTGTCGAGATGAAAACTAAGCGAATGTGGTGTGGATAAGACAGTTAAAAGTCTAGACGATGTTTGTCGTGGATACAGAGTTGGATGCTACTGCTTGGATGGGAACATGTTTGATGGCAAAGCAAGAGGCGGATAAAGGTGGAAATTTGTAGTTCAAGGATGCTGAGATAACGGTAACATTTCGGCCAGAAACAGGTGAATGGAAAGAACCCGATGGAGGGGAATGCATAAAGATCCAGGGCACGAGGATGCAGGGATTGGGGACGGATATTCGCCAGAACATGGACATGTTCCTGCCATTCAGTTTTCAATCGACACATGAGGGGGTTTTGGCCTGTCTCGTCCTGCTTACTGTACTGTCCAAATGCACTGGACGTTAGGTAATCAAGGTACATTGAGCACGCCATCCTTCCTAGTTCGCATCCGGCGGAATTTTGTTGGAGTATTGTTGCCCTATCGCTTTCGTGCCTTCCTCCGACAGCATCTGGCTCAGGCCGTGGGGCAGCTTCAAAGCGAACAAGTGCCGTCCTTCAAGGTGGACGCCTATTTTGCGCGTCGGGTCGATCCGTCATCTCTTTCGGCCAAGAGGGAAGCTGCAGTACCAGCACAGGGAAGCCGAGAAAAGGCTCTTTTGTCCGAAAACATCAAAGTTGACATGCACGCGTTCCCTTGGCTCAATGACGCAATCATACCCAGGCCAGCATGACATCACAAGTTCGCAGCGTTACAGATATCCATTGACAACGCGTTGGAAGAAGATGAGCAAAAATGGCACTTGGTTTGAGCTTGGGAAAACGGTAGCGATAAGGCTGTATTATTCCATCGGTCTGTGTCACTTATGAAGGCTTTTTGAATAGCAGGAAGGTGAGTGTCACAACATGCCGTGTTCGTGTTAAGCTTCGTTGATCAAACCTGCTTTTGGAAGTCCGACTGACGAAGGGCTTCCTTGCCAGGCCGAATCCAAGTGGAGAACGCATACTCCAGTCCGCAGCGGCACAGGCACAAGTGGGGTTGCGCGGGTATGGGGGTGGCTATATATGTGGCTAGAGCTGTGGCTGAAATATGGGGCAAGCGGAACAGGGGCAATGACGTGCTGCCGTGAGTGCTTTATCTTATCACAGACTGGATGCCGGCCGTGTTCAAGTAGCACAAGTGAGTGCACGTGACAGCGCGCTCTTGTCGCGCCGCCACACCGTGCTTCTCAACTTTCCCTTTCAATCCCTCTGTAGCCGGACCAACAACAACAACCCTGACGGCAAACCAGCAAGCCACGGTTTTGATTGAGCAACAAGTCAACCCTGAAATGTTCGCGCGGCAAGGGTGGAAATTGTCCAGACCGCTCACACAACAACTTTGGCCTGTCCGGACACAGTGTGCTCGAATCGGATGCGAGTGATAGGGTGACAGCATCCGCGCATGGGTGCATCCGTTGGCAACCTACACACATTAGCGTCGAGCCTTGGGCCACTGAAACGTCACCATGTCCGACGCGCTCAAGGACATCCGCGACGACCCCAACGCGACCAAATCCCTCGACACCCAAGCTGTCTTCGATGATTACATGAAAACCTACGGCGCCGGCCAGGTATGTTCTCAGCCACTTCTCGCTTTGTCGACCTGCTAACCTTCTCAGACAAGCAACATCCGCCCGCGGGCAACAATCTCGAACTCGTCATCGTCCTCCAAAACATCCTCGGCGCCATCCCCGACGATGAACAAACCACCGAGAAAACAAAGAGATGAGGATCTGTTACCTCCCCTGACACAGTCGGAGGAGGACCGCGTACGCAACTCTCGCCCGGCCGACGACCTCACCGAGAACAAGCCGCTCGACATGGAGGCGTACCGCGCATGGAAGGCCCGACAGGCTGCAGAACGCAAACGAGAACGAGAAGAGGCCAATAAGCCAAAGGTCTCCTGGTTCAAGCCCTCGCAACTCTTGGTCATGGCCGCTCAGTGGGAGCAGGAGGAAAAGGAAAGACAAAAGAAAAAGAAGGAAGAGCAGGAGAAGCGGGAAGCCCAAGAAAAGGCGCGCCAAGAAGCCCAAGAGACTGACAGGGCAGAGGAGCAGAAGCAGGCCGAAACTCAACCTTCGGCTCATTCCAACGAGACAACTCAATCGAACGGCGGAAGGAGCTACGACAGGTATGCTGCTTCAGCGTCACAGGCAAAAACCAGAGGTACTCTTCGAAGCTCGCCAAAGCTTGGCCCAAGCAGCCCTTCTCTGGAGCCAGCCTCTGTTACGACAGCCGTTCCCGAGCCGCGAGCATCACGACTTCTCGACACTCCCGCCACCAACAAAACCACCTCGACGACGACACAGGATGGCTCAGGTCGCGTTGATTTTGGCAGCATCGCGCGCCTGCGGAACATGCACTCGCAGAAACAACAGGCTTCGCCTGCCCAGCAGGTGCCCGAGACTCCCGTCTCAGACCACAATCCGTTCCGCCAAAGCAAATCCCAACTACTTGGTCCTTCGCAGCTATTTGGAGCTACCCAGTTTTCTTCTGCCACAAAAGCCCTCGCCAGTCCGACCTCTTCGCGCCCTTCCCCCTCAGATTTTATGCATCACACAGCATCACCGAATCTGGCTGTGTCGTCGCCACTGCGAGCCCGGGGTCTGCGTTCATCGCCATCGCATCATGTACCATCAAGTCCAGCTGTCTTACCCGATGCACCTCCGCCGAGGGCAACGCAGCGAAAGCCGGCGAGCTCTCACCCTGGTGCCTCGGAAGACGACATGGTGATTCCGGAATCGCCGCAAACAAAGCCGCTCAAGGAGGAGAAGAAGAAGAAGAAGAAGGCTGAACAACGTCCCTTTGCCAGCTACGAGCCGATGGAAAAATCGCAGGAGCGGTGGTCGAGTCCGATAGCGGGATCAGATCCCCCAGGCCCTCCGGACGATGAAGATACAGAAACATCCATGGTCAGGCGCAGAAGGGCAAAGTTAAAGAAAAAGGCTGCCCTGGAACAGCTGACTGAGATCCGGTTTCCGCTGGTAGCCAAGTCGGATGATGTTGAGATCCCATCATCCAACAAGAACAGGCGTGGCAAAGCGAAACGAGCGACGCAAGAGCCGGAGCATGGGGATGAGGAACCAGCAATACCAAATACTGTACAAGATTCTCAGGAACAAGGGGCCAAGCCTGCTGCGGCGCATGCTGTAGATGACGAGTCTACACAGTCTGGGCCAGATGAGGATCGGGCACAGAAGCCAGACGCCGTCTTCAAGAGCCCACGACCGAGCCAGCGTCCAGCACCCAGACCTCTTTCACCAGTTCGCAAGGAACCGGTACCTGACACATCCGGGGCGGATGCGCATCCAACAACAAGTCCAACTGAGAGTATACTCGCTGATAAATCCGCGCATGAACTGCCTTCGTCTTCTCAACTCCCGGTCTTACCAGCACCCTCCTGTGATATTCCCTCTTCATCGCCGCCGGTGTTCGAAAGAAGAAGTAGAAAGAAGAGAGTCTCGTCCGGTGCAGATCAGGCAGCAAAGATACCGACATCGGGAACGGTGAGAACAACCAAGGCAAGCGTGTCGTCGTCTGCCGTCGATGCTGCTATTCAGACAACCTCGGATCTTTCAAATCTGTCTTCCACACCCGTCGTTCCGTCAACTGCTGTACCGGCAAGAGATGCTTCTACCAGTTTCACCAGGCCTGATGTTGGTAGCTCGTCCCCGGCGCCTGTGAACAACCTTAGGCGGGATGCTGATGGGCGCCTCCCCAAACCCCCAAAGACTAGTTCAACAGAGAGCCTGCGCCATTCGGCACGGGTCGAGAGGCGGCTGTCCAGTTCTGCCGATGAACTGTCCGTCTCTGGAGCCACAATACCCACGTTCGACCATAGTGTTCGCATGTCTCGCAGTTCCCTGCTCAAACCCAGCAGAACATCGTCCATGACCGCTGCCTCTCAGCGTGGGTCAAAGATCTTTGAAGGCATGGCGTTTGCAATATCCTTCCAGTCAAAGCGCACAGGCGAGAGCACGGACCAGTACAACGCACGCATGGAAACTGCAACCAGCATCGAAAAACGCATCAAGCAAGCAGGCGGCCGCGTTCTCGACAATGGTTTCGACGAGCTGTTCGAACCCATCCCTATCCAACCTGCCACCTCTGCCTCCAAGAACGAAGACCACAACTCATCACCGCCGTCGGACGTCGACCTACCTCTCAACAGCACCGGCCGAGACACCGGCTTCACAGCCCTCATCGCCGATGGCCACTCCCGCAAAGTCAAGTACATGCAGGCCCTTGGTCTCGGACTCCCCATCCTTGCTTCCCGCTGGGTTATTACATGCCTCTCTTCCAACTCGATAGTCGACTGGTCGCCCTATCTTCTTGCTGCCGGGCAGTCCGCGTTCTTGGGAGACGCCATTCTCTCCCGGAACCTACCGCCCTATGATGCCAGGACGGCAAAGCTCGTGGAGACGGTGGCGAGAAGGGGACGGTGGCTGGGCGGGAGTAGGATACTTCTTGTCATGAGCACGAGTGGGGATAAGAAAGGAAGGAAAACCCAGAAAGAGAAGGAGAAGGAGAAGCAAGAGGAAGGGAGGAAGATGGCTTATGTTTTCTTAGCGAGAGTACTGGGAGCGGAATTGAGGCGGGTGGGCAGTTTGGATGAGGCAAAGAGGGTGTTGGAAAGGGCGGAGGAGGAGGCAGAAGGCGGTAAGGGGAAACCATACAATTGGGTTTATGTGGATGGGAAAACGGATGGGGCCGAGTTGTTCGCGAGTCCGAATATCCTAGGGGTGGGTGAGAGTGATGCCAGTAGTGCCCGTGCCAGCGCCGGTGGTGGCGGGAAGAGTACAAAGAGCAAAAAGAGGAAGAGGCAGAGTGTGGGGTACGTCTATGAGCCGACCGAGGCGGAGAAGCAGCCGCCATTGAAGAGAGTCAGGACGTTGAGTGATGAGTTGGTTATTCAGAGTTTGATTTTGGGGAGGTTGATCAATGAGGAGGAGTTTGGGAGTATCTGAGGGGCGTCTTGGAAAATTGTTCTTCGCTGCGAGTGGGCAAATGGTTTAGTTGGGATCAATAGTTCGTAATACCCTCCATGTTGCTTGATTATAGCTTTCAGTCATTTGCTTCCTTGGGTTTCGCATTTGCGTACAAGCTTGCCGTCATACTATGATTGGATGGGGATAATCATGGCCATGACAGAGTCAGATGGGCGTTGACAACAGTCAGAAGCACAGACCGTCATGGAAACTAGCCAAATGCAGTCTCATATTGCAGTCATAGGTAGTCATAGCGGGAGTTGCTTGCCGGAATTGGAGGTAGTTGTATAGAGCTTGCTTGTCGGATGAATATATAATGACAACTTCCATATTGCTATGTGCTAGCTGAAGGAAAAGATATCTGAAGTTATTTATTTATACTTGTTTGACGACGAGACCGCGCGGGCAAACTCATTAGTTCATATACGTATTCATTCTGGAATATCCTCGCCCCCCTCGCCGCTACCAGTCTTTTGGTCCTTGCGATGGCCGCCAGGTTATCTGGATTTGAGTCAACCTGTATTCTACCGTGGGTTTGAAGATGACAGCTGATGCCGTGACTTTCCCAGTGAGTATACCAACTTATGCATGATGAATAACGCTTATCAAATGAGGTTTTGCGATGCCCCATGGTTCTTACTTGATCTTCTTGGAACCAAGTCATCTTTGTAAGATGATGTTTGAAGTTGGAACATTAATACGGCCTTGCATCATGCGTGTATGCGGGAAAGAGTTGTTGCAGGAGAGAAGCGTGAGTGTCTAAGTACTATGACAAAAGTTTAAAGTTGGTGATACTGGACGTGATCGTTTCTTGGTAATCCGATTTGGCTTGCTGACGTTGTCTAACTGGACGGAAAGATTTCAGATCCGGGTGATATACGTGATGACGGTCGGCTTGTCTCGTGCAGATGCCGCTATCGCGGCGTGGACATCGGAGACTCATAGGTAGGTGGTCCAGACAAAAAGAACGTGCGGTTTGCAGAAGCTCGGAGCTATAGCAATAGGTCGGCAGCTGCTCGGTTGTCGGCAGCTACACTACTGAACATAACAAATAAGGCCTTTCAGGTTGCATGGAAGCTCTCCTAACATGATCCTTCTCGACACTAATCAAATTGTTAATACTTTGTTGATGCCATCAAACCGGCATTATCCGGAACTAGGTAGGAGTTCAAAGCACGAAGCGACAGTTCGATTGACTAGTCTATAAATAGCTGCCTCACAATGAGACAACTAGACAAGAAAAACCTTGGATTAATAAGGAAAACATTATATTTTTACTTCCCGTAATCTTTTCCCTACTCGCCCACCTCCGCATTACCCATGACCTCCCACCCCTCCACCCCCCCCCCTGAAGGTACTTCGAATACAATCCCTAGCAAGACTGGTCACACCTCCCAATATGATCCGACACCGGATTCAGACAGTTCCCACTACAGGCGCACAACAACTCAATCCTATTCCCCGACGTAGCCAGCGTATTGCAACCACCACCATCATTCCCTGCGTTCGTCGTGTTTGACGACGATGACGCCTGTCTCGCTTGCATCATCTTTCCGGTGGTGCTATCCATATTCTCATGAACTGCATGGTTTATGTGCGTGCGCGAAGATAAGATGTTGAAGAACCGGGAGAGAGTGGAGATGGATTTGCCGGATGATACTACGGGAGTGGATGCGTCGTCGTAGTGAGGGTTCGGCGACATGGCGGAGTCTTTTGCCTTTTCCTTTTCCTTTGGGTTGGCGTTGGCGGGGAGGCAGACGTAGAGGGCTTGGATGGGGTCGGTTTTGGTTTTGCCGTTGGCGCAGTTACTCTTGGACGCGGCGCAGTAGGCTTTGACTACATCTTCTTCTTTAAAGTCTGAGGGGGGGAGGAAATGTCAGATGGAGTCAAACTCTGTGTCAAAGGGAATGTTGGTAGCTGTAAGGAAGAGGAAAGAAATATGAGTGGGGGGCGGGTAGGGCAGAAAAAGTTCTTGGCTGCTGTAGCGATTGTCCGAAGACGAGATGTGGTGACGGCCGGGCGTGGAAGAAAAGGAAGAAAAAATAAAAACGATTAAGGACGCGTAATACAAAAGAATATGAAGGAAAGGTGAAGATAGGGTAAAGGGATGGTGAAGAGAGGATAACGAGAAGGTAAAGAGAAGGTAAAGAGAAGGTAAAGAGAAGGTAAAGAGAAGGTAAAGAGAAGGTAAAGAGAAGGTAAAGAAAAGGTAAAGAGAAGGTGAATAGGGGAAATAAAAGGGTGAAGAGAGGGTGTAGAGAGGGCGAATATAAGTAAAAGATAGGGTAAAGAAACTAAGAAGAAGAACTGAAAAGCGGGTGATATATAAGCTAAGAGTAGAATAAGAAGATTGCGAGGGAAACCGGAAGAGGAAGATAACAAGAGAGCGAACGGAAAGTGAACAAGAAACAAAGTTGTATCGGGTTGAAGACGTACTTTGATGATCCCTCAAGATATAGCCGCAATAAGTAAACCCTTGCCCGCACAGCGCCTGGCCAGGAGGAGCCGGCGTGCTCGGGGTCCAAGTGCTTGGAGCGGTGCTCGACGGCACCGCGGCTTGCCAAAACGTCGTACCCGATCCTGCGGTGCTCTGACCGAGTGCCAGGTAAAAGAAGAAGGCTGCAGAGCAGAAGGCGATGAAGGACTTCATGATGCTTCGGTGTTGCTGTCGGTTTTGGGTCTTTCTGCAGCTTTGGTGATCAAAATGGCCGTGGTTTGGGAAGAAGGGATGTCTCAGATGGATGCGATGATGTGATCGTTAATGCTTTTAACCTCCTCTATCGGTTTTCTGTCTCTGGTAACGAAATTGGGATTCATCAGCTCGGAAGGAAAGGCCGCTCGAAGAGCTTCGTTAGCCAAGCAGTGTCAAAGTCCCTCTAGTTGTCCAACGTCTTCGAGTTGCGGTGCCTCCCCAACCACAGACAACGGAACCCTTGGTCACGTCGTCGTTGTCTCACGCTTTGTGGGGGGAGGGAAGGGGGGACCAAAAAGACTGCTCCCCAAGCGCAGATTCTCCGGATGTAGTCCACAGTAATCGAAACCATTGGACGATCTCGATAAGCCAGCGGAGTGGATGTTGTCGGTGAGGAGATAGCATGGTAGCTGGGTGCCTGGAGTTGGCTAAAGGCAGATGGATGGATCGTTATGACGTGACAGGTTAAGCATCATGCTTGTTGATGTGGCACGCGTGCGCCGAACCGGAGTCCCAAGAGTCAATGAAGGGTTTGACCTGAGCAGCTATCCTTGGTCAGCGATTGCACGGCGTCTGAGTTGGCTGGGCACGAGGTAACGGATCACGAGCAGGGCGCAGAGGGACGAACTTTTGACAACCTTACATTGTCCTCGCGTGTGATGTATCAGCCGCAAGGGCGAGGATGGAAATGTCTGGCTAGCCTCTGGTGTCCATGATGAGGTTCGAGTACAGTTCTCGGGGTTTGCGTATGCATGTTCCGTTATCTACTGCGACATCCGCAAGCGGGATTACGAGAACCATGCTGGGAAGAACAACAGGTTTCGGGAAACCGACCTTGTGAGGACAGAACCTTGTAGTGTACATCGTTTCGGTTCGCAGCCTACGTGCTCTTCCTTCTTGCAGAGGAGGAAGCTCACCTTTATGAGTTGTCTCAATCCCAGTGGTACTTGATTCAGCAGATGATTCTGGTAACGGATGTATGATATTCCGATATACAGCCTCCGTGGCCATTTGTTTCTGGTCAAGTGGCTGGTTGTATGGTAGACCGACTGAGCACTCCATATGCCGGAAGATACATGGTGGCAGTTTTGAGGCGACACGTTGAAAAATGATGACTGTCTGAGAACCTCTGTGGGGAGAGGCGGGTAGTGTTTCATGCCATCGGCTTGGAGAGAAAGAAGAAGGCAAAGAATGTGCAGGAAGATACTGATATGTTGACTGCCAACAGGGAATTAAAACACATACTACCAAAGAGTGAACATCCAGTCCCTTTCTACCTGTACCGGGGACGATTCCACGCCTCAAGGACCAAAGGCACACACCCCACGTATTCCTTGTGCTCCGTACTCATGGTATAGAATACCCTTCCCCCATCGTATATCGGATTGAGATGCCCAATTTGGTATGATCGGTCCTGCACCAGCCGTTTCTTACAACCGGACTCCAAAGACTATTATGTCTCGTTTTTATCGCGACCCATGCCCATTTGCCGTCCTCCATTGTGCTTTATTTGCTAAGCCACGGACCAAATCATCACAAAATGCCACTGTCCTGATGTGTGGAGTTACCTCGAGGGTGTTTGGGCATGGGGGGCCTATGAAGCGAATATATGCAATGGGGACCGCGCCTCGGTATTCCGTTAATTGGGCCTCCCCTGTCGCTGTCGAGTGACCGTTGCAGGTACTCGACATGTGCCGTCGCTCCGACACCAGCCAGGGGTATTAATGCAGGTTGCAGATCGTCGGAGGAGGCCGCTCGCACAGTTGTCGCGAAGACGGTTGACAGCGTCGAGTTTACTCATCGACCTATACAGACTGGTACAGGAGAAGTGGCTCGCCAACGTTGCTAATTTCGGGAATTGTGCATTTTAGGTCGAAGGCTTTGGATAGTACGATCTTGAAGATCTGCGAAACAGTCAGACCCTGCACCAGTTATGGCAAACGAAGTGTGACGTACCTTTTGAACATTGATGCTGTGACTGGTGCTGCTAAAGATCAGTGCCGCACGCATCGCCTTGGCGAATCGCCGAGCCTGGAAAAGTAACGTCAGCAAGCAGGAACTTTGCCGTATACGCACAAGTGATGGTACCTGGTTGGAGATTTCCTCCTGCTCCTCCCGCGAAAGGTTCACAAAGTGATCGTACTTTGTGCCTACAAGGACGGGAATGGCCGTCTTGTTGAATCCTCGCCCCTGACGGTACCATTCCTTGATGCTGTTCAACGTGCTCTTGCGGGTCAAGTCGAACATGAAGAGGATGGCTACAGCATCGTTGCACACGAGCGGCAGCATATTGACGAACTCGCGTTGACCGCCAAGATCCCAAATGCTGAAGGTGATCTCGGTGTTGCGGATGCTAATGGTCTTTTCCATGAAGTTAACGCCCAGAGTCTGGATGTAGTCCTCGTCCCAACTGCCTTCAACATATTTGACCATCAAGCTTGTCTTGCCAATCTGCGCATCACCGACCATGCCAACCTTGATCACCACATGATTGCGCCCGTTGGCTTGCTCGCTGGAACTCCCGCCGGCGGTTGTCCGGGAGCCGTTTTCGGCGGACTGGGATGGGTTCTGGCCTCCGAGCCCCGAGGGCGGTCGTGATGTTGAAGGCTGGGGTGCTGGTGGTGTGGCATATCGGTCTGAGTCAAAGTTGTCGTGTTGGGAATATGACCGTGGTGAGCTGTTGAGGTTCTGATCGAATTGCTGTTGGTAATGGCGATCTGGGAAGCCGTTTTGGTCGGGTGTTATTTGAGGTGAATCCTCCAGACCACCCATGTTGTCGTCTGGAATGTTGTTGTTGTGAGGAAGCTGAGCCTCGTTTGGGCTAATGGTTTGATCGTGATCCATCACCACGGTGTCCATGTTGCTGTGATTGTTATCGAGGAACTGGTCCGGGGACCCCGCGGAAAAGGGCGAGAAGTCCAGCTTGACAATGGATGAGAAGGAGGGGTAGGTAGACAGAGAGGTTCAGCCTGGGATACTGGGTTGTCTGTGCGGGCGGAACGAAGACAAGCGGAAAGGGGTCGGACGGGAGGGATCAAGCAATCGGTTTGTCGTGGTCCGTTTGTGGTGTTTGGTGAAACCCCGTATGACGCTTTCCTCGTGGGTTCGGGCGGCAAGCGGGGGAGAGGGGAGGGGCGACTGAACGAGATGGGACGAGGGGAGGAAAAAGGTTGGTCTTGCTGATTGAGACGGCGCGGTCGGATAAGTTGGCCGTGGTTAAAAGGATGGGTATATGGTTCTTGAATGGTTGCTTGTATGGTGCTCGTTTCTTGCTTTGCTACCTGGAGACAGACAATTGTGGTTTGCCGGGTCGGCCGTGGAAGATGCAACGCAATCGGGGATCGTGCGATAAGTCGACGACTGTGTATGTACCTGCTGGGCACCCTGTGGGTTTGTTTCACCGAGGCTGTGGAGACTGCTGCTGGCTGCGGACGGCGACGAATGGATTCCCGATGACAGCTGAAGTGCGGGCGGAGTCGTATGTAGTGTAGTGTACCTAGTGATGCTGCAGCAACAAGCTGGGGTTGGAAGATGATGGATGGAAGGAAGTGGGAATGGAGATGGAATATGAATGATTGATGGAAGTGGATTCAAATGGATGCTTGGTGCTGCGAGATGCCTAGTGTCCATAGGTCGTCGGATTGATCGATGTTGGCTTCCATATAGCCATGTACCTGGGCTCTAGAGAGGCTAGACACTCCCGCAACTGCGTGTGCAGGGCTGGCGGCGCTGACGGGCAGCAGAGTGACGATAGGTACACAAGATGAAGCTAGCTGGGCACGCACGGACCAAGGGGAAGGAGCTCCAATCGAAGGGAATTGATCAGACCAAGACTCCACTTGAAGATCGCAGAATGTGGGTCCGCTAGCGCTTGGCTTGGCTGGGCGCCTGTTTTTCGAACACTGGACCGCCCTGGGGTCCTCTCGTTGGCGTCAAGATGAGATCTCAATCCTCACGCTTGCGGCTGCTCCCTTGTCCGTTTGCCATCAAACTGGACACTAAAAAACATTCAGCTGTGTTGAGCGAGCATGTGGAGATGGGTAGGCGGGCAGTGCATTCCACGTCGAACGATTTGAGTTTCCAAATTGGGCCCCGAGATATTGCCATGACAATCACGATTAAGATGAACCCCGCGCCAGAACAACATGGAAGTCCTTGACAGCTGAAGGGAGATTGGCACCCGGCAATATCAAGGCAACACAGCAGTCAGATTTAGTATGAGTGGCAGAAGGGCAAGGTGACACCGGCAGAGGGGCTTATTTCAGTTGTGGTGCAACCGTTGATGAGCAAGAAAGATGGCGATAACTCCAGCTTCTCGGGTCAACAAAACAATATCCACAAGAAACCTATTTCCAATGTGTAAACAGAACATCCACGCTCGGGCCCTTGCAGCATCTGAACCTCATCGGAAGCATCAACCTATGGCAGGCTGCATGTCAGAGCAAGCCACGGCATGGCATCAATGTGTGTGCATGGCTGGCTCACTTCGTTGCGCCTTTCCATCGTCTTTGCCCATTGAACTGCTCACACCCTCCCGCGCCGAGTGCCATGCTGCCTCAGCTCCTTGCCAAGGGGTGCAGTAGTGGACACTCTCCATTTGCAAGTCCAGTCTGCCATGTGTTGCCCGGTGACGTGCTTTTGTTTTTCTTCAGTTGATCTTTCCCCAGATCCGGCCCGTTCCACCTTGATGGCCCGCCCGGCCATGGTTTGCTTTTTGGTGCGCTTACATAATACCATGGGTTGCTTTGCATTCGACATCTCCCGCTGCTCGGTTCTGTGGTCTTGGCAAGCCGGCCTTGACAGCTGCTGGCCCCGAGTCTAGCCGTTTGTCGGGTGGCCGGCACTTTGTTTTCGTCATTCGAGACCGGATGTACCCCGGGTCCCGTCTGTGCCTTTTTCTAACTTGTGGCCGGTGCGTTGAATTGAGCACTAACAACCACTACACCACCAAGCTACCGACGCCGATATACACGCCTTCCGTCCACCCCTACCTCCTCCGCCCAAACCACCGACCGTCACAATGGCCTCCATTGCTCGCTGCCTCAGGATTGCTCGTCCTTCCGTCGTCTCTGCTTTCGCCCAGAGCTCCGTCCGCATTGCGCGTCCCTTCTCTGTTACTGCCAACAGTGAGCCACCCGTTCCCGTCTCCATCAGCCGATGCGCTTCCCGATAAGCGGAGTCATCCTTTGCGACAATGATTCACACAACCACAACACATGGCGCGCACAATTGCAACAACATGCTAACTAACACCACCACAAAAACATAGATGAGCTAAGGAAGTACACCCGCGAGCACGAGTGGATCGAGCTCTCCGACGACAAGAAGACTGGTTACGTTGGCATTAGCTCCTACGCCGCCAAGGCCCTCGGCGACGTCGTCTTCGTCGAGCTCCCCGAAGAGGGCAAGGAGGTCCACGCTGGCGATGCCCTTGGTGCTGTCGAGTCCGTCAAGTCTGCCGCCGACATCAACGCCCCCGTCAGCTGCAAGGTCATTGCTAGCAACTTGACCCTCGAGGAGAGCCCTTCCACCATCAACAAGGTTCCCGAGGACCACTCTGCCAGCGGCGGTTGGGTCGCCAAGGTCCAGGTTACCGACCAGGGCATTGCCGATCTCGAGAAGCTCATGGACGAGGAGGCCTACAAGGAGTTCACTGCCGCCGAGGACCACTAAACATAACGCAAGAGATTCAAAATCATGGGGCGCCGCTTGACGGGAAAAAAGATTAATGACGCTTGGTGTATATTGGCTATTTATGACGGAACCCGGGGAAATGGTTACGGGGATCAACTCAATTTCGGACAGTTCAACCTGCTTTTAGACAAACAACATGGGGGGCCCAACAAAGTACGCCCAAAGAAGTATTTTTGTTATCATCACACGGCGAAGGGCGGTGTTTGGTAGTTTTATGCATACATCGAATTGGAGTTAAATCGGGACAAGCATGCATGCAACGGAACGCATCCAAATGTCATACCAGATTATGTACATGCATGGAAAACATTCAGCAGATCGTAGAATCCCCAGGGTTGCGCCTCGCATACCTCTTGACTTTTGGTTCGCCCGCAAAAAACATCGCACCAGCTTTTTCATCCTTCTTTATCGTACAACAAAACCATCATAGATTAAACATTCAGAGATCACCAATCTTGAGCGCACCCCCCGAGGCACGACCCTGGTTGACAAAGTCCAGAATCTTCTGCGCGCCCCTCTTAGCCAGATCCTCTGCCAGCTTCTGACCCATCGCCTCGGCTTCCTCAATTGTCGTGATTACCTCGACGCTCTGCCCATCCACACTCTCCTTTCCATCCAAGCTGACCACCGTCACCTTCAACTGCAACTGATCCTCGCCCACCCACTTGGTCTCGACACCAATCGGCACACTGCACCCGCCCTCCAAGCTCCTCATGACGGCGCGCTCCGCAAATGTCGCCACCATGGTCTTCTCATGACACAACGGCTTGATGATCTCCAGCGTCTTGTCATCGCCCTCCCTGATCTCCATGGCCAGCGCGCCCTGTCCAACCGCATGCAACATACCTCCCCCTTCCGTCGTCGAATCCAACCACTGCGCAATCCGCTCGTCGTACCCCATTCTCAACAACCCCGCCGCGGCCAGGATGATGCAGTCGTAATCCTCCTCGTCGCACTTTCTCATTCTCGTCTCGATGTTGCCTCGTACGTCCTTGAACACCAAGCCGGGGTACCGCCTGCGCAGCTGGGCCGCGCGGCGCACCGACGAAGTGCCCACGATGGCGCCCTCGGGCAGGTCAGCCAGAGACTTGTACTTCCCTTGCTCGGCCCACTTCTTTTTCATGACCACCACATCCCGCGGATCCTCGCGCTCCGTCACAACACCAATCTTACCGCCCTCGGGCAAGGTGGTGGGCATGTCCTTGAGGCAGTGCACGATAAAGTCGACTTCCTTGTTGAACAGCTTGGCTTCGAGCTCGTTGGTCCAGAGACCCTTGCCGAGGGAGGGCAGAGAGGCCGTTTGGTTCTTGTCGCCGAGGGTGGCGAGGGCGTGCACTTGGAAGTGGACGTTGGGATGGTGAGGCTGGAGGGCGGCAATGACGAGGTCGACTTGTCGGAGGGCGAGGGCGGAGCGGCGGGTGCCGATGTGGACTGTTTGTTTTTGTTCGGACATGGTTGTGGTGTTGTTGTTGTTGTCTCGGGTGAGTTTGGAGTGATGATGATTTGGTGGTTGAGGGTGAGGGATGAGTGAGTGGTCGCAAAACAGTCTTGAGGAATATCTTCTTGTCTGAACGAGATGCTTTGACAAGTGAAATAACAAAGATCTGGAAATCCTCTGCGCGACAACTCAGTTAACGCTTGGTCAAGTCAGGCGGCGCAACACGTTCGGTCGTGAATCTGGGGAAGTCCAGGAAGTCGTCTCAGGAATTCGGAATGCGACAAGAGGGGCAACCGCGCAATCTGGAGCCGGGGACAGCGGGAACACCCCGCCGCCAAGACCTCGGACAGGGGAAAGTTTAGATGTCGCGGACTGACCCACTTTGTGAGACGGGGTCGGTGGAGTCAAGTCCGCTGCCCCCGGCACCGGGACAGAAGGCTTCTCCGCCCTCACTGCCGGACAGCATCGGTCGGCACGGGCGGCCACACCCCAGCAAGGTAAGGTCGAGAGGGTAGGCTAGAAAGTAGAGGGTAGGTGAGCAAAAATCGTGAATCAAACCATTTCACGCACAGTACTGGTCACATTTGTTCACAACATATGGGTCACTTCCATCCGACCCAGCTCACAACCACCCCGAAACTTCAGCTGGAAAAGATAACGATTCTTCGGATTTTAGGTATCTGACGCTAACGATTAAGACTAATAATTAAAGCTTTTTGTTTGCAAGTAGAGGTATCCGTTTGTTTTCCAACCCACTCATCTTCATCATCAATCCCGTTATTATCCTAGGTGTTTCCCGAGCATTCCACATCCAAGAGTGTGACCATTTTGCACAGCCTGCAGTGCCTGACACCCTGCTCGGCCCCGCCAACGTCTCTCGTTCTGTCTCGTTCCCATTTAGGTCTTGCGCTTCTTCAGAAACCCACCAGCTCACGACTTATTCCCACTTTCGCGCTCCGCCCCCTTCCTATTACCCTCCAAAAAGTGCTCTAGCAATTGATGCGCCCTCGTCCCAATGCTGATACTGGACGCGCTCAAAGCTGGACTAGCCGCCGCCGGTCTCTTGGGCGGAGGACTCCTCGGTTCCGGGCTCTTCGCCAACGGACTCACCGATCCTGTTGGCGCTCTCACATCCGCCGCCAAATCATGGACATTTTCTAAATGCTTCGGCGTACCAACACGACTATCGTGGCGAAGTGAATGAGGTCTTCCACCCGTCAGGCCTCCACGCCTCGATCCTAGACCTGGACTCGCGGTCCTGACGTCTGCGCCTAGGTTGCGATTTTCGCGATCAGCACTGGGACTGGGCGTAGCGATTTGCCGGTCTTCAAGGCGATTATGCGGTCGCACCAAGGCTGGAGGAGTCGGGACACGCTGGTCCAAGTGGATGCCGGGTTTAAAAGGGCTGTCGCTTCTCGGCACCGCAAGTCGCTTGTCCTCGGTGAATTGGTGGTTGCGGATGGAGATCGGTTTGGGCGAGTTGATGCGAGGATCCGATTCGATGGGGTGATCTTTGATCCTGGCGGCGGCCAGAGCAACCTTGGCATCCATGTGCGGACCATGTGCTTTTGGTTGATCCAGCAAGGGAACAACCGTATCGGTGCTGAGCTCGTGAGCTTCAGCTTGCGGAGGGAGGAAATTGTTGCCCACATCATAAGGTTGTGAACGAGCTTCGTCCTACGCTAGTTGCTCGTCGATGTTAAGCCGGTGGCGGGTATCTCTGGGAGGAAGAGTATCGAGTTGGGGGTCTTGGGAATTGTCGTGAGGACGATCACCGACCTGCGCTTCGTCTACTTCGTCCTCGATCGTTTCTGCAATTGAAGTCTCCGCCTCCTCGACGGTGACCACCTTGGGAGATTGGTTCGCCACGTCACCAAGGGCGGTAAGCTGCTCGAGAGCGGATGGCTTCATATTCGGTGTCTCGGAGTGTGAAGAGGAAGGGAATGCACCAGGGAGTTGGGGCAATTGGGAAGGAACGTTAGAGGAGCCTGCAGGTACGGTTGCGGGTGGCATAGCTGGGGTGTCAAATGCACCAGGCAAGTGCGGAAGCCGGGGAGGCGCATCGAGCGAGCTACTTGGGGCCACGTCTGGGATGTTGGAAAAGATCTCGTCGGCGGATGGTGCATCAAACTCCTCGGAGAAGCGCGACTTGCGGACTGGGGTATTTGACTTTCCGATCTTGGGTGCTTTTCGAGAGAGCTCGGGTGACGGAACGCGCGCTTCTATGACTGGGAAGTGTGCAGGTGCTTCGTCGGATCCGTCCTCGGACAGTCGAATATCTCGAGATCTCTGTGGGATTGGGGTTGAGTCCAAAGGCCGGTTCGGAGCTTCAAGGCGATCAGGCTGGTCCTCGGAACTTCGGGCATTGGTAGATCCAGTAGGTGTCTTAGAAGGCGATTCCCGGGATCGGACTGGTGCTTCCAACCGATCAGTGTCCGGGCCTCGGCCGTTGCCGTATCTGTCGTGGTCACGAGTTGGGGTTGGCGCCTGGATGGGGGCATCGCTGGTGGTGACATGCATTACGGGTGGGCTTGTCGTCCTCTGGAAGGTGTTCATTGCTGGGCCCAAGATGGTGCTCTTCTTCCTTTCTTCACCAGCTTGGTGGTCTGCTTCTTCGATCGGAGTGAGCGTCCCTTCTCTGCTGCGTCGTTGGTTGACAATCGAAGGGCCACCCTCGGTCCTAGGGCTAAAAGAAGATTGAGAGACATGACCGACTTCAGCAGGGTACGACGCAGCCACATTGGGTGCATTTCCCTGCCCCGGTTCGTGGAAGTGTACTTCTCGCAGAGCGGGTTGTCCGTCAGGCGGCGATGAGCTTTCCGGAGACGTGATTGGCTTCAAAATGCCTCTGGGGGTAGTCATCCGCGGCTCCGACTTGTAGCCATCGGGTTTGATAGCAAAGATGGGCTGGTAGTCCTCGCCAAGGGGTCTCGGGGGAGGAAGGTCGGCCTCTTGTTTCATACCCTCACGCTGGCGGATCTCGAGGTCATTACGAATTAGGGAACATGGCTGGCAGAAAATGCCTCTGGTCATGTCGTCTCCTGCTGTGCCCTTAATGCCGTACTTTTGACGGATCCTGGTCGTCTCTCTACCGGTGTAGATGCCGCTGCCGATACCTTTGTTATTGTCAATCAAAGGTCACAGACCGAGCGTTAGAGAAGAGTAAGTGTGAGACGTACAGAAACCCCCAGTGCACAACCCGAAGAACTTCCAACAAGTGGGGTTGAAGTCTTTGTAATCGGTGAGATCGAGAGGATCTCGACCCTGTTTGATCAAGTCCAATCGATAACGTGTATGGGCGAACATGTCACAGGGGAGGAAACAAGCTCGGGGACAGTCATCGTTGTCGCCGGGGTCGTAGAGACTGATTTTCCAGTCATTTTCTGGTATTTCCGGCGGCCTGGACGATGTGCTTTCTGTTTTGGTCGACATCTCTCTGTTCTCCATTACAGGTGTGAGCGCGAATGGGGGGAGATGACCGGATCTGCGGAAAATAATGATACTGGATTTGTGAAGGGATTATGCCGGGATGATGGTTGCGGGCAAATGAGTGGCTGGGATGAACTGGAGAAGTGTTCCGCGAAGGAGGATGGCGGTTTGACAGGGCGAGGTGAAGATGTGGTAAGTTGCTATTTCAAGCACACATGTTTTGTCTGGTTGTCATGTGTTCTTGCCTCGTACTTGGTGTTTTGGTTAGTGAGAGGTAGGTGTCGACATTGAGTTGCGCTTGCACCGACTCCCCATATGTTGAACTCTCCAGGGTCAATTGAGATTGCGTCATCGAAGCTTATCTGGGATGTCCGCGCTCGCCGAGCAGCATAACAAAGTCAAATATTTGACAGATTCAGAGGTAAGTAAGTACGCTCACTCATCCGTTCTTGCACGAGGTTAAATCATGCCTTCCCTCGTCCACACCCAGTTAAACGTCCACCACTTCATCCCCTGCCAATGGCCTTTTCAGTCGAGCTCGAACCGGGTAGTGAACCGGGTAGGCCGGACTTGCTGATTGTAGAATCTCTTGATTCTGGCAATGACTCTGGCGAGGGTGCAGCGGCTTAGATTTTGCGTCAGATGGATTTTCCGAGACTGTCGCCAAATCCCCGGCCAACTGCAAGGTGGGCCATAAAAGTCGGCATGAGTTCTCGTCAAGTTCATGTGAATGTAGCTGGGTTCACTCACCTTGTCATCCTTCAGCTCATCCCTTTAATTTTACTGCTTGGAGCTGCTTTCATCATCCGTCTTAAAGTCTATGTTCTTGTTGTCCGAGTTGGTCTTTCTCAGCTTCTCGTCGTCTCACTGTTTGCCTCGCCCTGGCCGCTTCCTCTTTGCGTTCGTCGTGCCTCATGAACCCTTCGTGCTCCTTTCCGTGATCAACGAGTTTCTTCTTTGCTGATCCGCTGGAGATTAGGTATTGGCACGGATATGCCAGGAGACGTGGGCAAGCTGAGGAATTGTTAGCTGCGCTCGTACAACTCGGAGAAAGAGACGAGCATGTCCAGTCGCTTGCCTTGTGCACATTGCCCAGGGTTGCATATCCTCTTTTGCCAACGGAGCGTGTCGAAGTCAGATGATTAGTTGTGTATGGGTAGGCAGGCGAATTACTTATGGCAGGATGGAAGCTCGCAATCTTGAGGCTCCCAGGATGGCGGTTGGTGTGGTGAATGGTGTATATATGGTCTTCGTGTTTGGCACTTCAAAGGGAGAGGCAAATGAACAACAGTCGTTTGTTAATAACGTGAAGGGTAGCTAGAGACAATCATTCCATTATATACGGCCGTTTCTCTCTTTCATGTCCATTCTGTCACACACGGAATATGGCCCTGATGTTGTCTATTGGACGACACCACCAATGATGTCGACGACTTACACAGTACACGCGAGTCTTGGCGGCAGCGATGAAGCGGCTAAACCTCTGTCGTCTTGAGTTGCGCTTTCGTCAATGCTTCTCTCATTTCTGGCCCCTTTTCCTTTCACATAATTTTGATTCGAATGAAATGATAGAGATCACAATTCTTGCATCCGTGGCTGCGGTGTTGTTGATGGGGAGCTGGTGTCTTTCCATCAACTCACTCCGTCGGCAGCAACAGCAGGTGGTCCAAGCTTGCCGAAACATGATGCCAGAAGAGATAACTCCACTTGCCTGCCGCAAGCTGGTGCCTGCCTGGAGTCTGGCGGTACGTACCTACCTTGGCCGATTGCCCCTGTCATCACCCCACCATTTGACAGCACCTCAGCGGCGGGCATGAGCTATGTAGTAGCTGCTGCTGCCACTTCGGTCGCCGTCCAGACTTGTGCAGATGGGAACCTTTTTCGGTTGACTTTACAGTTCATGCCTAGTGCCTGCGTTGTTGCTGTTTGACCTGACAGAGAGAGAGAGGCAAACAAACATTCGACCTTTTTTTTTTTTTTTTTTTTCTCTTCCTGCAACAACAACAGTCTTGAAGTTTCCGTCCTTTCCCGCGCATTTCCATCCCGCTCCCCGATCAACGAAGCAACGGCGACTCGGATCACACCAGGTCAGGCAGTCCCGTCCACAAAGGAAGCAAAGCCTAGGTAGTGTCAGCTCCAGTCTGTTTACATGTAGGTGGTAGCTCACCTTGCTGGCCCTTCTCCACTCCACCTCGCGATATCAACATCATCAAGTCAACAACTGTTTGTTTACTGCTAGCACCATACCACACGGCGCAACAGTTTAACGCGCGGAAAGCTAACATCGCCAGAGAAACCCCAGTGTTTGCCACATCTAGTACCATTATCGAATGTGCGGTTGATCCCACAATAATAATACATCCATCATGGCGACGACGGTCCCGACCAACCCGACCTCCCACACGGTCAGCCTCCTCCTCACCAAGATCAGCGATGCCGACCCCGATTTCCGCTACATGGCCCTCAACGACTTGTTGGCCACCTTCAACGTTGCCAAGCCAGACATCCTCCAGCACGACTTCAACACATCAAATCGCACTCTTGACGAGGTCATCAAGGCTTTGAGTGACCAGAATGGCGAGGTCCAGAACCAAGCCATCAAGGTGCTAGGTCCCCTGGTCAAGAAGCTCCCCTCCCCGCTCTACTCCACGGCCATGCAGAAGCTTATCGAGTTGCAAAGCCATAACTCGGATGTCAACTCAGTTCCTGCCATGGCCCTCAAAGCCGTCGTCGAGGCCTTGCCGCGTCCTGTGCCTGGTGTTGCGCTGACCAAGGAAGCTCAAGAGGCTTATGACAGCGTCAACAAGTTGCTTATCCCTCGTTTCCTCGGTCAGACTGCCGGCAAGCAGGTACCCGGTCTGCTTCAGGGAGCCCAAGTCACTTCGGACTCTGTCGACGTTCTTATCGAGGTTGTCAGATGCTTCGGCCCAGTGCTGACCCTGGTCGAGATCGAGGCTCTCCACGATGCCGTTCTCAACCTCTTGGCCCAGGAGAAGTGCGCTTCCGTCGTCAAGAAGAGGGCCGTTGCCGCTGTTTCCATGCTGGCTCATTACTTGTCGGACGATCTCTTGGCTGCTTTCGTCAAGCGCACTGTCGCTCTGTTACGCAAGTCTAGCATGCCACCCGCCACCCGCCGTCTCTACATCACCATCCTGGGTTCCATGGCCCGCTCCATTCCTCACAGGTTTGGCCGATATCTGCCAGAAGTCGTCAGTTTCGTTCTCGATGCCCTCAACGAGGAGGAGTTGCAGGCACAACTCGAAGCAATCCAAGAAGGCAGCGAGACTACCTCGGAATGGAGCGACGTCCGAGAAGCCGCTCTTGTTGCGCTAGACGCATTTCTCTCGTCCTGCCCCAACCAGATGCGTCCGTACACTAATGATGCGATCGAGGCGTGTCTGCGTTACCTCAAGTTCGACCCCAACTACGCCGCCGACGAGGACGAGGATATGGAAGAGGAGGAAGAGGAGGATGACGATTTCGACGACGACGATGAGTTTGAGGCTGATGGTAACTTTGACGACGACGATGATGCCAGCTGGAAGGTCAGGCGATGTGCTGCAAAGGCCCTCCATACCATCATCTCCACGAGAAGCAGCGGCGACCTCCTCGAGAGCGGTGTTCTCTACCAAAAGGTTGCCCCGGCATTAGTCAAGAGGTTCGACGAGCGCGAGGAGAATGTTCGCCTTGAGGTTCTCTCTGCCGTCTCTTTGCTGATTCGCAAGACGGGAGAGGGTGTTATCCCCGACTTTACGATCGACGACGCCACTGGCGATAGCCTTGGCCAAGCTCCTCAAAGCCGGAAGCGCAGACGCCAGAGTAGCGCAGCCGGTCAAGCTGGGATGCCCGTCAACCTTTCCGGCACCGGACTCACGTCGCCAAAGGCCGAAAAGATCCCAGCATCCGGACCCCGTGCCGATCTTGCCGCCCTCACTCCTGCTATCGTCAAGTCGGCTACCAGGTTGCTCAAGGGCAAGCTCATTCCCACGAAACAGGCCACAATCAGCATCCTTGATGATCTGATTTCTGTTCAAAAGGGTGGCCTTGCACCGTATCTTGACCAAATCACAGATCTTATCCTGGATGCCATCAAGGTGACCGGTTCAAGCACTTCATCCGCGCCGGTTTCCTTTGCTGGTGGCAGCGCCTCTGCTACGACTAACACTCTTCGCATTGCCGCGCTTCGCCTGATCAGCAGCTTCGCGAGGAACCACTCTTCAAACGACCTGCAGCCGTATCTACCAAAGATCGTTGATGGCGTTGTTTCGGTTGTTCATGACCGTGTCTACAAGATCGCCGCTGAGGCGGTCCAAACCGCCGAGGAAGTCTCCAAGGCCATCACTCCCCCGCGTGCTCGTATGACTGCGCAAAAGTACAAGGGAGAGCTGCACAAGCTTTACAGTGTGATTGTTGACCGTACCACTGACAATGACGCTGACGCTGAAGTCCGCCAGAAGGCCATCCATGCCCTTGGGACCCTCCTCTCTCGAACTTCGGGTACCGAGGGCGCTGCCTTACTCTCGGACGTGGACCGGAAGACTGCCCTCGGTCACCTCAAGGAAAGGCTCTTCAACGAAACCACACGTCTCGCCGCCGTTCGGGCCATTGACACTATCGCCGCTTTCTCGTCGTCTGAAATCTCTTTTGACGCACCATGGACGCAAGAAGTGGTTGTTGAACTTGCCGCTCAGTTGCGCAAGGCCAACCGTTCCTTGAGGGGTTCCAGCGTCATGGCTCTCAAGCATTTGGTCCTCTCGCCGGCTACAAAAAACACTCTGGATGATGCGACTGTCCAAAAGGTGGTGACCGCGCTGGTCACAGTCATCACCCATTACGATGCCCAACTTCTTGGCCCCGGTCTTCTCGTGCTTGCACGCCTGGCCCAAGAGAAGCCGCAAATTGTCATCATCGAGGAGCTGATGACCGCGCTGTGTAAACTACTTATGGAGTCGACAGTTACAGGCACGGTCCTCGACTCTCTTCTAGTGCTTGTCAATAGCATCGGCCAGACTGGACAGGGAGAGGTTCTTATGCAGCGTCTGCTCAACGAGGTTGCCCTGAGCGGTGACCCATCGGTTGTCGGAAAGGTTATCGGTACCCTTCTTGTGGCGAGTGGTAACAGGGGCACCTACACGGCCGAGCTATTTGTCCAGGAGATCCAGAAGCAGAAAGGAGAGAGGGCCAGCCTTGCGCTTACCATCCTGGGTGAGGCTGGACTTCGTCTTGGGGACAAGTTCCCGTACTCTCCCAGCCTCTTCCTTGAGCAGTTCCATAGCGAGTACGACAAGACGTCGCTTTCTGCTGCCGTTGCTTTGGGTCGTGCTGGCGCGGGCAATGTAGCTGCTTATGTCCCCGTGATCCTTCAGTCGATGCAGCAAGGGGGTAACACGCAGTACTTGCTCCTCCAGTCTATCAAGGAGGTTCTTCAGCAGGTTGCCATGTCTTCGACCGACCTTGGTGAGTTATCGACGCCAATTTGGAACCAGATCCTTGCTGCGTCGGGGTCGGAGGACAACAAGGCAGTTTGTGCAGAGTGTATTGGTCGGTTGGTTATTATTGATCCTAAGACGTACATGTCAAAGCTTGTGGTAAGTTGGGACCTACGCTGTCTGTGAGGTTTTCTGGCACTAACGATCCAAAGTCCCTCCTCAACGACCCGTCGCCTTTGTTGAGGGCCATCGCCATTCAGGCCCTTCGCTACACTCTCGCCGATGAGAACGAGGTCTTTGACAGCATGCTCAAGAGCCACCTGGTTGACATGCTCAAGACGATGCTGGAAGATCCTGAGATGGAGAACCGCCGTCATGCCATGTCGACGCTCAATTCGGCGGCGCACAACAAGGCGGACGTCATCCTTGGTCATCTTAACAAGCTGATGCCTTATGTCATGAAGGAGACGGTGATCAAGCCGGAACTCGTCAGGGAGGTGCAGATGGGTCCGTTCAAGCATATTATCGATGATGGTTTGGAACTTCGCAAGGTGAGTAGGTGATTTTGTGTACAAGGCTACCTGAGACTAACGTTCCTAGGCTGCATACGAAACCCTGTACGCGCTTATGGAAACCGCCTTTTCTCGCATCAGCATCATCGATCTTTACGACCGCATTGTCGCTGGCCTGTCGGATGATAACGACATCAAAGCTCTTTGCAACCTCATGGTTTCCAAGCTCGCCTACATCGACCCTGAGGAGACGATTCGCCGCCTAGACTCCATCGCAGAGGCCTTCCGTAAGACGCTGTCGACCAAGCTGAAGGACACGGCGGTCAAGCAGGAGCTCGAGAAGCAAGCCGAGGCCAACCGGGCAGCACTTAGGGTCACGCTCTTGCTCGGGGAGAAACTCAAGGCTTTCCTCAGCGCGGGCGGCGCGGTGGGAGCGGCAGTTCCCGGGGGATCGGCTGCGGTGTCGGGTACTAACCAGGTCTGGCACAGCTATTGGGAATGGGCATCGAAGGAGTATAAGACACAACTTCAGATCCTAAGAGATGAGGATAGCAAAGGTGCCGGCGTGATTTAGTATGGTCAACCGGATTATAGTACATCAACGGCTGAGGGAAAGCGAACCAGGGAAAGCGACAGTGAGGAAGAGACGGGATGTTCTCGTGGGAAAAAGGTGGTGTTGATGAACAAGTTCCGACCTGCCTTGCATGATGGGGTAGCTGAGATTGGAATGGAAGTGAGCAAGTTGTGACGGTGGTGGACAGAGCAGCTTTAAAAGCTTCTTTGGTTGCCATTTTGGGACAATGAAAGGACGATTAAAAATAGAGAGAGAGGGATTGTGGTGATAGGTGGAAGTGGCTATGGTCTTATTGCAGCACGATAGAAAAAGTTGTCGAGTTTCTAGAGGCGGAACAACACTATACGATACATATGATACCTACCTATTTTATTCCTACGCTGGCTGAGCATTGAGAGTTGGCATGGTGAACGATGCCAAGGTTGAAGCAATGGGTCGTTGTATTGATTTGATAACAACGTGCGACAACACAAAAAGAGCACGCTTATTTCCCGCCATTAGTGTTTTTCAGTATTGCTTATATCGAGTAGCGAGGCATATACTTATTCAATTCAACCTAGGTTGAGTGCGCTTATAATATTGTCGGTCTCGTTGGATGCCATCACTGGCCATCAAGAAACTGGGCGAAAAGGGGGAAAGTCAAGGACAAAACAAGTCGAATAATTGCATGTGCCTTGCTTGAGCGTGCAGAGAGTATGCAGGCACTACAGGTACTTCCAAGGTACCTTCTGGTCGCCGGATCCACCTACCCACCAAGCCACAGTCAATCGCGGCTACCGTAGCTTGGCTCACCCACTGATACTGACACCTGAAGCTCCCGAGTCCCCTCGTCAACTTGCGGCCGTTCATGTCCCACCATCCCAAGCATCCAACGGAATCCAGCCCACCAAATATAGCTGTCTACAGCATCGCGGGGACACCAGTTCAATCAGCGACATCATACACAACAACACCATAACCGTCGCGCGCATACCTACACTACGTTACCGCCTCCATCGATCGACAAACACGTCGTCGACACAAGCGTCATCACCAGCAGCCATGTCCAACCACCTACCAGCCGGAGCAGGCAACGGCGGCGGCGGCGGGCGTGCAGGAGATTCCGGGCTCCGATATCCGTCGAACGGCAAGACGATTTACCACCGGCCGCTCAACCGCACTAAGACGGCGGAGCTGAGCAAGGCGGCCTTTGCGTATTTGTTTGCCGAGATGGTGTCGTATGCGCAGAGGAGGGTGACGGGCATTCAGGAGTTGGAGAAACGGTAGGTCATTTTTCTCTTCTTTGCACGCACTCGTACACTTTCCTGCCCACCACTTTCACCATAGCCCATTCATCCAGTTCAGATGCTTACCTCATGACCTGCTTCTAGCCTCAACCTCCAAGGCCACCCTATCGGTCTCAAACTCCTCGACCTCCTCCTCTTCCGCGAACCTCCTCGCACGCAACTCCGTCCACTGAACATCATCGCCCTCCTACACTTTATCAAAATCAACGTCTGGACGCACCTCTTCGGGCGACAAGCCGACCGCCTCGAGAAATCCTCCAACCCCGACACGCCGGACGAGTTCATGATTATCGATAACGAGCCGCTGGTGAATGCGTATATCAGTGTGCCCAAGGAGATGAGCCAGTTGAACTGTGCGGCGTTTGCGGCGGGGATAATAGAGGGGGTTTGTGATGGTGCGGGGTTTCCGGCGAGGGTGACGGCGCATACGGTTGGGGATACCGGTGGGGGTGGGAGTAATAATGGGAGTGGAGGGACGGGAGCGGATGGTGGGAGAGGGGAGGGAGGGGAGATGTGGCCTGGTAGGACGGTGTTTTTGGTCAAGTTCCAGCCGGAGGTGTTGGAGCGGGAGGCCTTGATTGGGGCTAAGAGTTGATGATGCGGAAAGGAGATGGAAAAGGCAGGTTGGAAGGAAGGGAAAGGATGCTGAAGGAGGCATATACTCTGTTTGGGGATTTGGGATCTGGGATTGGGCATTTAGCACGGCGTTTAAGCGGTCATGATGGCATTGTTTGTGAAAAATATTATTAGCACAGGTCTAATGAATGACTAGTTAATACCAGAGGCGCATTCTTCGAGGGAGCAGCAGAGTCATCTTTCACGGACTGAAGAGACCACGTTGGTGTTGGAGAGGAAAGTTAAGTTGTTTTGGGTACATAACTTTAACAGCAAAAGCCCATGGGATATCTCTGATAAGCAAACTTGCGCCATCCTAGCTATGTCGCCATACGCCGCTTCCAACCTGCCGTCTGTCGTGATGTTATCTGTTGTTCTGTGATCCATGCCCGTCAAGGTGACCTGTATAATTTTTTGACCTTCCAACTCCGTGCGTTGCGCTCCGTCACCGAGTCGCAAAAGGGAGACCCGAACTCCTGCCCATGCTATAACCGCAAATGTTCCGTAGCTGTTCGCTCGCCAGCGTTGTATCGCGTCGCTCATGCGCCGCCGTCATTGTGTGTCATATCCATCCATCTCCTCTTGTCCCGATCATCACCATCCCCCCTTCCACTTCGACATTACTTTTCACCTCGGCAACCCCCCATGCCCACCGGCTCTCATCTTCTTCCTAGCCACCCTGCTCCTCCCTCCATTCCCCGCCCCTGGTCCTCCACCCCCCGCAACCCCCGCCGTACTCCCACCACCCACTCCGCCATTCCCTAATCCCAGCCCGGCCCCCGGCGCCCCGGGACCCTGCTGCATCAGCTCCTCCAGTCCTAAATCCCTCCAGGCCGGCTCGCGCGTCTTTTGTGTAGCCTTTTGGATGCCGAACGCAGCGTGTTGGTCGGGCACCACGTCGTCTTCGTCTTCGGGGTTAAGAGGCTGGAGGTGCGGAGGCACGTAGATGTCTTCCGAGGCTGGGAGGCGGTCGCGCGTGAAATCGTCGAAGAGGTCGGCGTGGTGGGAGGCGTGTAGGTGGACGGGGGTGAAGTGGGCGTCTTTGTTCTAAGCACGGGCGGGGGGACTGGTTAAATTGGAAAAAATAAAATAGATAAAGGAGGGGAGAGAGCGAGTGAAGGAGGGATGGAGAGGGTACGGGAAGAGAGAAAGAGAAGACAAGACATACCGTACTTCCACCGTCACTGACCGGTCCAAAAAAGGTGTCAACGTGATCCTTCAATCGCGGCGCAGGCATAATTTCGTCGAGATAGTCGAGCTGGACGTTGGAACGAGGGCGCGGGTAGATGGGGTGAAGAGAGTCTTGGATGGCGTTCCAGTGGTGACGGTGCGGATCGGTAGGGTGGCCTGGCCGAGATCCGAACCGGTTCGCGGTCCAGGCTGAGTGGTGGTGAGACATCCCGCCCGTCCTTCCTGTGGTGGTGGTGACGCAGGGCTGGCTTATCGCGGGGCTTGGCGAGGACGATAAGGAGGTGTGGCTGGTGCAAGTAGGCTGGATGTAGAGGTACTTTCGTTGCCGAAGTACTGTAGCGCTGTTGAACGTCGCGATAGAAGTTGCGGGCCAAAACCAAAACACCAAGAATTGGCTGGTGATAAAAGTTGGTGTTTAGGCAATTTTAAATAAGAGAGGAGGGAAAACGGGACAAGTCCATCTGCTTGGGACCCGATTTCGTTGGCGCCGAACTGGAAAGGTTCAGATGGAACGAACAAGTCCCATTCACGCGTGCCTTCCGTTTTCGTTTCGCGTGGACAATGAACGGACCTGAGGGCCAAGTGAAAGAACCAAACCATCGGCGCGGGCTCGCGACGGGCTGATAAGTCGTTTTTAAAAACATGTTCAGTGGCAGAATGCAGACATCTGGCAAAACCTCAAGGATCTCAAGTTGCCCTCGGCCGTTTTTATCGCTAATTTGACACTTCAAACTGACGGGACTGCATGCCTACTTATTTCCACAGCTAGTATGACAAGCGTCAAACATTCTTCTAACCATAATGGTCGAAAGAGCTTGATGATGCAGGAGTGTTTGTCACAAGCACTGGGATCTTGAAGGCTAAAAGGAGTTTCTGGCAACTTGATCCTCGTCAAGTCAAGCCTTGATACGATTATATGTTGCAAGGACAACGAGCGTTTGTAGAGGTATATATCAGCTATCTGGCTCACGTCAGCGACTGTCAGAAAAACCTCCATCGTCAAGCCGTCAAGCTATCGCCATTATGCATCTTGACTAGATCCTTCGAGCTAAAACCCCCAATGAACTTCCCCCGTCCAAGTTACCCTTTACCCTTAGCTATAGCCTTTGCTGGTTAAAAGTAGGTAGTAGTCAAGATCCCAAGGACCTCCCAGGACTGCGACCAGATTCACAGTCCGGTCCGATCCCCTTCTCACCTAGCCTTGCAATACCAGAAAAAGCTTTCCACCACACTGCAATCCTCATCCGGATTACCATCGTTAGCAGCCACATCCCTCTTTCCATAGGTCTGCGTGGTATCCAGCGTCCCCAACGCCAAAGTCACATCATGCGTCGACTCAGGATACACATAGCCGCCCACCTGCTGCTGCTCCACGCACTTATCCAGCACCATCTTCATGTTCTCTCGGATCACTGCCTTGGGGATCTTGACGGGTACGGTTGCGCCAGCCATGATTGCATAGTTGCAGATGGAAAGGTGGCAAGTGTTGTGGGCCGCGTGTTTGCAAGTTTTGGAGTCGGTTGACCAGGAGAGGACGAAGTCGTCCGGATTGGTGGAGGGGGGATTGACATCGGGGTCGGGGATGAAGAGGGTGTTGTTGGGGGAGAGAAAGTCAGATTGGAGGACGCTGCAGTCGTTAAGGCCGGAGGGATAGGGGAGCTTGTTGCGGTCGGTCATCTAGAACGACGTTAGTGGTGAGTGAGTGGGAAAGGGGAAAGGCGAAGACTTACATCAACGCAGGTAACGTCGGACCCAATGGCATTGGCTTTGGGAACATCATTCACCTCGATATTGTCGTGAAAGTCAGGCTTGCCGTCACAACCGCCAAAGAAACCCTGCGGTTGGTTACAGCCCTGACCTGGGTCATAGTTCTCATCGCCCGAGACACGACTGTTTCCGCTAGGATTGCCGGGACCAGCACCGTTCGAACCACAAGACCATGTCCAATCGGAGATCTGAGAACAGGAGTAGTTAGGATTGGCGTCGAAGGGGTCGCTGTCGTCCTTGGGCTTGGGCGCAACCGTGGAAAGAACAGCCGCAAGACGCTCGGTATTGACCTTCAACTTGCTGGCATCGCCATCGGAACCATTAAAGCTGCAAGTAGCATCACCCTGCTTCTCAATGATGCAGCGGACATCAGCACCAGTGCAAACGCAAACCCCCCTCGCGTCGGTGACGCAGGTGAAATCGGGACCTTCGCCGTCTCTGGCGTTGGTCTGGAGGGCAGCAGTCTTCTGGTTCCTGGTGCAAGAAACCTTGCGGCCGTCGTCGAAGATGCACGTCTCGTTGTCGGGGCCGCCGGTGCACTGGTACTGTCTGAGGGAGGTGGAGCTGCAGTTCCACACGTTGGGATCGGTGTCATCTCGGCCTTCGACTTTGGCAGCTGCCTCGGCGACGGCAGCCTCAACGTTGACCGAGTCGTCAGGCTTAGAGAACTTGGTGTTCTGGTTCCAGTTGGGTTTACCCTCTCCGCCGGGGGTGCAAATCATGGTGGCGTGAGCATTGATGCACAAGTCGCCGGGAACGGCGGTTTTGGTCTGAGGGTTGTGGTCGTCGCGGTCAACGATGCCATGGTTCAGTTTGGTGGTCTTGGGAGGTGTCAGTTAGCTTGACTTGAGGGTGATCGGGGTTTGAGAGGGGGGAAACTACCTTGGAACCGGTGAGATCGTGGTGGTCACTAGTGGTGACGCCGACCTTAAGAACAGGCACGGGGCTACCGAAGATGGCAGTGGGTGCCAACGCCAGGAGGACGGTGGCCATGCAAGTGGTGCGCATCTTGAAGGGGTGTAGAAGATGTGGACAGATGTAGAACTTGAAGTAAAGGGTGAACTGAGAGATAGCTTTGTGAGATGGGTGTGATTATGTTGGAAGAGGAAAGAATCTTGTCGTCGTTGGCGGAGGAAAAGGGGTTTCTTATACTTGTTGGGGTGGATGATTCTCGCGGTTTTCGTGAGAACCCTTTCGGCTGGAGGTTTGGATGATAGCGTTCTCATCATTCGATTTCCTGATAATAAGCGGCAGCTTAGAGGCAAACAGCAGGAAGTTGAGACGAACAACCTCGTCATGAGAGAGCTCGTGTGAGGAAAGGCTGCCTGGGCATAAGCAAAATGGTGTTGAGATGGGAAAAAAAAAAAAAAAAAAAAAAAAAAAAAAAAAAAAAAAAAAAAAAAAAAAAAAAAACATCAGATAAGATCATATCTGAGAAAAAGCAGCCTGGAAGTAAACCAACTAAGCACCATGATGCGTGATTCAAGATCGTGAGATGATGGAGGACTTAGAGATTGTGCTCAATATGAAGAAAGCAATGACTTCTCGCTCACATCATTCCCTACGAAAGCATCGCGATTTACTGTCGATGATATTAACGCCAACGTGATGATCTTCGCCAGCAAGTGTTGGCTTTTCTCCCTTGGTAGAGGTTGGACACTCATCACAGCAACTGCTTGTTTTAAGTATTGTACAGCAAGCAACAATGCTTCCTACAGATTTCAGCGTGAGAAACAATACCCATCACATTGCTCTGGACTTCTTGAAACCTCGGCCGGAGCACATCCGCGAGCTCAGGCGTGAATATAAGAGCAAATCATGTCGTCGAATATTCCATATTGAGGCTAGAACCATCAGACTGCGAAGACTCGACAGCTGTTGGTTCACGCTCAATCTCTTTCCCGGCTTGAAATTTTGTGAATGACCTGCGTTGTGAACTTTCATCGCTGAATCTGAGACCGTCATTATCAACAAATGATATCCTTCTTGCCCCTCTGCTCTTACTCGGACGCTTGTCTGGATCACTCTGGCTTGTTTTTTTTTTTGCAAAAACGGGGGTCTGCCGTGGAATCCAGTCACGTAAAGCGAGCAAAATGCGATGAGACTCAGAAAGTGACTATTGACGATGAACTATGCCATCGGTAGCCGTCTTACTTCTCATGAGCTCCGGATAGATCATCACGAGAGGCAAAAAGCACACACCAAGCAATCCTTCCCCGATTTGCCAACTTTCATCTCAGGCACCAGACCCGGAAGGAACTCAGGGAAGTGAGGGGAGCGCCTTACTTTCCTTGCGAACCCGAGGTTTACTTGATGCAGAAAGCCGAGATGACTTCAGATGAGACCTTCATTGCTTCAGGTGACAACAAGGTGATTTCAGGGTAGAACACACTTGCGTCCGGAGACTTGCCTGGGCTTTCATCCCAATCCTCATACCGACGCAGCAAGCCTTGGGTGAGGCGGATATTTGCCAGTCTCATGGAATGAGGGACTCGGTGCGTGATCATCCGTTGGTGATACGAAATCTTCCTCTGAAATCACTCGGATGGGATCTGGAGTCCCTACAATCCGCACCTACATGCACATGTGCTTTAAACAAGGACAAAGGCGAATTTGAAGTGAAACGGCAGACGTTGACCGACGAGGAGATCTCCGACGGTATAACAAGAGAATCTGACGATGATGATGGTGTGTTGCACGAAGATGCGGTGGAGATCAGGAACACCAGCGAGCTTTTACACAAAGGGACGATGAGGCAGGTGTAGGTACGTGCGAACTTTCGGACGACGCGAGACCCTTTGGTGCTGGCAGTCTGACAGAGAGGGAGAGGGTGACATATGACACCTGCTCTGCACAACGTAGGTTGTGGCTCGACTATCCTTGAAAGTGTTTGGCCTTCAATGTTGATATCGTGTGGCGATTTCAATTGGACTTGGGTCTGTGAGGGTTTTGCGGGAAGACGCCGCATCCCAAACCGTGTGAGTGTGTGTCTCTCGGCCCTTTAGAGGGATGACCTGGAAGCCATGGCCTGAGGAATAAGGAAGGAGGAATGCTGCTTGACTAGCGGCAAAAGCCATGGTCGATAGTTCTTTATGCTAGCGTTCCTTTTCCCCGCATTGTACCGGAATATGCCGCGTAGTTCTCGTGGGAGCTGCGGGCGATAAGGTTTATAGTGGCGAAGAGGACCCGAGGGAGTTGACAGGAGTAGTAGGGAGGTGGAATTAAGCTCATGGAGTGGAAATAGCTTCCCGTCCAGACCGCCCCAGGCTTTTGTTGGTGCGAATGGTGGGACCGGGGACGGAGCCGAAGGAGGGGGGTATCGGGCTACATATTGGGGTCGTCTAGATGATGTTGACCGGTGAAGCACTAATTGTTCAGAATATAGTATCGTTAGGTATTCTCGGAGCGTTTGAAGATAAAGACAAGTGAAATGGATGGATCCTGATAGTTCAAGATTGATTGATCCCGGATGTGAAACGTAAAGAGACCAAGGAAACAAGCAATGTGGAGACGCAAGGAACACGCGTAACAAAAACAAGAAGCGAGCCTTGGCAAAACTAATGGCGGCAAAGTTTAATTCTCAGGGAACGGCGTTGCAACCGGGAGAACGAACCGTCCTTACCCACATCCCTGGGTTTGCAGTTGGCACAGTATCGTGTGTAGTGTAGGTATAGTGTAGACATGTGTGAGACCAACACTGAAGATAACGAGGAAGGGGAATATGACGAGAAGAAATAAAAGAACCATGGTGTGTCTAGAATGTCGGAGCACGTGTGTGAGGGTCTGGCGCTGAGCTGTCGTCGAACTCGGCTCGTTTGGAACCTCGATCGGCCACCGGTGATGATCATTGCAGCTGAACTAGTGTGACTTGCAGTGAGTGCCTCGAGAGACGGTATGAGGGCAGAAAGGCTCGAATACTTTCCACTGCATTGTCCAATTACTTACAGCTTGCTACCTATGCGGGCGTCTTATCAAGGCACAGTAAGGGCCATAATTTGGACTGCGCGCACTACGCCGACCGTCGATGCAGCCACTTGTTGCACAGGCCGGCACTTCCATCGTCCACGGCTGCATTCACGGCCGGTTGCGTGCTTTTGAGGTGGTTCAGTTCTGTCGGTCAACCATTGGGCAAGTTGAAGTGGAATGATGTTCAACGGATCATCGACATGTTCGATTGTCAAGCACCATTGCCCCTTTTTTCGCTCGAGGGGAAAGGGCAAGCGACGGGGGAAGGTTACTTTTAAAGTAAAGTACTGTACCAACGGTAGTGGGGTGGCCTACTTTAGCTTGGTCCAGGGCTACCCACCATAAGGGCCTCTTCCCGGCCAATCACACAAGCGGCGTGTACCTGGAAAAGGAAATGGGTTGAAATGGGTCTAGAACTGGCTGGTCAAGATCCACTTGAGCTAGATTTCCATTGGCAGAGCACACAAGCGAGCGGCTCAGCCAAGACGTTCAGCCAAGAGTGGCCGCGAGTCGCGACTGCTGCAGGTAGACCCCTGTTCACATGGACTTTCCCCTGTTTGGCCCTAGCTCCCGCCAAGCCTCTACTCCCGTATTCTCAGGGGGCCAATTGGTGAATGGATTGTGAACTACCAAACCACATCGATACGTCGACGACGGACCAGGGGAGAAGGAGCAAAGGAAGTACACTAAGTAGGTAAAAAAAAGACAAGGGAAAAGAGGGAAGAACTAACTGCAGTGACTTGCATTCATTGCGTGCCTCTTTCTTCGCTTGGAATAAGGTGACCCTCTTCCTTCGTTGGTGACAGTGACAGTGCGCAGCGCACCTTCTTAATGGCAGGCACTGCAATGAAAATGTGCTGATTTGTGTGCCAGCAGGTAGGTAGGTACGTATCCCTGCCCCTTCTCATTTCCCTCCCGTCCTTGCGTGAACCGATTGGAAGTTTGATGCCTGCGCCTGGGTGGGTGAGTGAACCTGGTCCGGCCCTGGTTGGTACCTGCCCGTTGCTAGTAGGTGTCATTGCTACTCCCCCACTGGCTCTTGAAACTCCAACTTTTTGCTTGCTCTTCAGTCGTTGTTCCTTCCTCTTGTTTTCCCTTCCCTCTTCTCTCCTCATGCAATACCTGGACCTATCTCTCCAGGTATCGTCATCACCATCCTTTCACCAGGTGGGTGTTCGACGACATCGACGACGACAACCAAGGCCATTCCCTTCACTTCCCCTCCCAGATTCACCGCTATCCGCTTATCGTGACTCGCCTGGAGTGAACCTGGTCTCGTGCAACTTCTCCTCAATCGGTCTTCCTTGCCCCCAGGATCAACCACTGAGGTGATCTTAATACGGGAAATCCCTATCCCTCTTTCCCTTGTCTTCATTTTTGTCTCTCATCTCCCCATCGTCGTGTCTGTCCCACCTACCTGTCTACCTCTACACTTCGACCACACGTGGTAGAGAGATTGTTTGCTGGGGATCCTTCTTTTGGTCTCTCAATTCATTTCACGCCAGTCGATCGATACTCGAGTCGAACCAGATATCGAGATACTACGACCTGTTTGGTGAGTCGCTTTTTCTCTCGTTCCTGTCTGTGCTCACTGCAGTGTTCTGTGTGCGATGGATCATGGATCATGGCCGTTGCTGTACGCACCCGTGCCCACCACCAACATCGTCACTCCTTCCCAACCAAAGTGCCCTGTGTCGCCCTTCTGTGCTTGCTCTTGCATCTCTGCTGAAGACGTGAAGCTGACTCCTTCCAGATCGCCATTTCGGGTAACGCTTCGCCGTCATATATCCCTATCACGCTCGCGGACTAGCACGGTCGGCGACACACCAACATAGACATTATCCAATCCAACTGGCCACTAGGTTTTACTCGTCTAGCCAGTTAGCCTTCAACCACCACCCCAGTCCTTCCTCTCGTCTACTTGACCCTTGCCATCGCCCACTCCCGCTTCCAACATGGCGTCCCTCGTTGAACATGAGCGGAACAAGGCCGGCCTGCACCTTGAGACCACCACGACCCGCCTCGAGCCAAAGACTTCCCGAGATACCCTCATCCCCGACGGCCTCTCTCCCATGGCCGAAAAGAACATGACATTATCGCGCCCCTCAGATGTCTCTACCCCCTACAGCGCTCGTGCCAATCCCTTCGAGTCCGACATCGAAGCCATGGTTACCAATGAAACCTGCGTCAAGAAGACCACAACAACAAAGGGGGCCACAACAGAGTGCCAGGTATGGCCCGGTCAAGACCACTGGAAGCAAAAGGCCAAGGATGCCAAGATGAACCGTCACACTTGCAACTGTCTGGCGCAAATGAGCAAACGCAACCGCATCATCGTCAAGGTCATGATCGGCTTGCTTGTTATTGGTCTTGCCGTTGGCGTGGGCTTTGGCGTCAGCAAGCCGCTCGGTGCCGGCATCTGGAAGAGCGAGAGGCAGAACCAAAAATAACTGGACCACCTATGGGACCTGGGTGCCGCCTTCTCGTTGAGAATCTCTTGTTGGATCCGCACAATCGCCCAACATGCGCATCATGAGGATGCCGCGACTACAAAGAGGACGACTTCATAGCCCTCTGTTTGATAACCCTACCCGGCCCGCAACAGCCTGCCGACACTTTCCTTTGTCTTTTGTCTGCCGTTTCTTGGCAGGCTGCATAACCGCCCTGCTTTTTGGTCTTCCAAGCGGTTACGGCGTTAAAATGGTTTTATATCCTTCGTGCTCGGTCGGTCATAGAACGCGACACATGCGGATGGCGTTAAACGGAGTTTAGTTCGACTTGTTTCGATATGGCGAAATGGATTTTGACAACTACATCTATTCTTCTTGATGCAAATGGGTGGGGAAAGAAAGAGGAGGGATATTGAGGGGCTGTCATGATACATCTTCAAGAGGAAGAACGTGAAGGAAAAGCGATTGGTACATGATATATGCAACGCAAGGGAGAAAAGGGATGACGAGGAAGCTGAATGGAGCGGGGGCTGAAGACTTGGGCCACTGGGCTGGACCTGGACGATGATGGGAACATGACGGATTTCCCCAAAGCATTGCAAGACTTAATTCAACATCAGATATGGTTATGGATGCAGATCTGAGGAGTGAGTCAGAAAGGCTCATGCAGCTTGTATCAGTTGGTTGTCAGTTGTTGTTGTGGTTGCTTCAGTTAGTGTTGCGATTTGTGGATGACTAATGACAATGGGTGCCCTTGCTGGTATGCTTGGGTGCATTGCTTCCCTGGTATACTGTTCTCGTCCCGTCGACTTTGTTATGTTATTGTCGGCTTAGATGGGTTTGCGAAGATCATGACTTGTTTGTATCGCTTGTAAACTACTTGATATCGTTCTAGACGGCATAGGGGCATATGTTTGGCTAAGACATGGATACAATAGGTACATGGAAGACAAAAAGCAGTTACAATTGTTTTGGACAGATTCATTCGACTTATCTAGTTTCATTGGTAATACCTATTCCCCGTCTTGACTTTCTGCCACTCGTTCACAATCCTCAATGGCGTTGACCATTTCCGTGTCGGCATCCCCAACCCATCATCATCATCAAGAGTCCCACCTGAGGGTAACACGCCTGCCCCCCATTCCAAATTCCCTTGCGCCTTACGTCCTCTGCTCTGGCCTTGGGGATGGCATACCCACAAGTGATACCGAAGACCCTGTCCAACACTCAGTACCTCCAACACCAGTTCATTGCCAAGCCCATGGAGATTTGTCTTTTTTTTTTTTTTTTTTTTTTTTTTTTTTTTTTTTTTTGGTTTTCTTTCAGTGGGTAAATAATGAAAGGAACGGGAGGAGAAGTAAAAGGCGACGGAGAACGAGAATCGGGCCCAAGGGGGCTATCACAGTGTGTGTGTGTGTGCGGTAGGATAGGTCTCGAAAATGACATGTCGCAACAAGAGAATGACCTTTGGTTACGAGGTACCGAAGAACCATGGCTTCCCAGAAGTGTTGGTTGATATTGGATGAATGGACATAACAACTGGGCCTTCAACAGGATACCTCCATACCAAAGGTTGATGCGAACGAGCAGTTTATACACAAGGTAACATTATAGTATATATACTGTATCTAACATGGTAGGCACTACGCGAGTAAGAGTACCTGCCTGTAATTGTTTACACGAACCTAACCTCCTCAAACACGCCCGCCCTAACTTGCACCAAGCTCGCCAGCTCAAAGAGGAAGGATTGCAAGATGATGACGTTCGTCAGGACATGGGATACTGATGCCTTTGTTGCTTCTTCTTCTTCTTCTTTGTCCGCGGCTCCAGCTGCCTCCTGGGATGCTTGTCGTTCTTGTTGGTTCTCGGCCGTCTTTTGTTGCTGGTCGGGGTTCTGGCCGTCAGCCGTGGCGGTGGCGGGATTCTGTCCCTCCGAGTCCGTGGTTTCATCATTTATTTCGGAGGAGGTGGGAGCCTCGCCAACCTCGTGAGGAGTGTCGGTGCCGGCAGCGGGTGCAGGAGAAGGTGGATCATCCTTGGGAGGAACAGCCGGCTTCGCCTCCTCATCATCTTCATCCCCTTCCAAAGCATCTAATCCCCCATCTTCTCCCTTTGGCGGCGGGCGATGAACCGTCAACCTCGGTAACACAGGTCCATTCTGTCCCTCCCCAGCCAGTCTTTCGCCCAACTCCAATTCCTCATCAGCCTTGCTATCGGATTGCCCATCAAGATTAGGACCAACGTGTTTGGCATCAGAAACATCCGGAATCCCCACTCTCCTCGCCAAAATGCTCTGATCCACAGCTTGAAACGCTCTAGCTTGGCTCATCACCAACTCCATCTTCCCACTGCCACTAATGTCACTAGCCACTGCGCCGGGAACACTTGCGCCGCCCAATGCGCTTCCGCTTGCTCCTAGGCCAAAGCCGCCCGTTCCCTTGCGTGGCGAGGTGACGAGCATGCTCGGCGTCCGGTTCCTAGGTGGTAGGGGAGGCGGGGCTTCGTTGCTGGTGAAGTAGCTCGTTCGCTCGGAAACGGTACGTGTGGTATTGGAGCGGGGACGGGGCGAGTTGTTCGCTGTGCGGTTAGGAGATGTAGAGATGGTGGAAGAGAGGTCGGAGAAGATGCGCTGGGCGAAGGACTCTAGGCCGAGGCCGGAGGTTGGTCGTTCGGGCGCGGTATTCCCCGGGGTGCTCAGACCGGGCGTGAGCTGGGCGGGTGGCTGCAGTGTGGACGGCGTGCGTGATCGCGAAGGGGCGGCTGAAGGGACGACGGAGGGCGCGACGGAGGGTGGTATTGAGGCTCCGTCGGCTGTTTGGAAGGCTTCGCGACGTTGCTGGAGCAGGTCGTTGAAACGGGGGATGGTGTCGCGGTAGGCAGCGACTTCGTCACAGAGGGTTTGCAGAATGCGCAACAACCGGGGGAGTGAATCGCGGGACCATTGCGGCCGGCGCCGGCAATGGTGCATGGAGAGGAGTTGTTGGTATTCGTCGTATTCGGGGGATTCGGGGTCGATGTCTGCCGGTGGTTCGGCCGCAGGTGCGTCCTGGTCTTCGTCGTACGTGTAATTGGACGGATGCCTCAGGAACCAGCCCTCCAGATGCATGTACCCGCAAATGGCCAGGTCGAAGATGACTTCGGTTAACGACAGGTTGGTCTCAACGGGATTGATAAAGAATGTCTCGAGCCGGTCCAAGACACTGGTGAGCAGGGGGTCATCAGGGTGCAGCGTGTGCGAGCGGACGTCTCTGGGCGCACCGGGCAAGCTGTCGGGGATGGCGGGCTGCTTGTGGTTGCTCGCTAGCGCTTTCGGGGTAATCAACTTCATGGAACAGGGGTGGTTCTCGACGCGAATCATGGTGTCCTTGATGACGCTGTCGTAGATCTCGTTGAAGTTGTCCTCGCCGCCGATGGTCTGGGCCAGGCCCATCAGGTACTCGACTTCCTGCTCGTGGGCGCCCGTGGTTCTAAAAGACGAGTTACCCAGTACGCCTTCGGTGTAGAGCAAGGTGATGACTGCGTAGCGGTGATGTCTCTTAAGAATCACCGAGACCAGCTGCAGTGTGACGTAGATGGTTTGGAGGCTTTGGGACCTGAGACAGGCGAGGATGAGATCGACCAGGTTGAAGAGCAAGGGGTCTGCGGCTTCGGACTTGGAGGCCATCATGGTCGCAAGATCCATAGACTTGCGCTTCCGAGCGGCACTTACGCCGTCCTTGGAGTCGGACGAGACGGATCCTACAATATCGGGCAGACCCAGAAGGTAGTGCAGGATCAGGTTGATCATGTCGGGGTGGTCAACGGATTGGAGGATATGGCGGAGATAAGTCAGGACAGCCACCGAGGAACCGCCATCAATATCTGACGACTCGAGGAGGGAAGGATATCTGCATAGTTAGTGTGGAACCGTGTTAGCATGGCCAGAGAGCCTTGACTTACAAGAGTTGCTGCAAAAAGATGACCTGGAAGTGCTCGAGCAACGAAGACTTGACCTCTACCGACCGACAGTGGTTCAAGACATCTTGCCAGAACAAGAGATGGGAAAGAAAAGTTTCCAGATGCGACTGGAACTCAAAGGTACAAGAGCTGATGACTTCGTAATTGGGCTTGGGATGTTCGTAGTCGGAAAGGGCGAGGATGGCCGGGAGAGCATTGGACGGATGGTCGATGACGAGCTTGCGGCTCAGCTGACTATACAGAGCACCCAAGCCGGTGGCCATCAGGGTCGACAGATCACTCTCGACAATCCACTGCTCCAGCTCGACGGAGCTCGACGCGGCCTCGATGATGTACAGCAGGCCGGTTCTGGCAAAGTCGCCGACCTTGCCCTCGTGGTGGATGTAGTCCATGAGCAGGTAGAAGAGAGGGAAGTCCTGCTTCTGCGTCCTCCCCGTGAAGCGCTCATGTTCGCCCAGGGGCTGCTTCTCCTCTCCATTCTGCGGCTGCGACTTGAACCAGGCGGGCAGGATGTCGGGATCGAGACGAAGCTTGGTGGTGATGTTGAAGGCCAACTCGACGACGCGGGCCTCGGTGTCGGCGCTCAGACGGAGGGCGTTGGCGCCGGTGATGCGCACCATCAGGTGGGTGAGGCTGGCGGAGAAGTGGTCATTCTCGACAAAGGCCTCCTCCTCGCTCTCGATCAGGGTGGCGAAGAAGAGGACGGCCTCCTTGATGACCCATTCGTTGTTGGAGGTGGTGGAGATCTTGGCTATGGGGATGTATATCTGCTTGGTGGCGCAGAAGGTGATGCACGGATGGGGCAGCGGGCGTCGGTTCTCGTCGGTGAGCATGTTGGTGAGCTCCTGGAGACAGATCTCGATGCGCTCGGCGGCCTCGTCATCGTGGGCGATGCTGGGCGAGAGGCGCCATGCCTGGATGAGCTGCGTGTACTCCTTCTCGAAGCGTTGGAGGCGGCGGACGGGATCCTTGGCGAAGTCCTTCCAGTTCCGCGAGTTGCCCGTCGAGGGGAGCGTGTGTGCTATGAGGCGCGACCAGAAGTCCATGGCGACTCTGGAAGCATTTCGAGGGGGAACAGCAAGCCGGGGAGTGTCTCTCTGTCTGCGTGTGTACACTAGGTACCTAGTCTGGCGTGGGCGGTGATCGGGTCGCCGGGTGGTGAGTGGGAACGGGGGGAGGGAACTGGGGTCGGGTTCGGTGGTCTCGGTCGGTGTCGGTGTCGGTGTACGGCTCACAGCGGATACAACACACACAAGGAAGAATCGCGTCGTGTCGGTCGGGTGGTCCAGGTTGTCCTCCAGATCGACGGACGATTATTGCTCGGCGGCGTCCATGTGGCAGTTGGGTGCTCAGTTGGCCATCAGGGTGGTGGTCGGTGCACGGGCGCAAGGTATGTAAAGGGGTCTCAGGTACCAACCCAATGTACCTTTCACCGCACCGGCAACTGAACTGAACGGACCCTGAGATGGATGGATCTCAGTCAACCCCACCATGGGAGGAGGAAGAAGTGGGGTAACAGCTTCTTCTCAGACAAGAGTGAAACTGCCGTGTCTGACAGGTGTATCCCTGTTAGCAGATTACTATTAATAACGTGGAGAGCGTTAACAGCTTAGTCCCCAAAGATACGTACTGGTACTTATACCTACCTACCTACCTCTAGTACTTGAAGATGTCAACATCTCTGCTTCATCTTACTTCGTCGGGCATCATCACTCAATCGATCCTGCGAAACTCTCTGACATAGAATAATAGGAGCAATCATGCAACTGTGGTTTCCAGAAGCATGTGAACACACAGACGGGGCCAGCAGTCGAGGGCATTCCGATGTCGCCGACTTCCCTTCCTGTTCCTGACAAGCCAATCGTGGTGAACTGTTAAGAGCCAATGGCTGCAATGCGACGCTGTACAAGGCAACCACAGCCAACCAATTCGGACGAGTCATCCAACACTAACAAGTCTGAAATTCTCTTCCTTTTCACAAGCTCAACTCTTTGTTGTCTCTTTATGACTGGACTGCCCCGATCTACCTCCAACCCCCCTACGTTCCCCTACATTGTCCCTACTGCGTCCATTACTGCAGTCATCGACTCAGGACGGGCCGGATGGGAGCCCCGAAGGCCGAGACCAACAATCATGATGAAGCTTCCATTCATATTGTCTGTTGAACTGTTCCCCGCAAGGAAGCTTCAACCAGCCCCTTCCCATATGTCGACGACGTGGCCGGGCCACAGCAGACAGCCAGACGGACACACTTACTACCAAACAGACGTTGGCATTGACAATGATACTGACACTGACGATGCTCTATGCACCTCAGAAAACGGCCCTTTGGGTGCAGCATATGCACATGGATATCTCCCGAGAGCTTCCCTTCGTTTCTCCAGACCCTTGGCAAAAGAAGAGCGACGGACCAAGATGGCTCGCGTACCCAATGCTCCCACACGTTGTGTCCGTATTGGCCTGCCTCTCCCCATCCAATGCAGATTCCACTCTATCGTGGGCGGCTATCAACCCTCACCAGCCTTCATCAACCCTCACCAACCCTCACTGACACCCAAGAAGCCTGACCCTCGTCCACCAGTCATCTACATACCGTCTACACCAATCTGGGGCACACGAAACCGCCACCACTGCCGGCCATTGGAGGCTTAGTGGTTCCACGGCAGCGAATAGGAAGCTGCAGCGGCCCCCCATCGAAAAACGGCAAGGCACTCCCGTCCCTACTGTGGGACTGCTCGCCTTGGATTGACCTGTGTCTCGAGGCAAGGACAGGCACCCAGCAAATCATGGCTCCCGTCGAGGACAGCTTCACGACGACTACCTCTACGTAGACTAGTGTTGTATCAGTTTTTGCTCTTTTCTAGCGTGGTGGGCTGAGAAGGTCATCCACATTTGACGGCCCGCCTCGGTTGACCATGTGTTGTCCTTGTCTCCATCATCCACTTTTCCGCCTCTTGGTTCTGCTTCTTCCCTTTCCCAAATCACCGCTCGTTTCTTGCAATCCATCACTTGTCTACCTACTGCCATTCTACAGTCCATTGTATGTGGGTGGGTGCCTTAGCGAAAACCGCACTCTACCACTCCTCTCTGAACCATGGGTTTCCTCTTCTTTGGTCGGTCAAAGAAACCAAGGAAAGACGATAGAGACGCACCGACATCCCCACACCATCCTCCTCACCTTTCCAGTCGAGGTCATCGTGACCGGCAGGTTTCCGGCTCGTCCTCAAAACATCACTATGCCGCTCTCCCACCACCACCAGCCTACTCGCCGCATGACTGGCACAAGGGTCAGCCGTTCGAACCCGCCGGCCTCCTCCCATCACCGACAGGATGGACTCCGTCTTCACCACAGCCCATCATTGTCAACCAACATCACTATTATCTCGGCACTCCGGGTCCAAACTCCCCACCGCCACAACTCATCCAGTCAATACCACCGATTCCGCCGCCAAAGAACAGCACCAGCTCTCTCAACAAGATGCCCGCGGGGTCGGTGATGGAGGTGGCATCGGATATCTCCCAAGGACCAAGCCTCGCCCACGGCTTTGACGGAATGCTTTCCCATTGGCCTGACAACAAGACTCAGCTACTCAACCAAGGCGCCGCCCTCTACGACCAAATCTCCGGTCGACTAAATGATGTCTTGACGAGGATAGATCTGAACCAAATCAGTGGAGAGGAGAAGGAACACTTCACGTGGAGGCCGGCTGTTCAGGAAACCTCGTATCCGCCCTCATCGAGCATGGTCGGATCGAGATCCGCGGTGAAGTCGGGAATTCGGAGGAGTAGCTCGCATTCGAGGGAGCATAGGGACAGAGAACATCGGGAGCACTCGTCGTCAACGAACTCGGGTGGTTACTTTGCAAAAGTCGATCTCTACGCCAACTCGAGATTGCCTACCGACCTGCCCCCTTTGAGACTGTAGGTACACCGTCATTTTGCATCTGGTCAACTCACTCACCATCATAGGTACATTCCCACCTGGCCCCTCCTCTGTCTCGCCGCTCAGTATTCCGAGCGAGTCTATGAAAGGCCCAAGGGCGCCGAACGAGACGCCCATGTCAACGCCGACTGGCGAACCGGCGCCAAAGCCATGGTCATCAAATCCGTGCCCATGGATTATGTCAACACCATCGTGTTTGCCATTCGCGGCACAGCAACTTTCATGGACTGGGCCGTCAACCTCAACTCAAATCCCACCTCTCCCGAAGGGTTCCTGGACGATCCCGGCAACCTTTGCCACGCTGGCTTCCTTGACGTCGCTCGAAATATGGTCCAACCCGTGGCTCGTCGGCTGCGCCAGCTTCTCGAGGAGGATCCCAGCCGATCGTCGTATTCGTTGCTCATCACCGGCCATAGCGCTGGTGGCGCCGTCGCTGCTCTGCTCTACAGCCACATTCTCTCGACGACAAAGGAGGCGCAAAGCGAGTTGACGGCGGTAGCTGGGTGCTTTAAGCGAGTTCACTGTGTCACATTCGGCACTCCACCAATCAGCATCATCCCGTTGAAGAAACCGGAGGACTTCGAGAGGAGGCCGGAACTCAAGAAAAGCTTGTTCCTATCTTTCATAAACGAGGGCGATCCGGTTGCTCGGGCGGACAAGGCTTACGTGAAGAGTTTGCTAGAGCTGTACACCTCTCCTGCGCCTTCGATCAACCCACTTTCGCCAGCCCCAAGTCGCAAAGGACCGAGCAGTAGTTCTGACCTCAATATGCGCATGAAGCCCGCCGGACAAAAATCTTCTAGATCATCGCTGCAATCATCGAAATCCGGCAAGTCAACAGAAGCCAGGAGTACCGAGCGCCGAAGTAGCAGCGGTAGCAGCAGCCACCACACCTCTTCTTCCTCCGGTTCCTCCCATCGCAGCAGCTCGCGCTCCCGCAGTTCCACATCCTCCGCCAGCTCCGCCCTGACGACAACATCCACGACCGCCTCCTCGGTCTCTAGCAGCCACACTTCCTCGTCCTCGTCGGGACCAACCTGGAAACTCCCCGCCTCCACCCTCTCCTGCGCCGGTCGGCTTGTGGTGTTAAGGAGTGGTGACCCAAAGTCCAGGCTAAAGGGTAAGGGGAAAACGGTTGAAGAGAGATTAAATGAAGGAGTGGTGGCGCATGTGGTGGCGAGCGAAGAGATGTTGAGGGGGGTGGTTTGGGGTGATCCGTTGATGCATGTCATGAAGTTGTACAAGGGGCGGATTGAAACGCTTGCTGTTGGGGCGGTGACTGCCAAGGGGTATTGAGATTTGGAAGAGGAGGGGAACAATGGATGGATGGAGAGGTGGAGGAAGGTGGGAAAGAGGTGATGACTGACGATTTGATGATGATGTTACGACTAAATCAACGAAAAAAAAAAAAAGACATTTTACGGCGGATATACAGCAGCTACAACACATACGGCGACGGCTAAGATACTTTAGATGGACAGACGGATGGACGGATGATACCAGTTGGGGTGCTTCACTACCTACCTACTCAACTCTCTTGTCGCTTACTCTTGACAACATTTTCTTTTTTTCATCAAAATGCATGGTACATAGCATACATTGGGCGGATACCTTATACCTTGAGAACTTTTTACATAGTCAACCAGCTGCAAGCAGCGGAAAGATGGCGGAGCGGATAATACAACTTGGGTTTTGTGTGTGTAAACAACTTGGTTTCTCCTGGCGTTCGATTACCTCTCCCGCGGTTTCTTCTCTCATGGTTCGTAAAACCTCTGAGGACAAGCAAAAAAAACGCAGATTCCCCTCTTCTCTCTTTTCGTCATGACTCATCATGACTCAACCCCCCTTTTTCGCTTTTAGCATTACCTCTTCCAGTCATTCATTCGTTCCTGCTCTAATCGCTTCCCAGCTCTCGGCAAAACATTCCTCCACAACACCACCAGAGAATCGAAAAAAAGGCATGAGGGAATAACTTGTCCCCGCTCCCTCCCCATCGTCTTCAACCAGTCTTGTCATCTCCCACCTCCTCTTCCCACTGCCCCCCACTCACACAATCATTTCACCAAAGTAGTCCGACCAAGTTGACTCCCTTTCCCCCTCCCAGAACCGCGTTCAACATCCCTCCTCCCCTCCCCTGGGTTCCTTCTCTCTCAACCCCTCCACCCTCACCACCTCCCTCCTCGCTCTCCTCCTTTCCTTTTACTTTACCTCCAGTCCTCCAACTCCTCCTCCATCATCTTCATCACTCCTCTCCTCTTCCAATCCGTTATCCCCGCAGACATTTTCCCTCGCCCCTCTCATCAGGACGTCAACGAAAAGGAAAAAGGAGACCGACCGATGAATATCCAGCCTGACTGAGAAGAAGAAGTCAGGTGGCTTTTTTTTTTTTTTTTTTTTTTTTTACCTCCGCCATCCAACCTCCTCAAAATCATCTGGTACACCCATCAAATGTCTCATCCGCTCTTTTTCTCTTGACGTCGGTTGTCCCCGCAACAAACATTGTCCGAGCAAAAAGGACATGACGAAGCAGAAGGTGAGAAGGCCGATCATGATCCAGCCGAGGGGGTTTACGCCGTCGAGGGTGGTGGCGGGGATGTAGTACGGGTCGTCGTTGTTGGAGGCGGTAGTGGTGGTGGAGGTGTGACCAGAGGCGGGTGAGGAGCGGGGGGAGAGTACCTCCGAGAGGGAAGATAGAGGTAGGGAGGGCATTTTTGGGAACTTTTGTGTTGGTCTTTGAGTGCGGATTGGGCTGAGTTGTGAGTGTGTATTTGGATTTGAGGGGTGGGGTTTGTTGATGGGTGATTGTCGGTCGTGTGTGCGAGATGAGTAAAGTCGTGCGGTTCTACTCGGGCTCTCTAAGTGCAGTGCGGCTCTCCAGATGCAGTTCTGTAAGAGAGGTATCAATGCGAAACCCGTGCCTGTCTGACATCAAAGTGTAGTGCTGGACTGGACTCGATGTCGTTCGAACTCAGGCTAGAAACCGTAGATGCCTGGCTGACGGCACCCTTGATGGTGCGGGTATGAGTAATCTGCCCGTTGTTAGTACCTGGTGTGATGATGCCTGTTCGTAGTTTGACTCACGGTCGCTCTTGTCCAGTTTGGTTGTTCTTGAAAGTCGAGACTGCAATGCCCCTGGAAATCTGGAAGGAACTTCCAGCTACAGTAGAGTCTTTTGTTCGATTCACAGAGTGTTTCCTGCAGGTGGTAGAAATCTGAAGACTGCGTACAGAACAGTCTAGAACAAAAAGGTAAGGAGTGAAAGTCTAGGCAGTCAAGACCAGAGAGTGTTGGAGGTGATGACCTTCAATGTTATAGATTGAATCCTCAATGAGATGAGAACTGGGATAATGTTCCTTGTTAGTCGGTGCCTTCTTCCCGTTTGTAACAAAGAAAGTGGCGGCGTTATGGCTATTTGTGAAATTTTGGGACTAGTGTACCTGATATCTTTGTCTATCGCACAGGGACCTTGGACAAATATGTGACGGGAACGCGTTCTTCGTCATTTGCGGCTGGGCGCTATTTGTACCTCGAGGTAACTCGGCGTGGCCAAACACTCTTCGTTATGTTGGTTGGAGGTTTATACCAAAGACGTGGTGGTATTTCGCTTCATCGTGATGATAACGTGTCGTTGACGAAATTGAAGGACGCTGTCGGTGTGAAAGAGGGAATCCCACGCCAAGCCAAATCTGGTGATGGTGACATTGGTGGCGCGAGCAGCCTCATGGTACTTGGGTAATTTCCGATGGCATACATCCATCACAGTGCAGAAGTGGAAGAGGCGGCAACATGGCGTCAAATATCCTTCCTTTTCGTTTGAAACCGATGAGTGGAGCAAAAAATTGGTGAAGTTCTGAGGAAAGAACGCTAGAGAGAGAGAGCCTTGAAAACTTCTAGAAGGCCAAGCCGGAACATGCGGGAGTTTTGTGACTTTTATCTTCATCGATGTTACCTGTGGTCGTGTTTGAGTTGTCGAGCTAGAATCGGATTGGTATCCGTTTTGGTGCGGCCCGGGGCGTGATCCTCCGAGTAGCTCCATCTGAAACCCAACCGAACCCCAGGAGCGAGCATCCTAGAGTCGCATGGCGACGGGACCCATCTCGGTCCAGATATCGTCACCCCCGTTGCCCTGTCAGTGGGAGTTGCCGAGCGCGGTACACTACAACCTGAAAACGTGCTACTTCGGCTTCAGCCCTAAGTTCGCGACTTCGGGGTTTTTATTTTCCCATGCCCCTTCCACGCCCCTCCAATTGCACCACCGGTGGCCAACGCGCGTTTGCACCTTCTCTTCCCGGAGCTGGCTGTTTGCATTATAACGCAGCTTAGCAGCTGCCTGTTTGACTCCAGCCACTAGAGGTATCTGGGTAGCAACGTTGTCAAACTCTAACTTCGCCGCAACAGGAAAGGATGCTGGAAGCTGGAGTGGAAAACACCTAACGATACAAACAATACTACCTAGAGGTATGTACAATATTCTCCGACACCTCCTCGTTATTCTACCATACACCACTACCAGACATGAATGCAGATGCAGGCTACCCTCACGCCCCTGGTAGGCGCGTACCAATTTCTTCCAGTTCTCGAAGTTGTCCGTATCGGCATGCCAGCTGCCACCAAACAGGGAATAGGAAAGAGTAGGTCGGGGAGATCGATCTTTACAAAAGTGGCTGGACTCTGAGCCTTGAGTAAGCCACTCAGGTCCAGTCTGTATGGGAATGGCCACATCACCTCGGCCACATGCCTGCTGGCATCCTTCCTCAAACCCGTCTTTGAGGTCTCGCCATACTTGAGGGGAATCGTGTCCACCTTGGGCTCGCCAGCATACCTAGTACTTGACGACCCAGCCGTGCGACGTTCGGGCGAACAACTTTAGGTGAAGGCTGTTTCATTAGTCTCCGCCTGTGTTCCTTCCTGGTCAACGGGTTGGAATGTTTTTTCCTCGCCGTCTTCAGAAGGAGCTCCCTTTTTCCATCAATTTTTGCAGCTTCCTTTTCAGCTGGCGCTTCTTCTTTCAGGACGTAGAAGGTAGCCTTGATCATGTTACCCAGGTAAGCGGATAAGATCTCCTCGGTCTATGTGTGGAGAGATGCTTCGGATCCTTCGGCGATGGTCAGAGAATTCGTCAACGGGTACAAGGTACTTTTGGTAGAGGACCAACAGAAAGATAAGTTGGCCTTGAAGTCTTGGGAAAATATGGTATATAGACATATATATGAGTGATGACGGGCTCGCAAGTGACTGACTGGTTTAGCCTCTATTCCTCCACAACCAGTATGGCTTGGTACTGGACTTTGTGCTGCGACTGGAAGTGCTACTTCGGCTTGCGCTTAGGATAAGGGGTGTAGATTGAGGCCGCATGTGGTGGCATGTGGTATTGGTTCTTATCAATTTCCAAGCCGTTTTGACACCGGTGAATGCTTCTTTTCTCAGAGAATTATTACGTGGAACTCGGACTTCTTCATATCTACCTTCAGGCTTGCGTCGTTCAGGTGTTCAAAAATATTTTGATGTAGGTCTTGTGGATCTCCAGTTTCCATCACGGTCACCATAAATGCAGGTACTTCCGCAAATACCAGAACGCGGGAGCCGAGATGCAAAGGGAACTTGAGCAGGATCTCCAGCTTCTCCCCAATCGCTTGCGCTTCTTGTTTTCTGGTATTCGTTCTTGTTTAGAATATGTGACGTTATTTAAGTGTTCAGGAAGTGGTATGGCCAGGCTGCATCAACATCTTCTCTCCCGGTGACCAGCATGTGTGGTTGGTCTCGTCGATGCGCGTTCCGCTCTATGATATGCCTCGTTCCTTAGCAGTTGGTGTTGGTAAGTTGGTCATTGATGGTATAGAAGAGGGGAAAGAAGGGTAGGACGTGACGTACAGGTGATGTCTCTCGAGCCGAACGACCGATTGTGAAGTGCTCGAAACGTCGAGGGTGTTTGGACGCTTTGCTTCTTTCTGCCAGACTGGAGGGATCTCGGCAATGGCTTCAGCCAGCTTGGAGAGTTTTGGTTCCACTTCTCGTCCTCCGTTGACCAACCATCGTTTCGTGGTCTTTGAGTGTTGCGTTGGCTTCGCGGCCAATGGTTTGGAGTACCAGAAACCGGTTGATATCAGGGCTTGGGAGGAAAGTGATCGCGAAAAGAGAGTAGTCGAGGTTGGTGTACTATGCAAAGAGTCAGTATTACCGGGATAAGAGCGAGCGGAAGCAGCTGGTCTTGCCATCGTGCGCTTGAGTGTCGCCTTGTTTAATGCGCAGCGGTCGACATCTTTTGCTGCCTGGCGCAGAGAGGAGATCGTGACTCAATGATGCGACAAAGTTTGCGAGGGGGTGCGACTACCAGAGTACGAAATTCGTTGGGTTAAGAGAAGTGCTCGCAGCGGTGGCGGTGGTGGAGATGGTCAAACTACGAGCTGCGTCGTAAAAGATCGACACGGCCATTGACTAACAGAGACTGTGCATTTGGGAGTTGGGAAAGCCGAACTGCGCACTATAACTCACAAAATCATGAAATCTCCCAAGGCAAGAGATGGCGGACAAGAGGCGGGGAAGGCCGAATCTGCAAGGCTCGCAGGAACGACTGCATTGTAAAGATACCTAGGTAACGCGACATCGGAAACAATGGATCAACAACCTCCGCTCCCCCATCCAATCTGTTCAATATCTCTCGAGTGGGAGATCCTTTGCCGCCTGGAGAATTACTGAGGTCCAACTTTTTATCTTAATACGCTATTCCAATTAGCTCATATCACTGACCATGTCGGATGTAGGAAGGCCTTTTCCATAGCATCGAACTTCTTGCCCAAGGTAACGCCCCAAAGAATAAACCTCTTCTCGATCGAGGTCGTCCCTGTTGTCCTCGACCTCGGTGATCTAATATCTACCTCTACGGCTAAGTACCCCGAGCTTCGGATATCGATGTCTCCAGATTCGCCGTAGAGGTCTGACTACACAGTGGTGTTATGAAACTCGAACACCAGATAAATCTCGCCCGAGCGCTGGACGGTGATGTCGCCTCTGGACTCGTTGAATGCGGGTGGCTTTCGATGTGGATTCTGCACCAGAAAGTTTTCCTGTCTGCCACTGGTAATGGGCGATCGGAACTACAGCGCTTGTTGTCTCGAGGTAGGTATGAGCTTCTTAACAATACGTTCTGCCAAAGCCCTGGCCTTCTTCTCCAACCGCTTGCTCTTCTTGGCAAGCCTTCTCAGCTCGCGATCCGCATGCTCGCGGACATAAGCCGATTCCCTAGCCAGGCTCTTGAGCTTTTGTGGAAGATGAGCGATACGAAAGTTGACTCCTCTCGGCGAAGAACTCAATGGATCGGTTGGCCAACTGTCCTGTGGAAAGGTCACCAGATTGAGTAAGATAGCTGGCCGATTGTCGAGGACTTGAGGATGAGGAGGTATTCAAGTTGATACGGGTAAAAATAAAGAGAGAATGGTTCCTCTTCTCATCTATTGATTGCTGTTAAGGACATTCACTTATTTACCTCTATATATCGGAAGGTGTCTTTAGTGCTCTGTATATTGCTGACATGATCAGCTTTTCTTTCCAAATCCAGGCCCTCTACCTTCAATATAAGTGACATGCTGGTGAGTTGTAACGTTTTTCGATCCCTCCTCTCCTTTCAGAGGCGGGCAGAGTCAAGGCCTTTATACCCTAGTTTTCTTCTTTGAAGACAAAGCTGACTGCATGCTGTGATTGTGTCCTCCGTAAGTCGTACCTATGTATGCCCGACAGGATTGTGACTAAAGTTCAGTCACACTAGGGCAAGAAGGAGGCTGTCAAACTGGCGTTTGTCATTTTCTGATGCTGATGTCGCCGCGTGGTAGGATTTGTGTGAATGCCTACCTACTAGGTACCTAAATCAGACACGTGGCGCAAGCCCTGAACGACGGTTTGATTGAAAAGATTCAGCATGATGTTGAAGCAACAACGGTGAAGGAACAGATGACTGGACGTAGATGGAATGCAAGTTGGATTACGAATTCCATGCGTTACCTAGAGGTAGTTTAAACCAATTTCGCATTCAACTTGGTGAAGACTGCCTTCCATGGCAGAGGAAGAAAAACCTTTGAATCTCTATCGCTAACTGCCACACGAAACAGGCGCCGGTCAAACAGCTTGTCCCTTATCACTTTTATTTGCCACACAAACCCATCGAGACGATGGCAATATCGGCCCTTTGGGCATATCACTCGACCAAGTCTCCAGACCAGTTGGGATTGCCCAAACTTTGCCCGTGACAATACGAAGCCCTGACTTTTGACGGGCTTCGCACCCATGCGGCGTTTCTGGAGGTGTTAAGTTTGGTCATGCATGAAACAACTGCAACCGACCCTGACAGACACAACCACCATTTCGGAGGCAGCAATCCATTCGTTGGAGGTGTGATGGTTGGCATTTTTGCGGGAGGGTTTGATAAATTCCGTCACTGCAGTAGCAACGTTGGTGGAAGGGACTTTAGGTTACTTCCAATTTATTGGTAGGTAGGTGCCTAGTCCTGCCGTTGCGTTGGAGAGGCAAGATCAACGACGCGTACTGTCTCTGTTCAGCTTTTGCATTCATCTGAACGTTTTCCCTTGATATTTTCGAGTGATTTAGGCGTGAACAACAAGTCTTCAATATTCACCTCTTATATTATCTTCTAGCAGCGTGACCCGTCAAACTACCACCTACCTTGTTCACTAGCGGAATAATTACCGTATGAAAAAGAGCTTTTCTTCTAACCTAGGTTATCAGTTTTCCCCACAGAATCTTTCTTCTGTTTCAACTTGTCCTTGTATCAACTCGACAACCAATCAGTCTGGATATGCTACACATCTCGGCACCTTCATTCTTGCAGCCATCGCACATCCACAACTTCATCTAATTGTTGAGAGGTTTGTTGAACTTCGCCTTGACAAACGCTCTCTTCATCTGGAGGTACGAAGGCTAAACAGAATCAGTTAGTGACAGGTCCGGGATTAGTTGAAGATTATTTCTGGATTAGTATGAGGCTTACAGTGTGATCCTTCTTATGCGTGTAGTGGCTGGAGCAGCGGCTTGTTGTGATGAAGTTGGTAAGACGGCCTCATATTCCGGTGACACCGTTTCGATTAGATCCCACGTAGATACAAGCTGGTTTGGAGCTTGGTTTCTCTAATATCAACACATAAACACTCCACTCCGCCCGCGAGGTCTGATTTTATCGATAACTTCTTGCTGCCTTCTCTTTGGCATCGTTGTTAGCTGTTTGGATCAAATCGCATGAAGACCAGGATGCCTGCGTTCAGAATGGTATATTGGACTTGAGAAGAGACGACCAAGGAGGACGATCAGCTCCCAAAAAGAAAGACCAAGGAGTGAGATGAGAGAAGAGAAGGCTGGGAGCTAAAGAGCGTTCCTACCTTCTTGGCTGGCACTGTCTGTAAGTGATTTGGAAAGGCCCTGGATGACCAGCCCAACTCTAGTGGCTGATTGGTTTGGTCCTTTAGCAAATCTCCCACCAGTTTGCTTACACGCATTGTCCACATACGGGCACGCTGTGCATTCAAAACCTCCCAGACCCAGCCGAGTATCTTTGAAAGTGCTCCCTCCAGTCTCTCCCTCTTTTTTATATTTCTTCAAGTTTCTTTCCCGTTCCCTAAACTATCTGTTTCAGCTTTTCCAGCTCTTTCCCCACTTTGATGATCTCTCTTCAGCCCCTTTCCGTCCTCTCTCCAGTCATCGCCCTAAACCTCCTCCCACTTCTTAAATTTTTGAAAGTACAAGAAGAAGAAGAACGAATAGCCTAGCAATGAGTTCCCCCCGTTCAACAGTCTCTACAAGCAGACTCTCAAAAGCTCTGACAATCCCAAGTTTGGACCAATCATGCACACAATCGCCGCGGCATTCGGGAAGAGTAGCCTTAAGCTCCAAACGTCAATCAAAGAACGAGAGTAGAGCTATCGCGGGATCAATAGCATTCCTGGTGTCTAAAGACACCTCCTTGGCCGCGGCCGACGAGTATTCAGCCCTGACGCACAATCAGCTGGGGTCCATGGCTGTATAGATGAGACACAACAGGCCAGATACCTTACCAGAGATCAACGTTTGGCAGTGAGGAAACTCAAATTCCGAGTCGACACCGCTAACATGATGAGTGGAATGAGAGAATAGGCGGATAGGAGGAGTGCAGCCATACGCATGCATCGTATCTGCTTTGTGAAATGCATGTTGCCATAGCCGGGCGTGTTATGACTGAGGCACGTGGTAGGTGCATTCTGTCCCGCGTGCGATCTTCCAGCTTCGCAGCGAGTATTACCAGTTCTTAGACCTGGGCTGATACTCTATCCCCTTCCCCTCAGCCATGCCGCAATGAAGTATTCTTTTTCAACAACCGATTATTCCTAATTTTATTAACAATCTGTAACGTAGGGAGGTATCTTGGACGGTGGTGTTAGGTGCATGGCTTGCTTCTTCATCACCACACACACTGGCAAAGAACATCACATGGCAACAATTTGAACGAAAAGGGGTGTTGAGTGTGAGAGCAAAGAGAGAGGTTCAGATAAGCTCTCTTTGTACAAGACAAACACAAAACACGATGTGTTCTAACTTTCTCATTTCATGCTTTGGCAACAAAAACGTGCCAGCACCCATTACTTCCACTTCCATGATCCGCAAGACGACCCAGGTAAGCACCACCCAAACTTCACGCTTTTTCCTCCCCTGCGACCCAAACCAGCCAGAAAACCGGCTCTTTTCTCCTCAGCAAATAGGCCCAGACAAGCATGTGCACCCAACCAAGAATCCTTTCTCCTTCTTACAACCCGCCCACCAACAGGTCCTCCCACGCTATAGATCTACCACATCGGCCCATTCCAAACAAGACCACCCGGCGGTCTCGGCGGAAACGGCTCGCTCGTCTCCCACGCACCCCTCAACTCCCTGAAGAAATGGTTACAACACGGCCTTCCTCCCAACACCTCCTCCACCTCCCGATCCCCCTCCAACGCCTCCGGCACCTTCACACACCTCGGAAACGCAAACTTCTTCTCGAACTTCCAGTGCCCCAGCCCATTCTCCCAGGCTTCCTCCCTCTGGACAGCAAACAGCCTCTCCACCAGGGCGCCATGCTGCCCGCAGTGTGACTGGCAGGGCGAGCCGAACTCGGCTCTGCCGCCAAGGTAGAGGGCGATTGCTGTGAGGGTGCCGAGGGAGGGGGTACGGGCTCGCAGGCGCTCTTGCCAGGAGACCGGCAAGGTGCGGATGCGGGGGAAGGAGAGGAGAGCAAGGAAGGTGCGATGGGCGGGGGTAGAAGGGGAGGGGAGGGGAAGAGGGTAGAGAGTCCAGCGCGTGATGTAGGGCCAGATCTCTAGTTCGAGAGGGGTTGGGTCGGGCAGCTCCTGGCGGGGATGGTGGTCGTGGATGGTGCGGAGCACAAGCAGGCTGGGGAAGGGGACGGCTTGGGCGGCGGGGGATCGAACGTTGGAGTCGACGTCCATGGGGTCTCCGTCCGCAGCAGAAGGTCCATCGCCGCCGCGGGCTTGGGCGACGGGATGGACAGTGGGGATTTGTATCGTCTGCGCAGAAAAGTCGTCGTCGTCGTCGTCGTCGTCGTCGCTGTCTTCGCTGGTCGCGGCCATGCTGATGCCCGAATCGCGCCACTGGTCAGACTCGCTGCCGTCGTTGGGCTCCGCCACGCCGTTACCCGGGTTGTCGTCGGCGTTTTCGGGCACCGGCGTGGCGGCGCCGCTGCTCGTCTCCGAAGGCGGGTCGAACTGGAATGGTGCCGCCCAACCAAGTGGTGTCTGCCTTTGGGCAGCAACGAAGGCGAACCCACGGGGATCATCTTGCGGGCCCAGGTTGGAAAAGGTGCCATTGCGGTTATCGAGGAGACGGGCACTAAGATGAGCAACCTGAAGAAGAACAAACAAGTTATCAGTATATGGGTTTGGAATACAGGTACCTATAGTGACATGTTTCAATCTGATCGGGGGAGTGATTTCTCAGATCTTCCTTTCTCAGGAGACTGAACTTGGAGTATCTGAATAATCTGGAAATCACCTGGTCCCGTAGGTACCTCTAGTAGGTGGTACTCACGGTGAAATGACCAGCCAGTTCCACAGCAAATTGATGAACTGCGTGGCAGCCGACGACGGGACAGTGCAACGGGAACCTCTCTCCTGAGTGAGGAGCGTAACGCTCCGGAAACAGAGCGGCCAAGTGATGGTACGTAAACAGCTGCCCGTCTATTGTGATCAAAGAATGAGGTGTTAGCAAGCAAGTCTAATGTGAATACATAGGTACCTAGTAAAATATTGTTTGAATTATCGTGAACGTACTGAAGATTCCCATCCAGTGATGGTAGGAAGGGCGGCCATCAAGAGGAGTGGGTCTACCGCCCGCGGCGTTTGCTTGCTCTTGTAGCCAGGGCTCCATGGTGGTGGTTACCTAAGTCGATAGGAGGGATGTAGCCGTGTATGGAAAAGTGAGATAGAGGTAGAGGTATGCGTGAGGTCTGCCGACAACGACGAATTGTAACAAATGTTTTTTGCAGTCTTGAAGAATCTCGGTGAAAGTTGTAAGCTTCAAGAAGGACGACCGTCTTCTTTGATAGAGAAATTTTGCAGCCAAAGATCTTGCAAGGTTAAAATCTTGCAAAGCGTGGCGAGGACGAGGTCAGACTTGAAGAAGAGAATAAAAGTGCGGGGGAGGGAAATAATAGCGGCAAAATTATTGTGGGCAACACGCTCGAATTTGAGATCCGTTGCCAGCCAGGTGACCAGGTAATCTGAGGTCTGTATTGCTCAGGAGGACGGCGTCATTCGTCACCTGAACTTTTGGGTTTCATATTCTGAAAGGGGAGCAGCAACAGAAAGATAGACGGCAGGCACTCGTATTGAGACGCGTTGGGCTATATCTCATCTAACATCTACCTAATCATTCTAAGAGACTGGGGAACGGAGTTGCTATTTGATGTATAGAGTGAGCTTGGGCAGGCAGCCCGCTTTGGATCGGAACAGCTGGACAATCATCGTGCACTGTCCAATGTTCTCGCAAATAGAATTTTGGCGATTGGTACGGCTCCTGCCTCACGATGCTGTATGGTTCGAGTGTGAAGCTGTATATACCTCTATGTGCCTCTAGAGGTCCGCTTCTTGCAAGACAACCTCGACCTGTATTATCTTGCCTAGAGGTAAGAAAATAAAAAGGAGATCGGAGAGGAGGAAAAAATTACGAGACTATCTACTAATCAGGAGACTTCATGATGTACAGGAATTTCAAGTGTACCGTAATGCGATTGAGATATCCGTTCATTGCGAAGTTAATTCTATCTAGAGACAAGGCAGGCATTCTACCAGTGGACATCTGGTGATATGCGTACCCACCTTTTCTTGCATGCAGTCTCAAAAATGAAGCTATCGGTGGTGCATGCAGCTGTGGAAGCGTCCAAATCATCGCCCTCCCCACAACTTCATGTTTCCCGTCCTGAATGCCATCATAGCCACCACGACAGTCAGTGTCTGCTCGTCAACCTTCTCAGCATTGCGGACCTTTCTCCTCTTTCACATGCTACAAGAGCGGATCCTCTGGGATACCGTGCTAGCACGCGACCGGTAAAGTGCCTCGCCCCCAGAAGAGCATATTGCACAAACGGAACTCGATAATTTGAACGCCCAAGAAGAGGGACAAGACAGGTCATTAAAGGGAAAAACAAGTTGTGGACATGGGAACCCAGAGTAGCTCCATGATAGAAACCCAATTTGAGGGAGATTAGAGTTGTTTGTAGAAAACTATTTGCGAGTGTCCCCACTGGGAGCGTGGATGGAAAATTTGGGTGCGTTCAGAAGGGAAGAGTCGGTCTGGTCAGAGGTGAAAAGGTGGGTCATAATTGCCAGGCCCATGAGGCTGCCTTCCGCGTTTGGTCCTGCGCCCCTTATGCCAAGCGCGCAAGCTCGATCAAGATGATTGCAATTGACGACAGTTAAAGGGACACATTGCCAAGGGCGAATGTTTCAATAACCGCAGGAGCAACCCTGGGGACAACACCATATTGAGGACGTCACCTCGCTTGTTTTCATTGACGTCGAAGACGAAACCAAAGAGGGCAAGGAGAAGCGTTGACTTTACCCAAATCACTCATCAATTATGTTCGGGACCCCAGTGAACCTGAAGGAAGTCAAAAAGAAAGACTAAAAGATACCTCTAGCGTACTATACCAACACGCTCGCTCACGCCAACTTTCAACCCTATTCTTTCCTTTTCTTGCCTCTGCTTTCTGCTTCGCCGCCGACGTCTGCGTTTACGTTACCCGCCGTTGGAACAAGACTCTAAACAGTAGCAGGACACCCATCGAAGCCTGTGGAAAACTTCACCATCTTAGATGGAAAAAGAAGAAACGAAGAGTGGGAAGGCAAATCTGGTGAGTCTACCCACCAAAGATGTCACAGGCAGTAGTGCTCAACTGTGACATTGTTATATAAGCGTGCATTAGATGTTCTGTCTAGCGAACAGAACAATCTTCCATCTTTTGGTGGTTTGGCCTAGAAGCATTGCACGCCTCTAGTCCGTGACAAAAGACTCCTTACGAGCGTTATTTGGCCCTTGTTGACTTCGCGCTTAAAGATGAAGAGCGCCAATCTGTGATCTTCCCAAAGGGTTACAATCCGCCGTGGCTCTTTCCAAAGCCCAAGATTTGGCACTGTCCTGTTCGAACTTGTGGACAAGCATTCGCGAAGCGATCGGACCTGCGCGATCATCTCAAGGTAAGAGCAGTCCTGCAACACGCTCTTTTGGCAGTTGGAACCACCGTGCATTGGACTTACAATGTTGTACTTTTTTCTTTACAGAAGTTTCATGACGGGAAAATTTGACACGATCACCTTGACGGTACATTCTCTAATGGATAACCTCTCTTCAACAAAGGCATGTCGGTGAGGTACTGCCCAAAAAAAAGGTTCCGATGGCAACTCCTCCCTGATATGGAGGCCTCAGGGGAAGCTTAAGGAGGGAAAGGGAGATAACCGGGTGGAGAGATATGACCGCGATAGAGTGTTGAAGAAAGCTAAAAGCATTACATTCGTTGACCAAGCTGATAAAACGTGATTTTCGAGGGAGAAAGCAACTCGGAGTTATTTGTAGCCAGGCTTAAAAGGTAAACTTTTCTTGCAACGCCCTTTCAGTGATCGCTCCTGTTATATTGTTTCATGGAGAGTACAAGATAGCTCTCCCGCGCCGAAAGATTACTTGGAAAGAAATTCCGCCGAGCTTCCCCCAGTTTATCCACCAAAAATGTTTCATGCCTCCATTCTTAGTAGAGTTCTCAATGAGATCGTGAGAAAAAGGAGACTACTGTCGGAATGTCTGCCCCAGCCCGAAATGTAAGAAGACTAATGGCCGTCAATAGATCAGAAAGCAACCAAGGGGTCAATCAGACACGCCAGTCAATTATCGGCGAGCTGAGTGAGTGGAAAGGATTGGAATAATGATTTGTGAATGCGTCCTCTTTGTTGATCAGAATCTAGGCTGGATTTTCCAGGTGCGGTGACTCTTGCTTCCTTGTACAAGGAGACACCCAATCCATTTCCTCATCCTCAATCTTGAAGCTCTTCTCAAATATCCTACAACCAACTCCTTAACATCAACACTCGCATGCCTCCTATTTGTTCCAGCACTTGCATCCACTGCGAGATTATAGAAAGAAGACGAGCCGGGAGTGGGTGATGAGACTGCTCTTGGGAGAGGTGGGGAGGGAGAGGACATTGGCGAAGGGAATGAGGCGGGAAGAAAAGAAGAGGGAGGTATAGTAGATGAAGGTTTTGTGCTCGCTCAACCAGCTATCAGAAGAAACACTTTTAACAACACTACTTCTACGAACAAAAGTGGCCACGACAGAGGCAATAACAACGCATGTGACGGGAGTAGCAGCGACGAAAGTCAAAGAAATGATACCGACGAGGCGGAGGATACGATTGAGTATAAGACATTTGATAAGACCAAGATTTCTAACAGTGTCGTTTCGAACGCAATAGGTACGCGCGATTACGTGAGCAGTGAAATCGTCAACCACATCTCGACATTAAAATGAAATGATTGAAGGTGTCACGAACAGAAATTTTTGACACTTCATTCGAGGCTACTGAATCTCAACACCTAAACAACTTGTATGCCAAGCCGTGGCTTTTCATATCTTCCCAGAACTAACCAGGTAAGAACAACATTCTATCAACGAGTGCCTCTCCAGCGCGGAACCTTCTAAGTCGTCCATCGGTTGAACAACAACTCTAGAATAAAGTAATCAGACAGGCTACTTGGCTTTATCAGTCCCTGAAACACTACATGTAGAGGTATCTTTGCCTTAGCAGGGTCTACCGTAAATGTAGATGACCGTATCTGTGTCGGGATGCATTCCTTTAACTGAGCAGCTTTGTCCTGGCTTGATGCTCCAGCAGCCGTCTACCGAAATTGTAAAGGGCTGGTTTTCGGTGACCCAAACGCTCACAGCTCCCTGCTTAACCACAAAGAGGAGGGATTTGTCATTTGCTTGAATGTGTGGCTTTTGGGTTCGAAACAATGTAATAATCTGAAAGGTTGTGTGATAATCATCAACAACATGCCTGGTCGAGAGCATTGATGAAGAATAAGCAAGCGGAGCTAGCGGGTGAAAGAGAATTAGCAGCCTTCAGCATTTATCACAGAGTTATGAAGAACTTACGCCCTGAGTGTAGGGGCCGCCCATTGTGCGGAAGTTTCCCCCACTTCGTTTCCCACTTTGCAGGCTGCGTACCAGACCTGGACATACGGTTGTCTTGTACGTCCCAATTCTTCATCTTTTTTGCCTTTTGGACAACAGGTGCTTGTGATGTCTTTGCTTTCTTAGGCGCTGGTGCCACCTCGTCGTTGTCTGCCTTTCTCTTCTTCGAAGTTGCATTCCGTAGCTGCGTCGATGGGTCGACAAATGCACCAGGCATAGGCAGTGCTCTCGTGTGACGAAAGTAGGCATTACAACAATAGTAGCCGCGGAACCTTTTCTCAAGAGCTGGGGAGACCTTTCGCAGATAATCTGGGAGTTGTATGCACGTGTCAAAGGCAAAATGAGGATGGAAACGCGGGGCATTTTTGTCGCCATTATGGTGTAGTTCATCATAAAGACCCTGATACTTAGCGCAGCGCATGATGTCACCGCAAGGCGTGTTCCTTTGCACACCACCGAGATATAAAGCGACTGCCGTCAATGTTTTCAGGGAGGGCTTCCTGAAGTTGAGCCACCTTTTCCAGCAGTATGGTAAGTCGCGTTGGCGGGGCAAAATGAGAAGTTCAAGGAGACATGGATCGGCGGGGACCGGCGAAAACTCGGATGTGAAGGAAGTAATGTACTTCCAGACCTCGGAATTGGCATACTTGCAGTCGGGTGGGTTTGTTCGCTGTTTGACATCCTCAGCAACTCTGGTGAGTGACGTTGCTGGTGGTGATCTGTCTGTGTCCTCCTTTCCAATGCCAACTTTGCTGAGATGATTAGTGGCAACCTTGATATTGGCGCGCGCAGGCCTATCTTGATCCTGCTGGTCGGTCTTACTTCCGCTGCTCTCGTCGTCGTTCGTGTCCGAATCGTCGCTACTCGTTTCCGAGTTGACATTACTCTGAAGCTTGGTCTCGCTAGCTTTCTCGTGTCTAACCGCATCTTGCGCCTCGTCGGTATCACTTCCATCGCTCTCACTATCGCTACTTCCGTCACTGTCGTCGGTATCACTCTGGCCGGCATCGCTGCCGTCGCTCTCATTGCCGTCACTCTCGTCGTCACTGTTTACCTCGCTGCTGCTCGAAGTCGGTTTGTTGCCAGTTTGAGGCTTTGACTTGTCATGTCGATTAGCCGCCACGGCAGAAGTGTCAGGGGAGTCTTGTCCCAAGAAGAGAGGTACGGCGCGAGATGGTTGACGCAAGCTCAGGTTCGGCAGCATGTGTCCTTGAGACGCAACGTACGGCTGGCAATTTGCATCATAGGCTGTCGCAGGGTCTTGGGGGAGAACAGAAAATGTACCGTCGAGGTGGTCGTGTAGGATCGCTCCGGCATGAAATCTCTGGGGAGGAGAAGCACTTGTTAGCTGCATTTTTATTACAGGTATGCCAGGCATCAAGATGGTCTTGAAGACAATCAGTCCATTGTACGATTCTTACCACAAAATGATCGCCCAGGTCCGGTGGCGTGGCATATGCTTGTCCACAAGTTCGAACTGGGCAGTGCCATATGCTGGTCTCCGCTGAGCGACTTGGCAGATATCTCTCCGGAAAGAGGGCACCAAATCCGTGGGTAACTATGTGATGGCCATCTTCAAGCGAGGTGTTAGGTTATCCGTGATCTCATTCGAGGGATGGGGCTCCTGGGGAGGCCATACCAATCTCGCCCTCCCAAATGACATATCTTCGTGTATGGTCCCCAATGAAAACAAGTTCGACCGGCCTCGAAACCGCGCCGGCCATTGTTCAGGATCCTGTCTCGAAGGTGGGTGTTGACCAAGTCGCACAAACAACGGGAGCAAGAAATGAGCACGATCTTGGTTGTAGGTAGCGTTGAGCAAAGGAAGTCGGATTTTCTGCAGCGTGGCAAGCTCGTGGTCGCCAAATTCTAAAGCGAAAAGGAGGCGGGGTGGTAAAGGGAAAAAAGGGAATATGGAAAGAGTGCAGTGAATGGCGAAAGTGTGGTACGGAAAAGCTGAAAGATACCAAAGAGCGAATACCGCAGAAGTTCGGAGGTGTACGATGTTCAGTTCTTTCCTTCGGTGATTCTCGGCTGGCCCTGAGAAACAGAGCGTCATACGGTATTGGTATTGAAGGCAGGCAGTGGCCCCCGTTCTTTCTTTGACAGCAAGATTTTGGCGAGCCATCCCGTCCGAGGGGTTCCGCATCCAGAGTCAGTACTCCGTGGTGTTCGGCCCGGGCAGGCAAGAAATGAAAGGTGGTTTGGTCGGCAGGCCAACAGCTTCATGATGAGTGAAGGTCGCGCACCCTTCGTCATCGACTCCTCTTCGTGAGCTTCTGCCTTTTTCCCCCACTAACGTTCATTCGGCCATCATATTCTTGATCACAAAACTTCTCTGTCCTCAACCTATTGGCAATACAGCTCTACCACAACCTGACCGCAACAAGATGCCGTCGGCACCGTCGTGGTTGTTAAACTCGGGATCGCAGACCAGCCACTCTGCGCCAAAGACACCGACCATCAAGAAAGAGCCCGGAACAGAGGAGTCGCCTCGTGTACTTGCACAAGTCGAACCGACGCCCAAGAGCGCCAAACGGAAGGCAAGAAGCGAAAGCCCCTCGGACTCTGACCGATCCAACGATGGAAAGAGTAAGAAGAAGAGAACCGAGCGCCGGAACAAGTTCAAGACCAGTGAGGTATGGCAGTACCTCGTGAGCGTGAGCTCCGATACCCTTGACGAGCCCTATGGCAGCTTGACAAAAACAAGGTACATGCGCAACATCGTGGCACTTCCGCGCAAGCGTGAGTTGCCGGCGGTATGGGCAACTCGATTGGCTTCTGAAAAACCAAGCAGCGAAGTCTTGCAGTTGCTCATTGCCTACCTCGTTGGTGACGACCCCGGCGGTTTTCTTTGCGGCCTCAATGGGCCCGATTGTGCAGGAAAGTGGCGAATCACCGGGCCCGCCATGGCAACATTCCTGGATGATAAGGAAGCAATCCACAAAGCTTGCGCATTCCCCAAGTGCGTCTTCTGCCCGGAGCTTGAAGATTCCAACAGCACTTCAGGTAAAAGGAAGTGTTGCAATACGGTATACCGTGACTCTGATGACCCTTCAATGCCCGAGGTTTGGTTGCCGCCCACTCCCGCTCCTGCCCCCGACCCCGTTCCCACTCCGGTTTCAACTCCGGTGCATACTCCGGCTCCCACTTCGACTGTTAATCCGACACCTACTCCCGCGCCCTCGGCACAAGCAGCAACGGCACTCCCGGCAAGCCTCAATCCAGAGACCCCAAGCCATCAACTTCACCACGAAGCACAAGCGCAGGAGGGAAATGTGTATCTCGCCAGCCTCTGGGAGCAGCGAAACGAGGCAATGTACCTCTCCGGACCCCTCAACGGTAAGCCACACATCCCATTTCCCACAAGTTTATCACGTCTTCCTTGACACAAGATTACTGACAACCTCTCAAGTCTCAACCAGCTACGCCCACTCAGCCGGTTGGCTTCACCAGCGCGAGGGCCAAGTTCTTCCCATCGGCGCCGACAGCGGCGCAACTCTGCAGATCCTCGACTTGGAAAACAAAGGCGCCACCGTTCCGCTCCCAAGCGACTCCCACAATCTCTTATGCATAGTCTTTGAGGGCACCGTGGAGGTCATCCTGCAAGATACTCCCGTCTTCACCCTCTCGCGTGGAGGCCAGTGGAGTGTGGGTGTCGGGAAGGAGTGCAGAGTTCGAAACCCGCGTATCGGAACGAAGGCCATTTTGTACAACATTGGAGCACCGGTTAGGCAGAACGACGAGTGAACTTGGCGACTAATTGGGAAGAAAGAGACGACTTGCGTGGGAAGCATTTGTGAGAAGGAAATGGCTGGATGGTTTCTGGGCAAACATGGAGTACTGGCGCTTTGTGGTTGCGATACCCCTTACTTTGATTGCTTGGCTGAATGGGAACTACCCGTTCTTGTGTTGGCTTTGCTGGGCGGAGGTAAATAGGAATAAAATACGTCTTGCGATCATGACGAGACAGGGTCATCGTTCACGCAGGCCACGGTTGTGGAATGAGTCCTGTATAGAAGTTGTGAGGATAGATGACCATGATGAGAATTCAAAACTTGAAAAGCAACGGCTTGCTGGTTGCCTATTGCCATCAAGAATGTCGCCAACCTGATGGTAACTACACCACGACGGTCTTCCAGGAAAAAATCAAAGACGGAAATTGAAGATTATTCTTCGTAAAAACCATGAGCAGAGGCAACAGGCGAGGACTACCTCAACTCGGTGACAACTACACCGGTTTGCCTCGATCCTAAACTCCTTGAAAAGCAGTAACATGAAGCCAGGGGTATATGGCAAATGACACAGAAACGAAAACACCCAGACTCCCTCTTCCATCATCTTACCAATAACACCTTCAGGCTGTCGGTGTCCTTCTCTTTCTGACCACCAAACTCTTCTTCTCGACTCTAGTCCTTCTTCCACTTTCCATCATTGTCCTTCTCTTGAGCAACAATCGCCCCTTACGCGTCATATCGCACCTTACACTTCTCAACACCAGGCACCATACACTACTCAACACCACACCCCATACACCACTCAACAATAACATCCTCGCCACTTCCCCAATCATCCGACTCCTCACTCCTCAGGCCACGGCACTTCCTCCCCCCTGCACCAATACGCATTAACACACGTATACCCACCCAACCGCTCCCTAACCGCCTTCCAATCCTGACCTTCCCCAGCTGTCTCCTCCATCCTCTCCAGATCTCCCTCCCCAAACGCCACACACCTAGGGAATCCCATCTCCTTTCTCACCCCCCTTCTTCTATCAGGGTCAGGATGCGGGGTATTAAACTCACACATAATCTCCTCGAACCTGCTCTTCTCGCTCCACTTCCTTCTTCCATTCTCATCCCTTCCCAACTCACGGAAAGTATTGACCAAGACATGAACGGGACATCCCTCTGTGCCGCACGGTGTGGGAGTTCGTTTTTTAGGTGCGCCTAGGTACCATGCTATGGTGATCAGTTCTTTCATGGTGAGGTGGCGTTCGAAAGGGTGTTGTTTCAGACGGTCGCGCCAGACGGTGGGTAAGGCGCGACGACGTGGAAAGGTGAGGAAGGTGTGCAGGGCGGCGTCCTTGGGGACTGGGAAGTCCGGGGTCGGGCGGGGGAGGAGGGCGAGTAGGTAGGTCCAGATTGGAGAGGCGTAGAGAGTCGCGGACCGTTGGGATAGTAGGACGCGGTTGTTTTCGGGGGCGACGGCGGCGGGAGGAATCTCGGGGAGAGGTGGAAGAGGTGGAAGGCGGCGGAGGGGCGACGAAACGGCGTCGCGGACTGGAGCGGCTGGGAGAGGAAGCTGGGGAAATTGCACCTGAACGACGGCGGGGGCGGAAGCTTGACGGGCTGCGCGGCGGGCGGCGAGAGGTGGGCGGCGACGGCGCGGGGAAATATTGGCGAATTGAGCGGGCACCGGAAGAGCAACAGGTGCAGCAGCAGGTACGGCTGCGGGAGGCTGAGGTGCGGCATTCGGCTGGGGCGCAGGTTGAGCAGCAGGCAAGGGAGCGGGAGCGGGAGCAGCGACGGCAGGCTGGACCACAGGAGCGGGCGCGGCTTGTTGAGCCTGGGCTTGCTGAGCTTGAGCAACCGCTTGCCATCCAGGGTTGGGAGCACGCCTCACGACAACTGGCGCCCACTTGCGCCGTCCGTTGCGGTTTTCCTTATCCGTTGGCACTCTCTTCTTTCCAATTACGTTGAACCTCCCATTCCTGGTGTCGAACAGAAGGGCCTTCCGGTGTTTTTGCTGCGATAATGTATTAGCTCATAGCTTTGAGCTGGGTGGGTGAACCACAAACGACGGGTGTTAGGAGAATCACGGCACATACTCTAAAGTGGTTGCCCACTTTATAGGGGAATTCGAATGCTAGCTCACAATTCGTGATCGGGCATCGAAACGGCTTGGCCTGGTTCCAATTGGGCTGGTAGCCCTCGGGAAAAAAAGCTCCGTTACCTGGGTATGTGACAGTGTCGCCGTGTTCTGTGATTTGGCGTTAGTGATAAAGACAACACAACGGCATGAAGGAAACGGGATTAACCTACTGTCCAAACCGCACCACTCATCATAACGACGACTGCCTGACTTTATAACCGCATAACCGCCGCGCTTTTGCTGGTTGATCAACCACGGCTCCTGCGGCGGGCCATCGTCTTCCGAAGAGGAAGAATCGGACGAGGACGAGGACTCGCGGCGACGACGGGGGGGCATTATCGAGGTTGACGTATACCAATGGCAATGGAAGAACGCAAATTGGTGGCAATGCAATTATAGAGTAGCAAGTGAACGTTGGTACTTTGCAGGTGACGGTTGTAGGCTGTTGTGTTGTTGGCAGAAGAAGGAGGATGGAAAGTAAGGTAACACCATCAGGTCGGAAGTAAAAAGAGTTGGGTAAATTTTTTCCACCGGGACGGGATGCAAAACTCTTGACTTGGGATGCGCCCTACCCGGAATCAATTTGTGGCTGCAGACGTCAGTGCCGGCTGGCATTAGGGTTTGCAAACCCATCGGGACTTGGACGAACAGGATTGGGAGATCACTTTGTTCTCACCTTGGAGTTGAAGCTCGTCATGATGGCTGTAAGGTGAGAGAAGGGTGAGAGAACGTCAGTCAGAGGTGGAGTGGGGGAGGGTCGTGGTCAAGTCGAGGGGGAACACCGTGGTCTTGCAGTTGCCGTCGGGAGTGACCTTCAAAGACATAGTAGAGCCTCCGTAGCTGATAGCGGGAGAAGAGAATCAGTCCGTTCCGGCGGTAGAAGACCAGAGCTCCAGCATATTGATAGCATTACCACAGTAGAACATGGAAGAGAAGCAAATAAATGGCAAGAATGAAGCAAGAGAAAGAAGATAGGTGGCCGTATGAGCATATCAAGACCGAGTGTCGCCATAGCCTCTCGAAGCACTCGTTACTCCTGATTAAGAGGGCAGCTGCTATCCCAACACCACCACGACAAACCAACCTCAAACAGCGTAACCAGCGGTGACTCGACGACCACTGGGTCATCCAAACGCTTGAATCCTGCATTGTTATTGATTTGCGGCTGGAACTTGTGCTTCGATCAGGCCCCAGATTGGGAGGTTGGAGGCAGAACCTCATCAGGAGATATCCAGCCTAGATCCACAATCGACCATATCCGAAATATCTGCCATCTGTTAGCCCTAGCTGACGAACATCCGGAAAGTAACATATCTCTCCTGCTTGGAGTGGGGAAAGCCTTTTTCAAACTCGTTCAACGGAACGCTCTCGAGCAAATCTCCCCTTCAAGCATCGACTCGGCAAAACAATGGAGCTGACCCAACCGCGTCAAACCGTGACATCGCACTTCCATCATTGTGTATAACATCACTTGATCACTTGTAACCATACCCACACAACATTTTCGATGTGCCATCCCACCAACATCAGACCATCCCAAGCCAGATGCCCGTCAAGTCCACAGCTCGACTTGAAAGATGCCAAGACCATCGCCCTCATTGTTTTCATGCGGCGCGAAAGGAAAGTGAAAGGGAAAACAACTTCCACGGCGAAACCAGGTCGGCAGAAAAAGACAAAGATCTTAGTATAATAATAACACATGGTGGTACATCACCTTACGTATTCTAACACCCTCTCCTTCCCTTAGTCCTTCTTCTCCGTCTTGGAGTCCTTCTTGGGCTCAGCAGCAGCAGCCTTCTTCTCCTCAACCTTGGGCTTGCTCTCCTTCTTGGCGGCCTCAGGAGCCTTGGGCTTTTCAGCCTTCTTCGCCTCAACCTTGGGAGCAGCAGCAGCAGCAGGCTTCTCAGCCTTCACCTCCTTCTTCTCACTCTTCTCAGCAGCGGCACCACCCTCCCTGGCCTTCTTGGCCTCCCTCTGCTTGGCCAAAAACTCCTTCCTTTGCACCAACCTCTGCTCCCTCTTCTCGCGCACACGTCTCCTGTATTCCTCGCGTCTATCCGCCTTGGCCAGCTTACGCTCCTTGATGCCAAGCAAGAAAGTGTTTCTTCTCCTCCTGCGCGCGCGGAACTTGGCCTTTCTGCTGCCCACCTTCTCGGTACCAGGCACGGAACCGGGGTCGCCAATCAAGCGACCAATCTCCCAGTTGGTCTCGCGGTAGCTGTAGTTGTTCATCAGGCGCAGGACGCGCGTGCCGCGGCGCGCGAGCATCTTTTGCTGCTGCAGCTTGCGCAGGGCCGATTGTCGGGCGTTGTACTCGGCGCGGGCGGCGAGCTTTTCCTTGATGAGTTCGGCAATGACGGAGGAGCCGCCGTTGTTGCTGTTCGACGAGGCGGAGGCGGAGATGGTGCTGTTGGAGGCAGGGACGGCGGCGGCGCCGGAGGCTGATACGCGGGCGCCCTGGCCCTTGACTGCCTTGCCGGCGGCAGCGGGTGTCGTCACTGCTGGTGGGGGGATCTCGATGGCCTCGTGGCGGGTGACAAAGAGGGGGAGGCCGGAGGCGGACATGGTGGGCTTCTCAACCTCTTCAACCTTGCGCGGCACGGCGACGAGGCCGAGCTTGCGCTTGCGCGGGGCGTCCTTGGGGTAAGGGAGCTTGTCGTTGCGGTTGAAGACGACGCCGATGTACTGACGGTCCGGGTGGAGCTGGGGGTCACGGTAGTACTTGACGTAGCCGGCGACGGCGGCGTGGATGGTGTGGTCGCGGCCCATGATGGTGTTCTCGCCGGGGTGCCATAGTGTGCCGCGCTGCTTGTAGATGATGTTGCCGGGGATCACGTACTGGTCTTTGAGCAAAAAGAGACAAGGTCAGTCAGCGTCGGGGACAGGGCACTCGGAGTGTTGGTTGCTGCTGCACAATGCGCGCAAGCCGTGTATGGTGCATGGTGAAACATACCACCCGTCTTCTTTGCGCCGAGCTTCTTGGGGATGGTCCTCTTGGGCTTGAGCCTGTAGGCACCCTGGGCCTTGACACTGGCATAACGGCGACCCTCGACGGCGACATTGCTACTTGTTGGGCCGATGCGGAGGTGGGCGAACTGCTCGGAGAGGATTGCGGCCGCGGAGACGGAGGAGTGGGTGGTGGGTAACCGGCAGACGGAGTGGCAGCTGTTGGCAGCAGCCCTCGTCAAAGGCTGCCGCAGCTGTGCTAGATGCATTGTGTTTGTTGTTTGTGTTTGTGTTTATGAATTCGTTGTTGTCGGCCCGAGGCAGTCGTCGTCGTCGCCGTTGTCCAGTCGTTCGTGGCCCAGGACAAAAGTTCGAAGACACCACACACGGAGGGGGGGGACACCGGGGCGGAGTGTGGGTGTGGTCGGAGGACGGAGGTCGGAGGGGGGGGAGGGGACCTGCGGGCGGAGCGGACGGAGGAAGGGTTGCCAATGTCCGCACGACGCGCGGGGAGTCGAAGGAAAACCAAAGTTCAAAAATCGGGGCGGGTCCAGTCCAGAGCCGTGCCGTCCATCGTCGTCCAGGCGAGGGAGCGACCGAAAAAAAAGCCCCACTCAAAAGTTGAGGTCGCACCAGAGCCGCGAGCCGGAGAGAGCCAAGACTGAGTGGAGGAGGGCAGCCGCATTGGCCAACCGCGGGGTGAGCTTTCTGCTTAGTCACTTAGCCCTTAACCACATAGGGTACTTGGAGGTACCTTAGCTACCTAGGTACCAAGCACGATAACACCGATAAGAGCTGAGTCCCCCCGTCCCGCATGGATCCCGTCGCTGACGATTTGGACAAATTGGCCAACAAGGCCCTTGCACCCCGTAGCTTCCAGCGACCACAGCACTGTTTCCATCACCAGCCCAGGGGCATCGCCATCGCCCAGCCAGCCAGCCAGCCGTGTAATTGACAGCTTGCCAACATCGACGTCCCGTCGTCCCATCGCAACCCACGTAGGCAGATTCACGACAACACCACCGGCTCTTTTCGAATTGGATTCCTCTCCAGTCCACACCGAGTCCTTCCAACGAATCCGAACCGTAAAAATGCGCACCCTCTACCTCGTTCTCCTCTCCCTCCTCACCCTCGCCTCCCCCATAGCCGCTCAATTCGGCTCCTTCTTCGACCAAATGTTCGGCGGCCACGGTCATCAACAAACACAGCAGCAGCAGCAGCACCAAGGCCACGGCCACCAACAGCAACCCAACGTGCCCAGCGACCCGTCCATCTACCAGGCGAATTACCAGCGGGCGCATTGCGACAAGTATTTGTGTCCTGATACTTTGGGTATGTCTTTTCTCTTCTCCTTTCTCTTTTCTTTCTTTCCTTGCCTTGCTTGCTCTGTTGGCTGGTTTAGAGATGGCGACAAGGGCTAACGGATGGGACAGCATGCGTTCACTACCCACATCACTGCCCTTGCCCGTGGCCGTTGCACGAAGACAAGGCCGAGTTAGCCGAAGGTCAACGGATCTGTGTCTCCAAGGGAGGCTTCAAGGCCGGAGAGGCGGCGAGGAAGATAGAATTGGCTAGGAAGGGGATGCTCTGAGCTGTTACCCCTTTTTTTTGGGGAGACAGGGGAAGTGGAGCCGTTGATAAAAAGGAGGATTACATGGATGTATTGTAGGTTGTGGGAAACATTGCTTGGGGTTTTTGGCGTTACAATATCACAATGACAATCTGTACAAAGAACTTATGGATCAATATCTTGCGATTCGTTACCACTCCGTCTGTAATGAAACTTGAGTACCTTGAAAGGTGAAGTGTGCCTGTCTGCCCATAATGTCGTCCCTAGCGAAACCCGTTGATGATAGAAAACGAAGAGAAAAGAACAAAAAGAAGAGAATGGTAAGAGGCTGCGTGTGCATTCAAATTCTTGTGTTTTGGTGTCAGATGAAAAAAATGGGGGGTCCTGTAACACACGGTACAACCATAATCGAATAAAGTTCGTAAGAAGAGAAATAAAAAAAATGAAATACATTGATGCTTCGCTTCCGTAGCTCGAAATGCAGACGCCAATCGCATCGGTTACCGCTGACCGATATAGGGTATACCATCACCAACCCTTTCCCTTTGATAATAAAAGCGAGCCATAGAAGATGAAAAAAAATAGGGACCGTCCAGTCATCACCTTAGCCATACACATGAACCGTCCCAAAATACAAAAGCAAACCTCCATTCCCGTCCTGCTGCTAGCCAGGCGCACCTTCGCCTGTAACTAGGTTGAGGTCTTCCTCCAGTATCGCACTTTTAGCAACGCACGCCGTCATAACCTCCCAGCCTCCATGTCCATCTTTCTTGCTGATAGGACTCGCATCAACGTAACTACCATGCCCGAGACGAGATGGCGGTTCCTGCCCTCCGAGTCCACCTCCTACGACGATCCATTGGACCTTGTCGGGAGAGCCGGCACCTCAGGGATCTCCTCATCCTCATCTTCTTCGTCCTCATCTTCCAGATTCTCAGGGTGACCAAGTAGCGACGCCACGCTCTTCATCTCGTAGTGCTTCTTGCGCATCTCCTCAAACTTGCGATGCTTCTCTCTCTCTTCGGCGCTGAGGCCGACCAGTTCATCATCGGGATCATGGCCGCTGCCGTTGCTATCAACGTGCACAGCTCTAGGACGCTTGGGGGAGCCGCCATCTTCGGAATGGGCAGTAGCGCCCTTGCCAAAAGGGAAGCCGGCCTCAGGCACCGCCTCCTCAGGCTCGCCGAGCGAGAGGCCAGGGATCTCGTCGTCAATGTTGCCGTGCCTGCGCTTGTTCTGCCTAGGAAGAGGCGACAGGCCATCCACGCGATCCATGTCGATCTTGTTAGGGTCGATGGCTTCTGGGACTTCCTCGTCGTCGTCCGATGGGTCCTCGGCGGGGTCGTAGTGCTTGGCATAGGGCGTCTTGGGCTCGTCAATCTTCATGGTGCTGGACCGCTCTTGCTCCGTGAGGTAGAGGTTCGCCTCGTCCCACTTGAGGCGCTGGCCTTGCTCCGTCGAGTCTTCGTCGCCGTGGTGGCTGGGCGTTGTCGAACGGCGAGAACCACTGAGGCCAGGCCGCGATCCGGCGACAGACGAGGAGCGGCGGGGTCCGGCATTGATCTGAGTGTTCATGATGGTGATTTCTTTGGCCTCCTTGGCGGAAGAGGGCATGTGGATAAGTGGCGGAGGGTGAGCCGCATCATGGTGGTGGGTGTCGAGGGGGGAAGTTGGGCCCGCGGGCGGAGAATTACGGTACGAGTTCTTGAGAATACCTGGAGGTAAAGCATCCGTTAGCAATCGAATATCGATGACAGTGTAGGTGCGGGCTAAAGCTAAGGAACTGGGCGACAGCATCGCTGGGTTGGGGTGGGAGCTGGCTCAACATACCCTTTGGCCGCGGGACCGTGGAGGGCGGCGGAGTGTGTGTAGGTGACGATGCCATGATGGTTGACATGTTTGGAAACAAGCTGTGGGTTGAACGTTGCAATCAAAAAGGGCCGTATCGAGGAGAATGTTGGCCAAAGAAGGTGAATATAAGGTGCGCGCGCAACGAAAGTCAAGCTGCAGTCGGTGTCGTTTCGTTTTGTTGGCGAGGTGAGATTGTTGGATGGATGGAGAAAGCAGCAGGTGAAGTTGTCGGTCGGTGGAAAGAAGTGTCGAGAGCAACAACCACCTAGCGACGAGGGAGGGTGGTGGAGTGACCAGGGGGTGACTTTCTGCCCCAGATGATCGAAGACAGTGGGGTCACTGGATTAGCCTGGAATGGATGGGAGGCTTTTGTTTGGTGGTGAAGGCCGCCTTGGGTGGGGCGGCGATCACAGTCTTGGTGGGCTTGTTTGGCGTGTTTGGTGGGATGTGGAAGCCAAGAGAAAAGCAGCAGCCGCGATCACGTTCTGATCAAGATATCGACACAAACTAACAGGTCGGATGAACAGTCGGGTTCACTTGTTGGGCAGGAAAAAGGAGACCGGCGGATCCCAGGCAGATCCGTTGTCACCTAGAGCTATCGCTATGCCGTATGGCCGATCGTCTCAACGTCCTTTTTACGAGTGAGTCAGTACGTAGTGTAGTCCGTCCTTGGCTTGTCGTGTTGGGAGGCCTTCAAGATTGCCGTGGTTGGGGACCGGTGGGTGCTAGTAGGAGGTCTGAGAGCCGTCGTCCACTGTAAATGCTGCCCTCGCTTGATCTTATCTGCCGACCTGAGACGAGCAATGAGAAGAGGCTGGGTATTCGCGCAAGTGAGGGGTTGCGCCTGGATTTTCTTTCGAATCGTATCAGAATAGTGTATGGAGATGATGGATTGTCCTCCGTCGTGTCCCAATCATGAGCCTTTTTTCCGGGCCAGATACGATGGGTCGCATTCCACAAATGGCCTGTGACTGTCGGCAAACAAACAGAGGGATAAATCCGGGGAAGTTTGGCGTTTGGAAACAGAAACAGGGTCCGGGTCCGGATCTTCAAATTTTAACCCCTTGGCAGAGTTAGGTACTTTGGGCGTATGCCAGATGACGTGCCTTCTTCTGCAAGCTATTGCCATGACAAAAGTATCGCGTCAAAGAAGGTGTTAAGACGCCATATCCGCGGGAAAAAAAGAAAAAAAATAAAAAAAAGGCAGAAAGGGCCATGTGGTCATTACATCATCGTGCCTTCAACGTCTACTATGTAGTTCTAGTGTTTCTTCCCCCGCCTCCACTCGGGCTTATTTTCGTTCCTTTGTTTCCCTCTTCCATTCCATCACAGCGAGGGCATTTCCGGGCGGGGCAGACTTGGAATGCTTCATCGTAAAATTAAACTTATATATTACTCTTTCCGAGCGCATGTCATAGTGTACACGGCATCCGCCATCCTGTTTTCCGTTACCCCAAGTCCTCCGTGAGGGTCGTGATGCTCATAATGGCGTGAAAGGGACCTCATAGTCAGTCCCCTCTCCCCATGTCATAATCCCATCCTTGCATGTTCCCTTCCTATAAATTCCAAAACATTGTCGCCTGCATTCCCATAACCTCTTTCCATGATTAATAAGTCCCCCGAGTTGGACCAGAGTATCCAAAATTGGGGTCGTTGCTGTAGCCGCTTGCTTGTTTAATGCCGATTGGCTTCTTGGATCTCGAACGTAACAACATCAGTCGCGGGTATGTGCGGAAATCGTGTCAACCCCCCCATTAGATCCGCAACCCATAAATGCTGCCGCTTTGCACCTCGCCGACTCCTTGACTGTCCCACCTCTTAGAGTGAGCGACAGATCGGTCAGGTTGACCACGGTCCGAAGGAGCCACGCCCCTATTCAACTACGAGACCGTATACGCATCGCTTGTACGGTCTCCCATGTTGGCATCCCTTTATACCCCACTGCCACTAGCCTTGCTATCAGTCTGGGACATATCCAAGCCCTTCTCGTACTTATGCAACACCGAGCTATCAAGGGACGCAGCCTCATCAGCGAATACATCCACCTTGGTCTCAGCGAACTTGCGCGCGCTGATGCCCTTTGAAAAGAGGAGGTCGAGCTCGGCAAAGGTGCGGCCGGTGGGTTCGGGGACGCGGAAGTAGACGTAGACGATGCAGAGGAAGCAGATGCCGGCCTGGGATGCGTTAGTTTTGCAACTAGCGGAAAGGGGCAAGGTGACTTACCCAGAAGAAACCGGTAAAGTTGGACCAGTCCCAGGCGCCGGGGTTGAGCATGTAGGGTGTGAGGACGGCAGTGACGATGCCGACAATAATGCTGTGCATTGTTAGTATGCATGAGCTCAGAGGGCTTCTGGGTCTGAGGAACTTACTAAAGCACACGACCAAGAGCAATGGTCTTGATCTGCAGTCTTCTCGTCGAAATTTCACTGACAAGCGAGTAGCAGACCGTTCCGACTGTCAACTGGTACACCAAAGCCCAGCCCAACATGATACTGCCAGTCGCAATCGAAGCCTCCCTGTTGTGCGCCTCGGGAACAAGACCAAGGAAACCCAGCACAAAGAGCATGCAAAATAGACCGCACAACCCATACAGGTAGAGAGCTCTCCGTCCAATACCGCGGCTCATCAAGAACCACGCGCCAAACACGCCCGCCATGTTGATAGCGTACTGCCCGAGAGCAAACGCATAGGCGTCGTCATCGTCCAGGCCGGCCTGCTTGAGAAAATATGTCGAGTAATTCGAAAACGAGTTTCCACTGAGATTCTGGATCGCCCACACCATACACACAATCTCGGTTCTCCTGAGATCGTGGCCCTTGAAGCAATCCCAAAAGGTCGCTCCCTGTGTCGTCTTCTCCTCCAGGGCGGTGGTGTGAACCATCATGGCGACGGTCTCGTCCGCATTGAAATCGGTTTCGCGGTTCACGCTGGTCAGACGGAGGAGAGACTTCTTGGCATCATCCAGACGACCCTTGCGGACGAGCCACCAAGGCGATTCGGGTGCGAAGAAGATTCCCAAGGCCAGAGGTACGGGCCACATCCATTGCAGGGCGTAGGGGATTCGGTAGGCCCATTCGTCGTCGCGCTTAAGCATGGACATGATGACTCCGATGGCGATTTCTTGGCCCACGCCCCAGCAGAAGTTGACGTAGGTGGTAAGGTAGCCGCGCATAGCGACGGGGCAGACTTCGGAGGCGTAGGTGATGGTGAGAGTTTGGAAGACGCCCCATGGCTGGAAGTTCATTAGTATCATTAGTAAACCAATCATGTGCATTACTTTGAGGGAGGTGAGTGAAACTTACGATACCGCAAAGAATCTCAGCAGCCAACAAGGTCTGGACATTCTGCGCCGTGAAGAACAGCGAGGTCCACGCGCAAATGAGCATCAAGCAACCGATAACGGTGTACCGATAACCAAAACGTTCTGATACGTATCCATTGATGAGAAGGCCGATCAGCTCTCCCACGTTGGCGCCCTGGATATGAAACCGGTCAGCATTGTCCTAGGCCATTCAGGGTCCATCTCGCACGGCTCAAGCTGCAAGCCCTCCTCCACGACTTTCTGATTGACGGGGAACCGGACCCGGACCCAATGCAGCGGCACTGGGAGTGGCTCGGGCGCATGGCACAGGCACAGACATATCAGATCAGATCATTGCACTTAGCTCAACACTCACATTACTAAGACCAGCCTGCCAGCGAGCAGGAACCTCCCAGTGGCCCGGCGCTATCTCCTCGCCATACTTGCGAGCAAACTGGGGGAAGGCGTCTTTGATTTGGTCAGCACTGGCTCTGTCATGTGAAGATGAAAATAAGAAAGTAAACACCCACAAAAATTGTTAATCAGACAGACATCGTAACCCTCCATGACGATGCACGTCGAAATGAGCATGCTCCACGCAATCGCCTTTGGGTACAGCTTGATGCCCTGCAACAGCGTCATCTTTTGCTCCTTGTCGGTTGCTGTTTTGGCATCTTGGATGATCCTGTCCGTAGTGTCGGTGCGTCGGACCTCGTCTGAATTGTGGAGGACATCGTGTTGGCCTTTGGAATCGCTAAATACAATGTCGTCGGATGGCGGGTTGGCTGTGGTCCGGGGGTCGGGTGAAGCCATGTTTGCTGCTTTTGTTGCGTTGCCCCTTTTTTTTTATTTTGTTTTGTTTGACTAGTCGTAACTGCCGGGTGGTACGGAGTGTTGTCGCTACGCCTGGGTGTTCCTTTCCAAAAACAAAAAAAAAAAAAGAGTACCACACCGACGGTCAAGTGTTCACTGTGACCTTTTTTGATGCAGCTAAGCAGCCGAAGTGGACACCGGTTGTTGTCGTGGTTGAGCCGAAGAGGGTTTGAAGAATGCCCAAATGAATGGGATCCGACGATGGTGAAGAGACTGACGGCGTGACGACGAACCACACAGCCTCAGCCGTGATGCAGCTGAGTGAGGAGATGACGGATTGACGGTTGAACGACTGGAATTCCAGGAGGGAAGGACGACGTCGCAAGACGCCAGCAGAATTTAGGAGGTGGGAACTACCGCTGCCTATGAACAGCCCGCCCAGACGGAGCGGGCGCACGCGACTCCATTTGTTTTTGGATTTGACATCCATCCATGGATTGGATCCGTTCCGTTCTTTCCTTTCTCCAGATTTCAGCGTAAGCGGCAGGAAAGCGGCTCCCGGCCACCGGCCACCACGGCATCCAGAAGGGGAAACTTACGAGAGGAACAAGGCCAATGACAGCAGGCCGTTCGTCCCAAGACGTGGTGAGTGTGGAGAGGATGGTGGGGTTAGCGGATGTTCTAGTGTCGAACTGTCGCTTTCGCTGCCGTTCCCTGCCATTCGGGCATCCATCCAGGCCTCAGCTCGGCATTCTTTGGGGCCTGCCGCAGCGTTGGCACAAGTTCCAAAGTGGAATTCCCTTTGCTGTGCATTAAATCCTCGGCGGCCGAGGTTCATGTTGTTCAGGTTTCGGGGTCAAAGGGTTCACCGTCCAGGCCACGATGCCAAGCGTATGTATTGCATTGTACTGACCCGACAGCTACAAGTCAAAATATGCAATCTGATATCTGTAAGCAGTATGTAATGTGCCATGTCCGTGGTTGTCAGGATGGACGTGATCAAGATGCTGGAAAGGGTTTGGTGTTGGGGAAGAGTGAGGGGCAACGGTTAACATTTCCGATGCGGGCTTCCAACATCCTCCAAGATCTCAATAGCATGTAACAAGATTCACATACGTGATTGTCTGGAAAACGAAAGACAGAAGCTCTCATATTCTAGAATGGCGAACAAAGTCATTGTTCACCACAAGGTATATCTTCCACTTCTCAGGGGTCACTGTGGTCGTCCCTTCTTTTCTTTTTTTTTCAATTATTCTCTCGAATTTCAGTTGGTGATGAACTCCAGTTGTGCAGTCTTCAGATTCCTTGTTTGATTGGCTGCCGGATCGAGCGTAGGTTGTACATCGATTACACTCAGTGAACAACTTGAACCCCGCACCGACCACATTGTGCAAGTTCAGCGCGATAAGCTCGGTTGTACTTTCTGTGCTCGACAAGCGGCATTTGCCATAGCGAAGCACAAGCTAGGACACTCTCGGTACTAACAGCTGCTTGTCATCATGGTACGCACTCTGAATTTGTGCAGCGCCAAGGTAGTGCAGGACCTCTACGGTAGGTGCCCCTCACGACGGATTCTACAAGCAAATTTGATTTCTCCTTCCTTCTTTTTCCATCCCATCATCCATCTCACCATCTTCAAGTTCACGATACTTACACAGACTCTGAACCATTTCCGCTGATTGAAGCAAACATCTCGGCCCCATTACGTTTTTACTGTTCCACTACACTACATACCCTTCCCTCGTGTCATGTCAGGATCCCCAGTCTTTTTCCTTCTCGAACCTCTGCGCGATCCCACGCTGGTGGCTGGCGACCACGACTCGAGCACGACTCGTCGTTTTCAAGCACAAGACAAAGTGGGGATCCGCGGACAAGATGAATCAATCCCTCGTCGTCTCTTTAAGCTTCTTTCCCCGGATCTGCATGGCCTTGACTTGCCCGACTTAGTACTTATGGATCCCTTCCCCAGGATCCTCGGAGATTGAACAAGCGTTCCGAATGTGTGCCGTTTCATCGATCTTTACTCTCCCCACGGTCTGGTCTCCAGCCGGGTGACGGACATCAGCCACGGCGTCGGATGGGCGTGTGGCCTTGTGCGGCTGGCTATCCCTCTCCACTTCTTTCTTGCCCTCTGTCCTTCCGGACCTGTCTGGAACTTGGCCTGGTATCGAGAATACGTGGGCCACCACAAGAGTCTCACAGTCTGTTGTCACGGCAGCTGCTTTCTATGATCCGGCTCCCTTTCGTCTTTTCGTCATTGACATCGCAGATCATCGACTCGTCCACCCCCTCTCTGAACACTCATCAATGTCTCGTCCCAGCTGTAATGGTACGGTACAGTATCTTTCTACCTTCCATCTATCTACTACCTTAGCGACTTTGTTGGGTTGGACGCTGCATTTGCCCGTACCCCCCCGTCGTAATGTTCGCCTAAACCGCCATCTTAACTAGTAACTAAAACCCCCATGGCCGCTTTCCTGTCGATGCCCGGCCGTCACGTCTTCTATCACGATCTTTCTCCGCACAAACTGATCAGACACTCGCGAATCTATTGTCCCCGCTTCTTCAGCCTCCTGGCTTCACCCCCCATTCCCCTCCCCTCCCTCTCCAAGTCCGAGTCGTAGCCCAGCTGCTCCCCTCCATGTCCGGTCTTCGGTTCTTGCTTGAACAACTGCCGACTCTGCCGTGGATCGACCCAGACAACCCAATCTCCCGGATCCAACTGCTTGCTGCTCCACATTGCCAGCTACCTCTACCTACCACTACACTCCAACAAGTCTCCAACTGCCACTGCCACCAAGACCCCATCTGACTGTGCAGCCATCTGAGTGGTCGTATTTGGATATACACTTTCAGTCTCCGCCCCCAGCCCATGTATCTTATCACAACTTGCTCGCAGATTAGATGCCATCTTCAGCAAGCTCCCCCAAGCCCCTGTCTACTTTTGGTTGGTGAGTCGATTACCAGCTTGGTCCAGGTCCAAGAAATCTCATAACTGACACATTGCTTTGGGCAGTGAAAACTGTCGCCAGCAGCACCTGAAATGTGAGCATGGACCGAGTACCCCTTTGGGCACCCTGCATTGGGAGACATCACCACTGACATCAAATCATTTCCTCTCACCTTTTAGGCGACCGAGTAACGCCCACATGCGGTAGATGTCAGAACACAGGCCGTCAGTGCCGCCGGAGTGGTCTCAGGATTCGACAGTCTCCTCAATACAGTTAGCCTTCCCTTTTCACTTTTTGCAGGTTTTGATTCCGGTGTGACGATCCACCGCAGAAGTCAAAGCACTTCTTCCGAGTCATGGCTATTGGTCATTCGTCAGCTTTGCTCTCCATGGAAGAGTGTCTAACAATTACCACTCTGCAGCCAAATTCAGCAAGACACAAAAGTGGGTCAGGATCGAGAGAAGGCGTGAGTATCCCATTCTTTGCTTTACTTTGTGCAATGACCAACCCATATCGCTGACACTGGGCATATAGTGGAATTCGTGGATGAGACCAGGAAGGTCATCTATGAGGCTGCTGCTTTGGATAGTGGCCTGGATGAGATAGATCCCGACCCAGAGTCACCCATCCTGTCCGATCAGTCGCTACTGCAAGGGTTCAGTCAATCTTCCATCTCAGAGACCCCCAATGGCCAGGAGAACCCACGGCGATTTCCTTCACGGAAGCAAACCTTGCCCGAATCCCCCCGTCTTTCAGAGACAGCATCGGAGGCTCTATCCCCTCACAGATCGGTTCAGCTGCCTGAAACCGTCTCCTCTTCAGAAGGACATGCACGTGAATGTTCTCCCACCGACCGCTTCATCGCGCGGGCTGGGTCCTATCACCAGCTTTACTACTCCAAAAATTCAGCATTCCCAATCGAAGACCCGGTGGAAGCAGAGCTGTATCGGCATTATGTGCAGAGTCTGGCACCATGGGTAAGCAACATCTACACTGGCTCCATGAGCACCTTGTTGATTGTTCCATCTTTTTCATTCTCTAGCTCGACCTATGTGACCCACTGAGGTCATTTGAAACCCTGGTTCCTCAAAATGCAGCAACATTTCCTCTACTACTCAAGGCTATCTACTCCTTCTCAGCCCGGCACAAAACCCTGACAGGTTACTTTGATTCGGTCAGGAGTAGCGAGTATTACGATGAATGCCTAACAGAGCTCAGGGATGTCCTTGCTGCATATGACGAATATGGAGCAGACGAAAACTTGTTTGCTGCTACGATTATCCTGCGGGTCCTTGAAGAAATTGATGGTATGAAACTTTCAATCGCTTGCGGAGGGCATATGCTGACATTTCTTTAGTTGTGGACAATGGGACAGATCAAGAAGCCAATCTCCTAGGAATACATGCGTTTGTATCAACCGGGTCGTTCTTTGAAAATCCCAGTCCCCTTAGTATCGCGTCATTCTGGGTTGGCCTCCGCCAGGGAATTTACAAAGCAGTCATCAACAAACGACCTGTCGGACTGAGTGTAGACCATATTCTAGTCCAACAGTCGCTCGCTCGAACGGATTACCACAGCGTTGCAAACAATGCGGTGGTCCATTGCACTCGCGTCCTCAACTTTTGCTTCGATAAGGGTGGAGTGTGTAACATGGAGGAATGGAATAAGTTATGGAAATCGAATGAAGACTGGGAGAATGAGCACGCTCCCTTCCATACACCCATATTCAAGGCACCCGATGATGTTCCCTTCCCACAGATATGGTATCATCAGAGTTGCCAAGGTATGCCGGCGTCCTTCTGTCAGCGATTTCCCAGTTAACAGTTGTTGACAATTTCCTCTAGTGATCGGGGTACAGCATCATCTCTTAGCCAAGTCGTACTTGATCCGATTCAGGCACAAGTTCTCAGCGACTGGTACACGTCACCAGTCTACTCTAGCCAAAAGGAGAGCTGAGGTAAGCCTAGGACTGCGGGATCCGTGGCAAGACGGCTAACCCTATGCGTATAGGCCGACATACAAAGAATCGTTCGGATGCTCTGTGGCATTGGTTTAGGAAATCAATGGACTCCTCCGGGCATGTTCACAGCCTGCATGGCCATTTCCGCTTGTGAGTCTTTGGGCGTTTTGCAGTGTTCTCGTTTGCCGCATGCTCAAGTCTGACCCATCATCCTACAGTCGGCGCTAGTTTCACCCAGCGGAAGGACCAGGAGGCCATGATCGACATACTCCGAAAGACAGAGAAAGATCATGCTCGTCCAACCAAGTCCGTGCAGGAAGACATGATGAAGGCTTGGGGCTGGTCTGCTTCCACGTGGACTCCGACGCAGGTGCCCCCATGGCCGGATACGACGCAGTATGCGACGAACTTGAACATGAACGACAGCATGGGTTACCAGCAGGCTTAATAGACCTGCGTATCGTTGTGCCCAAACAAAAGACCGTTGGAAAAGAAAACACGGGATGGATCTTGAGCGGCCGAATAGGGCTGTTATATCACCCCACGTGCTTGCTCAGATTGCGACCAGTCGAATGTACAAGTACGTTAATCTTCGATCTACGAATACATCTAACGACATTCCACCACCGCGAGGATCAGACGATGAACCACATGAACCACAAGCACGGGCATGGGTCAGGGTCAGGGTCTAAGGGCAGGGTTAAAGTCAGGGTCAGCAAGGTATAGCCCAGCAGACATGGCAGGCAATCTTGGTCGAGTTCGAACCGCGAAGTATTCAAGCTAGGCGTCTGTGCGCCAAAAGAACATTGCCTTTTTCCTACAATGAGGACAAATGCCACATCAACGTACTCGTCGATGAACCGGTCAATGTCGCATGTCAGCCATGTTCTGCCACTGTTGCACAATCGCATCAGAATGCAAGGTCAGCAGCGGTTTGTGGGAAAGGCTTCTGTGCGACAACGCCCAGTTAATGTTTACGATCCACCCTAAACCCCCAGCCCCTCTATCGATCGTGAAAGAAGCCAAGAAGGGTCAGGATTGGTAGGATGGTTTCTCAATTGCAAGCAGATTTGCCAGCCCTGAAAATCCAGCCAGGGTTATCATGCGAGATCGGGGTTCATGTGTGCCCTTGGTTGTGATCTACCAGGACACGCATGGACAGACAGACAGGCTGCCGACGGAACGGGATCAAGGGGAAGCCACAGGGCCAGGTATTGGAAATAGGTGTCTGCGAGAGAAGTGCAGTGCAGTGCAGGCCTTGCAAGTCACAAGGGCTTGCAAGCACCCCCGTTCTTGACATGCTGCTAAAGTTTCACGACAGTAACTCGGTAGTAACCACTTCCGCTTGTTCGTACGCTCTCTCGTCGTGTATTCTGATCTTGTCTCAATTCAACTAGGTCGATAGGGGAGAAGTAAGCCCTGTCCTCAGGTCCTGCTTTGTCAAGGCCGATATGACTTGGTCGCACGCTGTCCGTGGTATCCGTGAACTGGTCATCGTCGATTCCGAGTCATCTTCAGATTGGGAAGATCCAGCATAAGAAGAATGCAGATAGCCATAGAGCTGACAAACCAGTGCGGTATTGTGCGCTTGTCCTCGGGCAGCCAGCCTTGATACCGGAAGTTGCGTCCCTCCCGTTACAACCGTTGTGTGTTACACGAAGGAAGTCGAGATGATGGTATGTAAGCCCCATGGTCTGGTGTGGTACCTTTCTCGATATGTAAAACAGGGCGGTACCATACTTATGAAGTGAACGTTCTACTACATCAGACCCGACCCGGCCCGACAATATTCGGGCGCGCTGGCAGGCGGGATGCAGTATCTATGCAAGAAAGCTCTGCTTCCTGCTCAACGGGTAGGACGCACACTACCCTTAGCAGCACTGCACATCAAGGATGCCGGTATGCAGGGAGTAAGCCTCATCTGCCTGTATCCCTACCCAAATTGCCCTTGCTGCCCTTGTTGCTTTTGTCTGGTGTCTGCGAATCGATGCATGTAAATCGATGTGATGCAGACGGGAACGACAAAGTTCGATTCCCATCTCCCGTCGTGCGAAAACCCAAAAAGAACAAGGCAGCAGGATGACGGATGATGGAACTTTCCGAAAGCTTTCCCGATTGCGCTGGCGGTGTTGCTATCGGAAGAATTGCGCTTGCTTGCATTGTTTGCGATACTTTGGCAACCGTTAACCTTCCGAGTTCGTATCATTTGTGTGAGTATGTGAGAGGATTGGGAAGGGGGAAGGGAGGGAGAGGTTCATAATGACCTGGCTTTCTTTCGAGGCTTTCAAGTTCTGTGTCCCCCTTGCGGTGTGTACTCCCCCAGTCTTCGGGAAAGTTGTACTATCTGGGTAATCCGATATCCCCTCGTTCATATAGTTCAAGTCTCCAGAGCTGAGGCAACGTTGAAAAGCCATCATGAAGTTGATCATGGCGGGGCAAAAGGAGCTACAGATGTACAAGCTAACTAGTGTAGCTGATAGCAACGCTAGGTGAGGCGCGCTAAACAAAGCTAACAAGCTTCTGTTTAGGACGCAGATAGGGCCCTGTCTTCGATCGGAATTTCTTTCCTCTTTCGTCTTCTCGGATAGGAAATGTGTTGATGCTGTTAGTGCAGAGCGGAGCGGTGCAAAGGGACCCTCTGAAAGTCGAGAAGCGAACAAATCATGCCGAACTTTAGCGCCGGAACATGTTCCGCCAGGGGTGCTTAACTGTTTACTCTGACCGCAAAGAAACCTACAACCTCACTCTATCGGACAAAATTTCCTACCTTGTCGAACCATGACTGTCAACCTCCCTTGTGATGCTAACGTTTTTTTTTCTTCTGTACATTCCGTCCGCACTCCACTTCATATTCCTACCCGATCAACGGACGAACAAGAATGGAACCAAAGTAACGAAACAAAACAGCCCTACCCAGCAAGCACCTATCCACCTTTCTTTTCTCCAATCTCACCAACCTCCCAGTGTTCCCCGTGCCTTGAATCTTGGACACACAAACACCAGGTGTAGACGTAACTCGCGCTCACGACGCTGACATATCATTACGTCCCGCCAGTCTGGTCACAGATAAGCCCCCCTTCATCAGACCGCAAGCCCATGACAGGCCCGTTGTTGGCTGGTTGTATGAGAAAGGAAATATTCGCCTGTGAGGAAAAGAACGGAGACGGTGGTGGAGAACAAAGAATAACTACAGGCTGTGTCCTCGAGAAAGAGATAAACAACAAAAGTGGATATCGGCGTACGATCTTGGTTCCAGTCGTGCCATCGAAGCTGACTTTCATTCCCAGATGGGGGGTCTTCGTTGGATCTTCTCGATCTTCAAGGCGTTTCAATAGGTGCCCTTATCCTGTAGCTATCTACCTACCAACCGGGATATAACATATACACACCGTCTATGGTAACCTGCCTGTTCCACCTGGATCAACCCCAGACTTCTCCAAGACTTCCTTCCAAGGGTAGCCGCGCCGAACGGGTACTGGGAGCCGGGATGCTGCTGTTCCAGCCCACTTCCTTTCTCCATGTCTTGTTCCTTTTCCTCGGCCTAGGCTAATTGTTCGATTCACAAACCGGGCGGGATCCTTCCGGGAACCCCCAGTCCATCTTGCACTGGCCTGGCGGATCCGCCCAACAGCTATACACTAGGCTACTGACATCCAACCATCCCGATCCGGCCAGAGATAGGAGCCCGAACTAGTATCGGCGATGCGGTGGGATGTGGATGGGTATGATGGGATCAAACCGGTTACCCTTCGTGCCTAATTGGGTTGCGTTGACAGTGGAACATCCCATCCTCCATGTCAGACAGTCTTGCTCGACTCCATCCGTGGAGATCGGAATAGGAAAGAGTGCGCGGTAGGTAGGTAGTAGTGGTATTGGATGGAGTGAGAAGTCTTGACTAACTGTACACGTAAAGAGAGGCAAACTTACGACTAGTGATCACTTGAAAGATATAAAGAGGGCATGTGCTCTCCTCCTTCGAAGTGATTTTCGCTTTTTGGATCATAAGAAACTCATCATCAGCACACGACCGACCGACAGTTACTCAACCTTTGGCCTTGAGAACCTTGATAGGTAAGTGTGCACGAAGATGGTACTTTGCGCCGAACACATGGCCTTTGTGTACTGACCTCGTCATACAGATGCGAAAAGCATAAGAACTGCCTATTTTCCCTCTTGAGATATCTACCTCTACCTGCTCTCTTGCATCACCAAGAATATTAAATCGAGATATTCTGTCACGAACATTTCTATCCTGCCTTCTTCTTGAACGTCACCTCTCAACATCCACCAAGTCCAACAACACCCCTCAGTTCCCGTCAAGATGGCCCCCTCAGCCACCTACCCCATCATCAGCACCACGCACTCGGGCGCCGACCTCGAAGCCATCTCCGACGCCGTCGACGAGATCAACGTCCTCAAATTCAAAGCCGCTCAACAAGTCAGCGAGATTCTCAACGACAACAACAACTCCTCTGTCCCATCTTCTCCCACCTCCGAATCCTCCTCCACCACCCATGAAGAAGAAGAAGAAGAAGACCTCGACGACTTCGACACCCCCTCCCACTTCGACTCCACCAAAGACCACTCCCGCTTCCGGCAATACACCACCGCCGAATCTCGCGTACTCAACTTCTACACCGAACAACACACCAAGCAAACCGTCTCGCACAACCTCGCTGCTCGCGCCCACTTCAACTCGCCCGACCGTAAGCGGCCCGAAATGACCATCTGGCAAGCGATCGAGTGCCTAAACTCTTTAATCGACGAGTCCGATCCCGACACGGAACTCAGCCAGATCCAGCACCTGTTGCAGTCAGCCGAAGCAATCAGACGAGACGGCAAGCCGCGGTGGATGCAGCTTGTAGGACTGATTCACGACTTGGGCAAATTGATGCTTTTCTTCGAGTTGGCTTCAGGGCAGTGGGACGTAGTAGGCGACTCGTTCCCTGTCGGGTGCAAGTTCAGCGAAAAGTGTATTTTGCATGAGAGCTTCAGTGCGAATCCGGATTCGGGACATGCCGTGTATAGTACGGAGCATGGGATTTATGCGCCGGGGTGTGGGATTGAGAATCTGATGATGAGCTGGGGCCATGATGAGTATTTGTATCAGGTTGTGAAGGATCAGAGTACGATCCCGAGGGAAGGGCTGGCGATGATTCGGTTTCATAGTTTTTATCCGTGGCATCGCGAGGAGGCGTACGGGTGGGCGATGAAGGAGGGGGATGAGGAGCTGAGGAGGGCGGTGAGGGCGTTTAACCCGTATGATCTCTATTCGAAGAGTGATGAGCCGGTGGATGTCGAGGCTGTTAAGGTGAGTCTCCTCTCTTTCCCTAGAGATACCTGGAAGAAATATTGGGAGAGAAAAGAATGCTAACGATGGGATGGGCAGCCTTACTACATGGAGTTGATCGACGAGTTCTTCCCGAGCAAGGTCATCAAGTGGTAGACGGCCATGACCACAGAACCTCCATTACTCGCGACGATGTTGAAGAAGCGGCACTTTGGCACCAAAAGCCGGCCCTTTTGGGCGATGGAACAACGACACGAGTTAACGGCTTCCGCTCAGACATGCATCTTTCTTTGCCTGTCATTGTCTTTTATGTTTATGTCACGGCGTCACGGCGTCACAGTGTTGTTAGACACGCACCTGCGTTGCGTTTCATTTCCTTTCTCCCACTTAGAGGTAGAGTCTGGTTCTTGCCGTTGGATTTGTGCATCATCGCATCCGTCAGGCACGGCGATGTTATCCTTTTTCAGTTCAGTACCTGCCCGTACTTGACTGATCCGTCCCAGTCGGATGTTTGTCGCGCCATAGGAAGCGACTGATGAATAGAAGCAAGCGTTGATTTTCAAAGTATGCTTTTCGTGCTGGACACTCGTCGCTTGTCATGGACTGTGCCAGTGGCGATTGTTGTGCTCGCCGTTACCCTATAATCGCCTGGTTGGTGCTCCGTGAATCTAGCGAACATTCGCGCTCAGCAAAGAGCGCAGATCAATGGATCAAGCCCTCTAGGTCCTTCCATGAATGCCCTTGACGTTGTGGCCTCCAGAGTCCAGACCATCGCTCCATGTCATGCCTAAGACACGCTCAAGAGATTGCTTCCTTTTCCGCACCGGATGTTCAACTGCCTGCCATTGTTTTGCCAATTGAAGCAGCACCACCACTTGGTCCACGTCCCTGCGCAGTCCATTCCAAAGGCTTGGCCATGCTCATTCCTCGATCCATTTATTCCCAGTTCAACAGCTTCAGCTCCCCGATCACAAACATAGAGCCCGGCATCGGACAACTCATCCTCTTGTCTCAACGGGATCGACGGCCCTGATTTGGAAGCGAATCTCTGGTTTCCCGTCTCGCTGTATCGCACCAAAATAGGCAGGTAGCACCAAATGTCTCGGATACGGCAAGCCAATGCCACATTGCACCCTAAACTCGTGCCACGCCGTCGGCTTGAGTCGGCACTCGACGTTCCTTTCCGGACCAACTGCATGTGGACAACGAGTCTGGTCCTCCTCCTAGTGCTGAAGTCGCAGTTAAACACAAGAGGGCTAATGCAGGAACAATGCCCGAGAAGACACAGGTACAGGAGGGGTAAAGGGAGAGATGACCGCTTGGTAGTTCCACGTTGGTGAATACATACCTCTACCTCTACATAGAGGTAGTGATGTGCTCATGGACCACACTTCCAGATAAAGTCTCTATGCTGGCCGCCGTCGCCCTCGTTTACGGTGCTTCTGACTTCGGTTCTGTCGGTCAACTTGGAGCCAACAAGATGGGAATGTGCATCGTCGCGTCCAAGGTACGTAACTTTACCGTCCCATCTAGTGATTTGTAGAAACAAGCATCGTTTTCTCTTGCCACTCCCGCTCCTTCTGGTTGTTCGTGTCCGGCGTCGCACGAAGAGTTGCAAATGGGGACCCAGCCCGTTTTCTTCCCGCTTTCGAGATTCTTGTTATCACAGCGGGGGCGGCCGTTACCCATTCTTGCTTTCTTGAGGGAGGTTGCGCCGGTGGTCTAACATTCCACAACGTGCGTGGTCCTTTTATTCGTTTTCGAGGGATGGGCAGATATCCCGTCGTCGCCAGAGAAAGTTATGGGGATAGGGGGAAATGCTAGGATCGACGAACCGGAGAATTCGCTACTGGATTTGGGTTGTAATGAGCCGAGTGCCAGCGCTGTATACGAGGGCATGTTGTGCGTTTTAGTAGGTGAATGCAAGATGGGAAGGTTTTCGCGTTTGGAGACGCCGAGGGTTCGCGGAGAGGAGGACCAGGCCAACGCTTTTTGGGACCAGGGCTGGACTGGTTTCAATGCTCGGAGAAGGGCGCGCAGATGGTGCGGAGATAAACGCAGAAACTAGTACAGCGTCAGGGAGGGTAACCGATATCGGTCAAGAAAGTTCCTAAGGTGGTTCTGGTGCGCAGAATCATAGTCAGTATTGGACAGGACCGTTCGAGTAGACGGGAAGATTTGCGCACTTACCTTTACTGAAATAAAAACTGAAAATATCGGGAGGATATGGTCAAAACGTGGTGGAGCAAAAGAAGATTTGGAGAGAAAAAGACAAAAAGGATGCCAGCTGTCCTACGCGCGGTGTCGAGAGGTGACCAGCCCCTCGTACTGCGGCAGTACTAACTGAATGCAATGCCTAATATGGTGATCTCTGGGAGGACAAGTCGGACAGGCCATATTTGGGAGCAAGTCGCTTCATCCACAACACAGAGATCTCCAAGACTCCTGCCACGACTGAATAGGAACGTGTAGTCCCCCTTTAGGGCAAGTCCTGGGTGGCCGTTTCCGGAGTCTTGGAATCCGCAATGCTATGATGGTGGTGTACTTGGGCGTCCCCTTTCCCCCTCACCATGTACATGTAGACTTAGTTGCAGAAACCATATCGAGCGTGCACCTGAAAAACTCGAAAGAATTTTTCCAACCAGAGCCCTGAACAGGGTTCGAACTCGTGGTCGAGACGTCGGTTGTCCAACCGATGGCAACAGTTGAAAGCAATACCAACTGAGCCACGGCTCTTTGGAGCAGCGTTGGTACCAATCGTCCGGTAGAGAGGTAAGGGAAGGGTCCTTTTCTAGCGCTTGCTGGACTGGGGGAGACGGATGGCATATGCGTCGCTGCTTTTGCCAGTGTTGGGCGGTTGTCGGGTGGCGGAGGATGCAGGTTGTGATGCAGGTTGAGCTGCAGGTCTTGGTGTTGAAGTAAATGGGACTCCGGAGGTCCGGCGTGGCCCGGGCTCAGCTCGGCCGATGGATGGATGCCGGCTGGGCAATAGTTTGCCGGCCGTTCACATGCCAGTGATCGGGAATCTCCGATCCATCAGGTCCCAAGGTAAACCCATAAGCCATGCTATTGAGCCGGGCTATAGACAGACTACCCCCCTTCCCTATATCTAGACTACTTAACCGCTTAGGGCAAGGCTTCTCAGCTTTTCTCCGCCGTACAAAAAAAAGTCTTGCAATAGGCCAAAGAAGTACAGAATCCTCAGTCTTCGCCCGGGTAGGAAGCGAACCGGATAAAGTGACTATATGCCTCGCTAATGTGACGGATCTCTAACCCGAAGGAGAAGGCCCCCACTTCTGGTCGCAGTATGGGTGGATATTAGCTATAGTCAAATTTTATAGGGAATAATATAGTATAATTCTTATAATAGAAATTGCGTCGGGTCTTACGTACCTTACTATATCGTATATAATATTGCGATATTACCGTCGCAATTTAGATTTTTAGTATTTATTATTCAATTACCCTTATATCCTACCTAGTATGCCCCCTACCGTGTACCTTAATATTTCGAATTTCACTACTATTATTGATTTTACTAGTAATAATGCGTCCGTAATAATTGCGACGGCCGCCGTTAAATTTAATACCCCCGCTACCAATAATTCTAATAAATTTAGTAAGGATTTTGATGTAGATAAATCGGAGGAGGAGGAGGGAGATGAAGTCCCATTATATATTCGTCGATTCTAATTATAAAAATAGTATGATTTTAATAGTTTCTTTCGTAGTATTAATAATATAGTAAGGGAGAAAGGCTTCTATATTACGAAGATCCGCAGTAGTAACTTCGATAAGGATTGTAAGTTAAGGTAGTATAATTTCGTTTACGGTAAGGGTAAAGATTACTATTCTAATTACGAGTCTACTGGTTAGTACGTTAATTCGAAATTGTTAAAGAAGGGGTGTAAGTAGAAAGTAAAAACAGTTTTCTATTAGAATCCTAAGAGTATAATTAAGAATAATAAAGATTTTTAAAAGGCGGGGATTTAGTAGTTTATTTACAATTAGTACCTTTATTTCTATAATTTCAATCCTTTAATTATTATTTATTTACTTGGTTATTATCGGTTTGCCCGTACTACTTTTATAGTCGAGAGTGTATTAAAGTATACGAAATAGTTTAAAAATATATTTAGAGATATTATTATTGCGATTTAAGCCGACTACCTAAACGCTAAAATTAAAAATCGCGATATTTTAAATATATTCGCTATAGTAATTTGGGGTGGTATATGGGAACATATGCATTGGTTTTCAGTAGTGATTTTTTTCAAAAATTTTCAAAGTATACAGGATTAGGGAAGTACTTTCTAGATTGAGCAAACCTAGACAATTAGTGTAAAAAAAGAATAGAAAAAGAAGGAGATCGAACATAAGGAAACAGGATGGGAAATCAACAGAATATTAACCTTTCGTAAAGCTAAATAATTAATTTCTAATTCTTTAGTAATTTTTAGTTATATAAAATTAGTTTTTAATAGTTGCTAATTATTTATTTTTATTTATTTAGTATACTAAGTAATCCTTTATCCTTCTTAGGGAAATATTTATTTATATCCCTATTTATATCCGAAAGAAAGATATAGAAAAATCTAATAGTTACCCTCGTTTTCCAGCGAAAACTGAACATTAAGCTATTTAATAAATACGTAATTTTAATAAATTGTATTTAGTTTAATACCTCCCATCTCGATTATTCAAAAAGATTTGAAAATTATTTATTATTTTACTTAATTAGATAACTAAGAGTTACAGTCCTTATATATTATATTAGTCGTAGTAGTATTAGTATTATTATTATAGTTTTTTCGCTATTTTAAATTAATAATAAGGACGAAATAGGTATTAAAATTCTATATTAAATTAGCTAAAACGAATATAGGGAATTTACAACTTCCTATCCTTATTGAGGTTTGCCCGATATTTATTAATAATATTTAATTAATCGTTACGAAAAAGTTTAAATAACCTTATTTTAGAAAAGAATAAAGATCCTTAGTACTAAATATTTACTACGGTCTAGGGCCTTCGATAATAGTCGATATATAGTTATATTAATGGCCGTACTATAATTGGCAATAATATAATTAATTAGTAATTACCTAACTACTATTCGGATATAATATTGGAGTACGAATAATAGTATAATTAATTAATAAAAAAGATATATAAACGAATATCCAAATAATAATAATTAAATGTAAATAAATATAAACAATAAATAAATTGTTAGATAGTAGTAATTCGACTATATAATCCAATAAATAAATAAATATTTAATTAATAATACTTAAATAATAATAAAAATAGATAATTAATAGGCTATTTAAGTAGTAGTTTGGTTGAAAGACTATTTAAGAATAATAAATAACGAAAGAATCTATTAATAATTAGGGTAGGTATTAGCATTAGGCCTTTAGGGACCGCTATCTTTAAATTAGTAGTATATAGCCCTTACCTAAATGTAGA